ATCGAGCGCGGCATGGCCCTCCACAAGATGATCCGACTGGTAACGCACGGCCTCGGCGGCGAAGGCTACCTCAACTTCGAAGGCAACGAATTCGGGCACCCCGAATGGCTCGACTTCCCGCGCGAAGGCAACAACAACTCCTTCTGGTACGCGCGGCGGCAGCTCAACCTAACCGAAGACCCCCTCCTGCGCTACGGACTCCTCAACGAGTTCGACCGCGCGATGCAGCTCACAGAGCAGAAATACGGCTGGCTGCACGCGTCGCAAGCGTACGTCAGCCTCAAGAACGAGACTGACAAGGTGCTCGTCTTCGAGCGCGCGGGCCTCCTCTGGATCTTCAACTTCCATCCGACCGAGAGCTTCACCGATTACCGCGTCGGCGTCCAGACCGCCGGTACTTACCGCATTGTCCTCGACACCGACGACAAGGCGTTTGGGGGGCTGGGCCGTAATCTCAAGGAGACGAGATTCTTCACGACGGATATGGAGTGGAATGGACGTGCCAATTTCTTGCAGGTTTATCTCCCGACGCGGACGGCTGTGGTAGGTTTCCCTCTCCCCATGACCCCCGATCACTACTATAACAGTTCCACTAACAAGTCGATCTCCTCAGGTCCTGGCTTTGGAAGAAACAACCCTGTAGTTATTTATCGAATACCACCGTCAACAATCAGTTCTCTAATCATATCTACATTGCTGTGTCTAGACCAATCAATATACATACTTCTATTCAGTCCGCCAGCAGTAAAATCACAACATAGTGAGTGGACAACAATAAAACAACCATGAAAAAGACAGTACCAGTGCCAGTAGTAGTAGTAGGAGTAGTAGTAGTAGTAGTAGTAGTAGTAGTAGTAGTAGTAGTAGTAATTACCCAGTAAAACCGCCACAAACAGGAAATACAACCAGATACACATAGAAACCACCAAGTTCCGTAGCTGCTCGTTAAACACTCACCATGTACATCATCCTACCTACCTACCTACCTACCCACAGGTTGCATCCAAGCCGGTCCAAATCCACACCCATGAAATCGTATAGATGTGATCTTATCTGGGTTTGGCCAGATTTTTGAGTCCTGACACCCTACACGCACAAACACACACCTACCTGCCCACCCACCCAGGACATGGAAAAACAGACTAGACACATACGAAAGCACGCCGTAGGCGGACACTACATAAAAGAATGTTTAATACACGAAGAATGAATAAATAGTAGGAGAGGTAGCTAGATGGATAGATAGATACCTACGAAAAAAAATCTACAACTGACTACAGCAAGTAACATCCCCCATCACCCACACACCTCCCAAAAAAAAAGAAAAGATAAATCCAACAAAAGAAATGAATACAATTGTCCCAGCCCAGAGGGTATTCAGGCTGACTTGTGGTCATTTTCGACTTACTTACATGAGGCACATAGTGTAACACAAAAAAAAAGAAAAAGAGAAACTACCCAGACAGGAGGAAGAAAGGACGACTCTCTTGTCCCTGCCCAGAATCATTTTCTTTTTCTTTTTTTTTAAAAGATAAAAAGGAAAAATGTAGGGTGAGAGGTGCTCTTTTTCCTGGGTTCTTGCTCTTTTTGTTGTTTGAAATGGTTCAAAGGCCTTTCTTTCGTTCAACTTCCCTTTCTTAATTGGAGTACTGTACACGTATCCGACCAAAAAAACGGAGACACTTGAGGAAGAAAGGAAGTTCCATATTCTAACAAAAAGGAAAAGGAGGAAATAGGGCGCTTTAAAACAATATTACATTTACTGGCCCTCGAGCTCGGCAGCGATCTTCTCACCCTTGGCGCGGGCGGAGGCGAAGTTACCAACCATGTAGAAGGCGTCTGGAAACCGGTTAGCACGGAGGCATTGCAAACATTGGGGAAAGAGAAGGAAACATACTCTCGGGAAGGTCGTCACCCTCGCCGTTGATGATGGCCTTGAAGGAGTTGATGGTGTCCTTCATGTCGACCAGCTGACCCTCGATACCAGTGAAAACCTGGGCGACGGTGAAAGGCTGGCTCAGGAAACGCTGCAGCTTACGGGCACGCTCGACAAGGAGCTTGTCGGCCTCGGACAGTTCGTCCATACCCAGAATGGCAATGATATCCTGGAGCGACTTGTACTCCTGGAGCATCTGCTGGACGCGGGTGGCGGTGTTGTAGTGGTCGTCACCGACGATACGGGGGTCCAGCATACGGGACTTGGAGTCCAGGGGATCGACGGCCGGGTAGATACCCAACTCGGAGATACCACGGGACAGCACAGTGGTGGCGTCCAGATGCGCGAAGGTGGTGGCGGGGGCGGGATCCGTCAGATCATCAGCGGGCACGTAGACGGCCTGGACGGAGGTGATGGAACCCTTGTTGGTGGTGGTGATACGCTCCTGCATGCCACCCATGTCGACGGCCAGGGTGGGCTGGTAACCGACAGCGGAGGGGATACGACCCAGCAGGGCAGACACCTCAGAACCGGCCTGGGTGAAACGGAAGATGTTGTCAATGAAGAGCAGCACATCCTGACCCTCCTCGTCACGGAAGTACTCGGCGATGGTCAGACCGGTCAGGGCGACACGGGCACGGGCACCGGGGGGCTCGTTCATCTGACCGAAAGCCAGGGACACCTTGGAGTCACCCTCGAGGTTGATGACACCGGTCTCCTGCATTTCGTGGTACAGATCGTTACCCTCACGGGTACGCTCACCCACACCACAGAAGACGGAGTAACCACCGTGAGCCTTGGCGATGTTGTTCTAGACGGGGGGAGGTTAGCGATTAGCACGAAACCATCGCGAGAGGAGCGCCTCTCTCGATCCGGATCGGATAGATAACTTACGATCAACTCCTGGATGAACACGGTCTTACCGACACCGGCACCACCGAACAGACCAATCTTACCACCACGGGCGTAGGGGGCGAGCAGATCGACGACCTTGATACCAGTGACGAGAATCTCGGCCGAGGTCGACTGCTCGACGAAAGCGGGAGCCTCGGCGTGGATGGGGGCGTACTTGACGGCCTTGATGGGGCCACGCTCGTCAATGGGGTCACCAGTGACGTTGACGATACGGCCCAGGGTGCCAGGACCGACGGGGATGGTGATGGGAGCGCCAGTGTCACGGGCGGCAGCACCACGGGTCAGACCCTCAGTACCTGTTCGAGGTCGTGTTAGTTCGTCGGTCCAGGGAAAGACCACGTAAGAGGGAGCGGTCAAGGGAGAAGACAGCGACACCCTGGTGGACGACAAGGAACTGGGAGAGGCATCAAGGGAAACTTACCATCCATGGCAATGGTACGGACGACATTCTCACCCAGATGTTGCTGTTTCCACGTTAGCTATGATCTTGTTTGATGTTATCAGACCGAATGATATTTTTTTTTTTCGGTCTCCATCTCAGAACATACCGAAACCTCCAGGACGAGCTTCTGGCCACCGTTCTGGGTCTCAATGGCGTTCAGAATGGCGGGAAGCTTCTCGCCGTCGAACTTGACTGCAGTCGAAAGTCAGCGGTTAGGAATTCTCGATGAATTTCGGGTCGTTGTTGATGATTTTGGCGATGAAGAAAAGATTTTCGCGTAGGGGTTCCCGGGAAAGCAGGGTTTTTTTTCTCGGGTATCCGACCAACGTACCGTCGACGACGGCACCAATGACCTGATGAATCTTGCCAGTGGAAGCAGCCTCAGAGCTGGCAAACCGGGCGAGAGAAGGGAAGCCATTGGCCTTGGGCTGGAAGGCGCGGCGGGCGACGGGGGCAGGTCGGGCGAAAGCAGCCCTCCCGAAGGTCCGGGCGAGACCGCTATGAAGGGGAGAAAAATCGACGGTCAGCACGGGGGGGGAGCAAAAAGGAATTGATATTGAAACTACGAGAAAGAGTTAAAGGGAAAGAGCACTAACCTCTTAAACATGGTTCAGGTGTTGAAGAGCGAAATGGGGTGGGGAGAAGATGAGGTTAAAGTGAGGAGATGGGGGGGGAGAAGGAAGAGAGAAGGGAAAGGGAACTTGGAAGGGAAGAGGTTGACTGGGTTTGAGGTGAGCTGGACACACGGGCGAATTGTGTCCGCCTTAGCCTGTCCGGGGCGGTTTTGCCGACGATCCCGTGATGTGCCGAGCATTTCCCTTCACACTCTTTTTGAATTGTTTTGATTTTAGTATTTGATTTGATTTATTGATTTCTTCATGTCTCTTTATTTTACTTGATTGTAGTTTCTTCTATTTCACTTGATATCTATTTTTTTGGATATATTTTCTCTGTGGAATCAGTAGGTTCCCCTCTCCGTCTCACAGTCCCTCCCTAGCGCGTCTCTCCCTGGCTCCTCCGGAAACCGGGCTTAGGGGAAAAATCGCACACAAATGAGGAGAGTCTTGGCACCCGGATTAGCCCCAACCCATCAGATACTTCTGCAATGATTCGACTGAGGCTCATAGTGTTCTATCTTTTGTTGTTTTTTTAATTCCTGAGAATTATTTGATTATTTAAAACTAGTATTTTATTTTACATATTTATGTATGTATGTATTATTTTTTTTTTGTTTTGCATCAGTTGTGATCCTGGCTGGTTCATCCGACACCCGTAAACGCCGGCTGTCCATTTTCGGACGAACGCTGCAACGAAGGGGGAAATGAAGGGGAAAATTCTGACGGTTGTCCCCGTGACTCGTCATCGTCCCGACCGACCAGGGACCAGGGTAACGTTCATATATATGTAGACTACTTGTATCATTCGTTCTATAGGTTTGTATAGATATTATATTTAGGTGTATACGGAGTATATACTCGTATATATATATATATATATATTTATATATTTTTATATATTTTTATATATCTTTATATATACACCAGTTGATGCTCTGACCGACATGTACTCTGTAGTCTCCTACTAATAGCTTACCGCTTGACCAGCATGACATGTACGATAGTAGACACAAAATAGTCAAACCAATGCCTACTCAATAGCAGATATCAGAGATATATAATTTTGGGTACTAGTCCGAGATGATGTCTGCTACAGCCGATGATGAAATCACTCCTCTTACGATCAGATGATCTGACACTCCGGATCCGGAAACATCCGCTCGGACTACCACAACACGCATTACCAAGGGAAAGAAAATGATAGGACATGGAATATCTGAAATAAAGACATAGAAAAAATGTATATAGACCACAAAGGAAATACATAGATTATTGCACAATACGAGATACACGGATTCTTTTGGGCTAGAATTGACAACATTCGAGTGAGACACAATGGTGGAAGTGCCCATCCGCAATGGGAGATTTGATTGATCCGGCGGCAGCAAAGTGAGTGGAAGGGAGAAATGGACAGGGGACCATGAAGGTTTCATTTGCACAACGGGGGGACGGGCCCTATCCATCACGTTCGGCAGTCATCGGGGCGGTCGTTGCCTCGCATCTACGACTTCTCCAGAGGGGGGCTCTGCACGAAGCCCTTGCCCTGGTACTCCTTGGAGCTGATGCCCGTCATCGGGTCCATCTTCTCTCTCTGTTTTCACAGGAAACGTTAGCAGTGGTCCAATAATATCCGAGTTCAATACACCGGATGGATTCGCAACTTGGCGACCAGTATCACGTACCAAGGCGTACTCGTTGCTGGCCTCCTGCCACTCCTTCGACATGGTCTTGGGCTGCGGCTTGGCGAACAGGTGGATGACGTAGAAAATCGCAAAGGACACAGCAGTCAACTGGGTCACCTTGATCAGGATACGCAGACCCTCACCCTTGGGGGCACCGGCGCGAGGGCCGTGAGCGCCGAAAGCAATCCAGTAGGCTAGGTGGGGGAAGAAGAGATACCATCAGCAAAATTCTGTTCGGTCGGGGACAGCGAGGATTAAAAAGTGGGAGGGAGGGAGAAAAAAGGGAAGAAAAAAGAAGCAATTGTGGAGAGGAAAGATCAACCTACCGGCCTTCTTCTCCTGCAGGGTCATCTGGTGCCAGTCGACCTTCATGCGGTCCCTCAGCTGCATCCACAGCTCGGCCTGCTCCTGGGGGGGCATACCCTCCCAGCGCTTCTCGATGCCAGCGAGGGTCGGGTTGGCGATGGCATGCTCGGAGGCGGCGCGGATCTGCTGGGGAGCGACGGACTTCTTCTCGAGCTGCGGGCGAGCGTTCAAGCAAGCCATTGGGCCCGGGATGGTGCGGTAGGAGCGAGTGGCCGCCGAGGGCAGGGCCGAGCTGCGAGGAGCAGCCCGGGCGACAGAGCGAGCGAACATTGTGCGGTTGGCGAGAAGCGATCAATTGAACGATAAAAATACACTCTCCGGGAGCGAGAGAGAGAGAATTCTCCTGGGGAGGGTTGGAAGAGGCTAAAATACGAGTGGAGGAGGTGGTCGGGGCTCGCGATGGGGAGACGAAGTCAACGACCGATGGTGGTTTGAGGTCGAAAGTCGAGGATCCGGCGGGTTGGCTTAGTCCGTTTTGCCCGCCCGCTGATTGGTCCACGTCCCCTTGGTCACCCGAGAGTCCGTCTTCACCTCATCCGTCTTGATGGCACATGTTTATAACTGATGAGATTCTCTCCACGCACATGTCACTCCAGCTCTGTTCTAATTCCCAGGCTATACTTACAAAGGATGATCGATGTGAACCAAATTGGTGGAAACCGAAACTACTCCTACGATGACCTCCCAATCACTACACTATACCTTCGAACGAACGTCCCAAGACTACAGAATCCTAACGAGGTGAAGTTGTGTATTGAACTATACACCGATCCGCTGAAATCACACTCCAGACCAGGTGGCAGTATTCTGTACAGGCAAACGCTGACCAAAGGAAAACAACCCCCTCCCTAACGCTCGTTCATGGAAAGTGCCACGATCGCCAATAGCAAGGATGACACGGTCACTATCAAAGCAGTCAAAGTCGTAAAGATCTCATATTGAACTAAATGTGTGCAGAGAACGTGAATGAATCGGTTGTTCTGTGACAACCTCTCAAGCTGGGGACCGGCGGGGAGTGATGCCATGCAGGAACCAGCGCGTACACACAAAGATCACCGAGTCCGAACCCAGCCAGCGAACGTCATTTATTTGCCAGCCTTGCCGCCGCTGGCTTCAGCCAGGACGGTCTTCCACTCGATATCGCTCTTGTCGTCGGCGTGGATGGAAGTGGACAGGTTGAGGGCGTTCTTCACCGTCTCCCGGCTGCTGGCGTAAAGCATGGACCACTGTGGTTCGGTGTCAGTCATGGGCTCACAGCTTTCATGAGGGGGGTTAAGTGGGCCATACAAGAGTGGGGGTCTCGCTGGGGACCCAAGAGATGAAGATGATCTTGCTCCTACAGGTGGTCGGACAAGTTAGCGGATCTTCGTTGCATGAAACTAGAAGAGGTGTTGGGAATCTCATACCTCTTGCCTTCGCCACCACCCAGGTCATACTCGACGTCGTAGACAGCATAACGGGGGGCAGGGTTGCCCTTGGCATCACGGGCAGATTCTAGCTTGCCACGGAAAACCTCGTAGTCCTGGTCCGACGAGGTCTCATCGATGACGACCTGCTTCTTGTCGTCGGTGATCTTGAAGATGATGAACTTGGTCTTCTCGCCATGCTTGTTACCGCTCATGCGGAACTCGTTGAACTTAGAGACGCATTCGTCGGCAACGGCGACACTAAGGGTTGTAATTCGTCAGTACGGTGTCGCGGGGTTCCCGGGTGGTTCGGGGGGGGGGGGGGGGGGGGGGGGGGGTTGCGCGGGGGGGGGGGGGGTGGGGGGGGGGGGGGGGGGGGGGGGGGGGGGGGGGGGGGGGGGGGCCTAGTTGAGGCGATATCCGTTGACGTACCCAGATGCGAGCTGTGCAAAAAAAAAGTCAGTCCTAGTTGTCTTCTCCTTCACTACAAGTTTGAAAAGCAATATCATCACTTACCGACATTGTGATTTGTGTTGGGGGAAGAAAAAGAGGTCTGGAACAATAGCGATGATCTGTTAGTTACTGGTTCCCCCTGTTCCGTATGCTGCGCCTCGATGGGGAAGAAAACAAAACGAAGCAATGCGACAAAAGACAACAGATAGAGTTGCTATATAGGAAGTAAAAAAAAGTCAAAATGTGAGAACTTACAGGTACTTGAAGATTAAACAACGGTAAAAGGGGGAGATGAGGAGAAAGGGAGTAATAGAACAATAGTAAGGTAGTGATGGAGCCGAGATGGAGATAGAGGGGCATTTGGTTTAGTTGTTGTGCTTGCGTTTGGCGGCGGCGGTGGGGCGGGGGGCAGTCACACGTGACGGGCCGTCGCACCACCCAGTTTATGGAGTATGCCTAGTAGACAGTAGAACGGCCCTATCTGCTCTGTTCGACGAGGTGTGGTACATTAACTGTATGAATAGATACAGATTTTTATTCTAGTTGACCTGGCTGATTGAAGGGTGATTTAATACGATATATATCCGGAATCTTTCTTTTTGACATACAGAGATATATATATATGTACAATCTGGATATCACTTTGCTACAAGAAATGTACAAAAACATCCACACGATCCTATGACAAGAAAGTTACAAATGCAAACATCCAAGGCGAGAGAATCTCCGATTTATCATCTTCAAAACTCAGAACTCGATATTATTACCAAGAAGTAGAGCTCGCGTACGGGGGCTTCGACATGGAATTTGTTTGAGCAAAACCAAAGGCGCGTAATGGTCACAGCTTGTTCAGGGAAGATTGCTCTCCTGTGAATAGTTTGCTGGAATGGAAAGTCCCTAAGCCAGAAACCAGGCAAAAGGGGTCTAGACCATCTTCCAGGCGACTCTGGTGTCTAGGCGTTCCTGCATTTGACGTAGGTAGATGGAGAAGTGGGAGCGCTGATATCAGCGGAGATTCAGTCACTCACTACGTTATCTCTCTCTCTCTCTCTTGATTGTTCTACAACAGTACTATCCAAGGACCCTGATTTACAACCAATTCTCAAGATCAATTGAACCTGTTGCTATTCTTGGACTGTACGCATCACGGGTTTCTGGGCCCTTCGAGGGAAGCAATGGATAACGTGTTGACTTGATGTTTTCACTGCGTGATATCCGAAAATCAATCAACGAATGACACAGCTATGGCTTGATCTGGACATCGCACCCAAACCTTGCAAGTTGCATGATGCAATGGGGTGGTTTTTGGCCCCCAGTGTGACAGCGTCCGCCATACCCCAAGGTAACATATCACTCTATGATCCCGGCCCTGGCAGGTTCATGGACGCGGGGAATATCCGCTCGTGATACTGGTGCCACTGGAAACTCATAAAGGAGGTAGCTAGAGGCTGAGCTGCGATTCCAATTTAGAACTTATCTCGTGCACGTTGCAGATAATCTTCTTCGGAAACTTCGCATTCTTATCATGTGAGGCAGTGCAATGTCAACCGTCGGTCCGTGCCCCTTCCAACAGCCCTAAAACGCAAGTTATAAACTACACCGTACTGTTTGATGTTGAATGATTAGTTTATAGAGGTACTCTGTGCGAAAGATATCTTGTAGTTGGTTGTGGCTTATCAGTAGCGAGAAGCAAGGTTGACTTTCTAGATGGCAAGGCACAAAATAAATCCAGTGGCGGCTTATATCGCGGAGGTTGTGGTGGAGGCTAAGGTAGATAATCAAGCCCCTTATCCAGGAGAGGGAATAGCTTCAATCTATTCTGTCGTCCATTCGAGGTGGTCCATCCCACTTTGTTGTGTGAGGGCCATACTGATGTATCACGGGCAAGTTGAGCTTCGACAGGTGTGGAGGCTGAGCCTGTAGAAAATAAACCATCAGGTCGAGAGAGCAGCCCATCGTATACTCTGGAAAAAAACTATATAAACACCATTCAATCACCTCTGTACCACGTCTCTACATCTTCCATCTTCTCCAGGTCAGCGACAGTTCCAAAGCCATCATCCAACCCGATCTTTATCGATTGTCCCCCTTCATATTTAAGCAACATGCGTGGATCGATCCTCAAATTTGGCCTTACCATGGCTCTTCTAGCCATGGGAACAGCAAACCCCTTGCCCCTCGACCAGAACGTCTACGATGAAACCCCCACGATCATCCCCAGAGTAATGAACATTACTGCCCGCGAGTTTGTCGAGGCGGGAGGCGCCTATATGGACGCTCCCGACTCTGACGGAAATCCACCGGTCGATGTCGATAAGCGAGGCTTCCAGCCGCCGGATGCTTGTCGCATACCCGCACGACTTTACTACAAACTCAAAGGGGACGGAGATCCCCACCAGAACTTCGTCATTACCCAAAAGGGTGGCTCGCTAGTATCGTGCTCCGCAGAGGATGGCTCCACGGGGTCTGGATACGAGCAGAGTCTCAGCTGGTCCATAACTGGAGGTGTCAACATCCCCTGGGCGTCCGTCAGCCTGGGCGTCTCCGAGTCAGAGGCGTACACCGTGTCGCAATCTTTCACATGTGGCGGCGTTGCGAAGCAGAAAGGAAACATTTGCGTGCTTGTCTACCAGGCTGTCACTGCGTTTAAGGTGGAAGTACACAAGAGCGATCCCTGCAAGGGTATCGTAGATCAGAAGTGGGATGAGACTATCTATGCGCCCAATGGAAACAAGATGGGCAGTATTGGAGCACGGGGAATCAACGTCGCGAAGCATGGCGTGGTCCAGTGTGTTGGTGATGTCGACCGCACTATCAATCATTACTGTGGTCCTAAGGGCGATGCCTCGTGGTGGAGAGGCAAGCAGGCGGGTCCGTGGATTAAGGAGTATGTCGATCAACGAGAGCCCAAGGATTGCAAAGTTCCTATCGAAGCTCATCAGTACTTTGATTGATTTGTCGATTTGTTGGTAGTAGGCTCGATATAGTTGGTGGTCTTGTGGTATGCTGTTTTATGCTATGGTACAATGTGCTTTGCAATATTCCATTACTCATTGTTTATAATATTACTATATGCTATAATTGTCCAGAGGTAAAAGAGTATCATACTGTTAAACTTGGTATAACCCAACAAACATCAAGCATTATCTGAAGCTGGCTCTCTCTATGGCCTAATACAGCCCGTCCGTAGTCAATTCTGCGGTGTATCACACCTCAGGTCTTTAGAAACACACCCTTACAGATTGACCAATATACTATATCGATGACTGAGAATCTCGGCACAGCATTTTATTCCATTACCAAACAATCATCGATTTTCCCATATCTACCAAACTGCAATTCCGACAGATAGTTATCATATGGCTGTCATGGCTTTTGCTGGGCTGCTTTAGGTAGCTCCCTCTCTGCTCGGATCACGTATGTCGCATACAAATCCAACATTTGCTTCTCTTTCAGCTTATCTCTGTCTTGTAGTCTGGGAACAACGGTTGCTAATTTTAATTTCTCAAGATATAGCAGCAGACGACACATGACTTGAGATTTGGCGTCTACACCCAGGGTCCACGAAGTATCAGTGTATCTCAAGAGATACGCCGCATTGGGGACATCTTGCAGCGTCAAGTCATTCCGCAGATGTTTCTCGGATATTCGGCACTATTCTTCATTAATGTAGAAAGTAACACCGCGTGTAATCTGCAGTTTCAGCCCTGTGGCTGTGATGGTCATATCTGCCTCCAACTCTTCTCCCGGAGATAGGCGAATTCGGTCGTCCACGACCCGTTCAATCTGATCGGTCCTGATGTCGTTGACGGACCTGTGTTCAGGCACTTGAAAAAGTCTTGCAGCATGGTCACTCGTGCTGCCGTTTCCGCCAACTTTGGAAGTAATGTCACTGCTGTGGTACCGCTGCCGGTGACCACAATCCGCTTCCCAGAGCCGCTCAGAGCTAGACCAGGAACTCGAGATCAGTCGGTGGCCGAAACAAGATATGTCTGCCGATGCCGTACTGCGCAGTGGCATCAGCAGACATATCTTAAGACCGAGGCTCCGTCGGCAATGACACTCGCTTGCTCCCAAGGCTTTTGTGAAGGCCATAAGTAAACAAGCCATAATCGGAGCGGACTTCAGGGTACCAAAATGTGTTCCTGGTACCACCAATGTTATCACGAGCTTCAGGGATAGTCTAAGAGCATCTAGAAAGATTTGTTTGGAGGTGGTAGGCGGCGTTAGTGCCAGAAATGCCGGCGCCAACAATAATCACGTCGAAGATATCATTTTGCAGAAGACGGGGCATTCATGTTCGGTATGTGGTGGGTTGAAGGACTAATGTACAGGCCCTTGAAAGGATTGACTGGTCAAATGTACTCAAACGCGCTGCGACTTCGTTCTGATCTTGCATCTGTATGACGAGTACCATCATTTCTCCAATCCAGCTAGTTATTCTCACAAATGGTTCAATAATGTATGTATGCCACAAGCGAGCAGGCTACCCCTGCTATACGAGGATCGTGGTTTCTACCAACAAAACGATTGCTCTTCTATATAAATGTTGATCGAATACTTGTCAGATATGGCATAACTGACCATGAAGCTGACAAAAAGATATTCAAAAAAAAATCTATATCTGTAATTGTTATGACCAATATCCATTGACCCTTATCAAACATAAATTATCATATCTCATGTCCTTTAGACTCTTACTTGCAAGTCATAATGTAATGTTTAACTGGCCCGAGGTATGAATAAATACCTGGGCGTGGGTATTTGGCTAGCCAATCCTTTCCTCGTCTCGTCTCGTCTCATCCCGGGTACGTACGTTTGCATGCGAGTGCAACCGCAACTGGTGGGTAGGTAGCACTGCAGGAGGATTGTATTGGGTTGGTGGATGATGGGCCGGGGTTGGTGGTGCCGAGGATGTGCATGGTTGTAAGATCCTCGGCGGAGGAGTTAGGGTGGTATGAGGTCTTTGATTTGAGACTTGGTCTAGCCGGTAGAGGATGACAATGGTGGTCAAGTGTTATTCGGATGTTCCATAATCATTGGGTTGATTTAATTAAATGATTATGTTCTTCTCTCGTTTGTATAGATCTTTGAGAAGTTTGAGCTGGTTGACTCCCATGCTCTGCCGGGGAAGCGCATTCGGAAGGTCAACAATAGCCTGTCTCATCAATGCGAGTCCAATATGGCCGAAGAAACCGACGATCCTTTCCGCGGAGGACTTCAGCATAGCAGAAAGAAGAATGAGATGTGTCTCCTGGATCTCGGCCGGGGGGATCGACAGGATCTTATGCATGGTCATCCAGAACATGGTGTTGGGGAACGGATTCTTGCGAGGTGTTTTTCCAAAGTTGCGCAGCGTCAGAGCGGAGTATCCTGCGCCCAGCGCGGTCATTCGGTCTGCGTGCGCCTGCTCGCTGATATAGGGACCGCCGGGCCCGTCTCTCCACCAGCCCAGGGCGCGTCGGCCGCCTTCTGTTTTCTCGCTGCCGTGGAATCCCCACAGGGCTGGGCAGATCGCGCGGTATTTGGCCCATAGGATGTCGACCATGTGGCATCCCTTGTAGATGAAGGCGTCTGAGGAGAAGATCTGGGCTGCTACTATACCGACTGGCTCTGCATGTCCGTGGTTGATAGAGGCTTCCGTGATGAGGGATGAGATGAGAGACTTGGAGAATATGTTCAGGGCGTAAATCAACAGCGCTGGGACCTTGTTGTCGTCTGAGTTGGCGATGTTGTCTGGGGGGAAGGCGAGGAATTGGCGGATATCCACAGAGGGTTCTGGGATGGTGGCAGCCTTTTCGAGAGTCGCGCGGATTTCTTGAAGCTACATGGAATGTGCTTGTTAACATCGAAATTCTAGGAAAAAGGAGCGCATTGGCTTACCTGGCCCTTGTTGGTTCCCTTTCCTTCTCGTAGCTGGCCCACGCATTTTTTGATCGACCGGCGCATATCTCCCATGTTCTGTTTGACGACGGGATTGGTCTTGCTTTCGTCCTTCATGTATTGTCGGAACTTCTTGAGGTGCTGATGCAACTCCACATAACGAGCCTGCACCTTGATCTCTTCAGGCGTCAAACGAGCCCCTCCGACCTGCTTCTGTCGTTCCGCCGCCGCTTTCTTCGCCGCTTCATCCCGGGCCCGGGCAGCGTCTTGTTCCGCTTTTTGCGCCGCCGCCTGACGCTTCCGATTCTCATCCTCCAACCGCTCCCGTTCACTGCGCTCCTTTTCCTCCTGCGCAGCCTTGCGCTTCTGCTCCGCCTCCTGCTCTGCCTTCTTCTTCGCGTCTTCAGCCGCTTTCCGTTCCGCCTCGCGTCGGGCTGCTTCCTCCTGCTCGCGTCGAAGCTTCTCCTGCCGTTCTTTTTCTTTCCGTTCCGCCTCCCGTCGAGCTTCTTCCTCCTTTCGGCGATGCTCTTCTTCTACCGCTCGCTGGTGGACCCGCAACGTCTCCTCCGCTTCCTGCCGCACCTGCTCACGTTCCGCGGCGACCTTGTCGAGAGCAGCATTATGTTGGGCCTCGACCTCACTGTCGATGCGGTCGAGATTTTCATAGAAGGAACGGCGTTCGTAGGTTTTGACTTTCTTCAATTCAGCGTTGTGGATGCGCAGTTCATCGAGATCCTTGGCTAGTTCGAAGATCAATTGCTTGGACGGGCTGTCCAGTTGCGAGGGGTAGCTGAGGCGACCCATGGTGTGTGAGGTGCGAAGTTGGAGGAATGGGGGTTTGCGGTAGGAGGTATTGCAGACCCAGTTGTAGGTTGGGGTAATGGGTGTTGATGGAAGATCAGAGTCAACAACTGCATAAATATAGCAGGGCTCTCTGGAAGGAAGGACAGAGGAGCCCGGTGCCACAGTCCACGTTCCCACGGGGTTATGAATCAAAGTCTGCTTGGGTTTGAGTTGTCGGCTCTAGGGTCAATCCTAGCAGATTGGTCACAGTGTCGCGCTAGGGTTGCTCATACAAGCATCGCGGAAAGTTCTCGACAGACTCTCGGATCAGGAATTGAAAGACAGATTGAACAAGAAAGCTACCGTGGATATGACCCCAGGATAGGATAGCGGACAGAAAAGAAGGTATCTCTTTTTTAAAAGAGAATTGGGCTGAGAAAAGAAAGGACCAGCTGGTTGCTCTGGTGGATGGACTGTGAAGCGCATCTGTTGCGCTCGCCAGGCACAACGTCGAAGCCAAGAGTGAGACTCGCACTATTCCAAAGGTAGTTAGACTGGTTTCGGGTCTGGCTGAGTCATCGATAAGGTGACCACTGACAGCCTGGATATTCAGGAATCAAGAATGGTCAAACATGCAAACTGCAGGACCTTTAGGGGGTAATTTACAGGCGTATTCTGCCGTACGGACTAACACAAGACTGTCCCAACCATCCACCGAATCCACCGCTCGGGTAGCCGTTCTTTGGTTGCAGAGTCGACAGATGGGGCTTCCTTTGCATCATCATGAACATCACCGGTGGATCGACGGATTTACCAAAGCTCAGTCTTCAAGTGCTCCCATAACATACTAACCATCAGGACTATATATGTCAAAAAATTAAATCGATTTGATTATACTGATTTTATGACCACATCTCCCAGCCAGCCACTATTGTATCACTATCAGTTACCTAAGTCATGATTTACTGATCCTCAGGTATCTTTCCACCGCCTCTCCACTCTTGGCACTTCCTGGATCTGCTGCGGGTCTCGGAAGACCAAAATTACCGGTGGATGATTGGTCCGGTGCCAGAAGGCAGACACATCTAGTGTATCAATACCGTCACCGCTCCAATGTATTCTATCTGTTTCTTTCTCATGGATAGATTGATGTCTGTCAAATCTACCTCACCTCCAAAGTCCCACCACTCCTGCTGTACCACGATTGGAATGCGGCTTTCGAGTCACATCTGGATATAACAATGGATTTCTATCAGAGCTATCCACGGTGACTTCACTTTTCACATCTACAAGAAGAATCCAATTGGTGGAAAAACGGACAGAATCGTACGGTTTCCACGGGTGGCTCCAGCTCCACCTCATCAATACCAACCAAAACCCCCCATTGCTCAAGCTCGATGACAGACCAAGAACCAAGATACAGCCTCCGGTGGTCTGCAAAGTGTGGTAGCTTTGGTTTAGTGCCGGAGACAAGATTCAAACCATTAGCTGCTTCTTCCCTCGTGATGCAATCCTTGTCGTGATTCACCCAGGGTCCAGGCAGCCCGTTGAGTGCCGAGACGCAGGGTAATCCAGATACGAACAAAGTCCATTGATTTGGTTGGATGTATTGACTTTTTTGGACTATCCACATGGGAGATGGTGCTTTTGCTGTTTCTGGTATCTCTCTGGTTCTTCCCCCACACCGCTGGGGTGACGGAGGATCCTGCATTGATTGACAGTATAGCTTCATCCATCGTCTAGAGAGAAGATTGAAATTCGAAGATTGGATATTGTCATTGTTCTGTATCAATTCAATCTCTTGGTTGCCTTTGTTGTAATAGTAGAATATTTCTTGATAGATACTGATGTATTGCCTGAATAAACTAAGGCTCCGTACTATGGTTGAATGTGATCATTATGGGTTCACCACCATCAACTCTTTCACTTGGGATATTTGACTTCTCTCTTCCTTTCTCTCTCTCTCTCTTTCTCTCTCTCCTCATCCTCTTCCATCTCTCCACCTCCTTCTCTCTCCTTCTTCTTCCTCTTCTTCTTCTCCATCTCCATCTTCTCTCCCCTCGCCTTCTCATCATCTACTTTCCTTTGATGATCTTCCCCTCCCTCTTTCTTCTCAACCCCTCAATCATTCCTTCAAGCTTGAAACCGCTAGTAGCATCACTCTAATTGAGTGACTTCACTTCCTGTCATTCTCTGCTCGAGGTCCGACAGCTCGTTGCTCGTGTCTCGTCCATCTGATGATCCACCTGGACAAAGCGGATTCACCATTCTGACCTCACCTCTTGGAACCAACCCAACCTTTGTCGGATTCTCGAACTATTTGCCATTGTCCCACACCCCTTTTCATTCTTACACTTTCTTCTGGTTAGGGAATTCCACACGTCAAGTCATTCAACAAAAAGGAGTTTGGAAATACTTCCCCTTACGATCCCATTCCTCATTCCTTTGGATCTTAGTCGATCATAGAAAGATACAAACAGGAGGGGGAAAAGAAAAAAAAAAAAAACCATACTACTTTTGGAATAATCCAAAAAAGAAGAAGAAAAGAAAAGAAAAAAAGACCACGGAAAAAAGAAAGAAAAAAAGGGAGAGCTACAATAGAATCCAGCAATTAGGGGGATCCATTGATCGCTTGCATGGCAGTTGAAACTTGGGGTCGACCGCCAGCTTTCCTCCGCTGACTCGCTACTTTTACTTCCCCTCTCTTTGCTGCTGCTTTCTTCTCCTCTCTCTCTTCCTCCACCCCCTCCATCTTTGGAAGCTTCCGCCTCCCTCTCTCTCTCTCTCTCTCTCTCTCTCTCTTTCTCTCTCTATCTCTCTTTAGGGGCTTCCTCCTTTTCCCCTCCCTCCATACCCCTATACTAGTCCGGTGTTCATCCATTGCAGTCTGATTTTCGCCTGGTTCGTTTTCTACTCCACCATTTCGGATTCTCAATCGATCCGTTTTCTATCCTTGCGAAAACTGTCGTTGCCGGCTCCGCACCGCTTCTTGCCTGTCGGTGCTGTCCCGCTTTGCGTAAAAGGGGCAAAGGGAATTTCAAATTTCGCCCAGACGTCATTGCACAACATTCCTCCCAACGTTGGACGATCATTTTTCAAGGTCAGTTCTCGCTCCCAATCAATCCACCGGTGGCATGGCTGGGCAATAATACCGCCGTTCCATCGTGGTTTTTATTGTCTTCCATGCCACCTCTGCCGTTCTTTCCACTCTCACCCACCCACCCCGTCCTCGGGGGCTCCCGTTGATGTCACTCGACCATGGGGAAAACCCCAGGCTCGATCGCAGCTTCCGTTCGCCCACAATGCCTTCCCATCTACTTCTTCTCTCATCTTCATGGTCTCGGGCTTTCTGTTTCTGCCTCACAACTCATCCTATCGTCCCGCACCTACTAACCGATCGTTTCCTCTTATCCAGTATCCTACGTGCCTGTCCTTCTAAACTTACTTCGGTCGGTCTGCCTGGCATTTTATTCCGACAAGTGCGATCCCGTCATTCCCAACGCTCTCTCAGGTCCTTCCCAGCACTTGATCTTCAATAAATCGTTCGCTTGCTTCCGGCAAACATGGATCAGCAAGGCCAATCCGGGGTCCCCGGCCCCGCTGGCCGCAAGCTCCATATCGCTCACCGGCGAAGCCCCTCAGAACTGACCCCTCTCATGAGTACGTCCCAAACCTCCCCCCCCCCCCCCCGGGTCCCCATTTCCTCTAGGATCTCGCGCTAATGGCCGTGTTTTCCCTCCAACAGTGGAACAGCTGGCGATTCAGCAACAGATCGAGCTGCTTCAGCAGCAACAGCAACAGATTGCCGCTACGCATCAGCAATATGTCAACATGGGTCTCTTACAACCACAGCAATTGGGCCAGGTTGGCGGCTTCTCTCCCTCGCTTCAGGGAGGTGCAAGCATGGCTGGGGTTTCCCCTCAGCTCAACGCCTTCCAGTTCCCCCAGGTCGCTCAACAGCAGCAGCAGCAGCAGCAGGGCCTGGGTGTGCCCCAACATTCTCACCGACGCAACCAGTCGGCACTTCCCGGCCTCGGTTTGGGCCCCCCGCCCGCCCCGTCCTCGGGGGCGTCGGGTTATAGCGACTACAACCAACCCCAGCAGGGGAACCACCAGAGAAACGAAAGTGGGAACAACGGCCGTGGTCGCGGTGGCCCACCCGGTGGTGGTCACCAGCGTCGCCACTCGCTGGCCTTGCCCGAAGCCAAGAAGGCCGCCGAACTGGCCCAGCAGAAGCGGACGGCGTCCGGTTTCCAGTTCCCCGCCCCCAGTGAGTCGTCGGACAGTGCGGGCAACTCGGACGGCAAGTCGACCCCCACGGCCCCGCAGCCGTCGCAGACCCAGGGCCTCGGCCTGCATCGCGCCGGCAACATGCGGTCCGGTGGCGGTGGTCACGGTCGGAGCCAGTCCATGGCCGTCGGAGGCAATCGTGGCTCGCTCTCCGGCCGTGGTGCCGGTGGGTTCCAGTTTCCCATGTCGAACGACGGCTCGGAAAACCAGCGACGTGGCAGCCAGGCCGGTGGCCATGGCCGGAGCTCGTCTCGCAACTTCGACAGCAACTGGCGTCAGCCCAACAACCAAAACCAAGGACAGGACCAGCAGCAAAAGGGATTTGGCCAACAGGGTAGTGGTTTCCAGCCCGGGCACCGTTCCCGTGGGTCCATGAACCAGTCCATGGGGTCCATCGGTTCCTTCCAGTATCCGGGCCAGCCCCAGCTCATCCAACTGCCTCAGGGTCAGATGGTCATGGCCCAGCCCCAGATGTTCGGCGGCGGGCAGCAGCTGAACCCCCTGCAGCTGGCCCAACTCCAGGCCTTGCAGCAGAATGGGCAGATGAACACCCAGGGCCTCGGGGGCCTGCAGGCGAGTCAGCACGCCCCGCCCCAGCTGTCGCCCCAGCAGCAACAGCAGCAGCAGCAGCAGCAGCGCAAGACGCTCTTCACGCCCTACCTCCCCCAGGCGAATCTGCCCGCGCTGCTGAGCAACGGCCAGCTGGTCGCCGGTGTCCTCCGCGTCAACAAGAAGAACCGTTCCGATGCCTACGTGACCACCTCCGACCTGGATGCCGACATCTTCATCTGCGGTAGCAAAGACCGCAACCGTGCCCTCGAGGGCGACTTCGTCGCGGTGGAACTCCTGGATGTCGACGAGGTCTGGGGTCAAAAGAAGGAGAAGGAGGAGAAGAAGAAGCGCAAGGACATCACGGACGCCCGGTCCGGTAACAATGGCGGCCCCGACAAGCTGTCGCGATCCGACTCCGGCCCCAACGGGGACCGCCAGGAGGTCGGCCCCGACGGAAGCATCCGCCGCCGTGGGAGCTTGCGCCAGCGCCCGACGCAGAAGAAGAACGACGACGTCGAGGTGGAAGGTCAAAGCCTGCTCCTGGTGGAGGAGGATGAGATCAGCGACCAGCAGAAACCGCTGTACGCCGGACACGTCGTCGCCGTGATCGAACGCATCGCCGGCCAGATGTTCTCGGGCACCCTTGGTCTCCTTCGCCCCAGTAGCCAGGCGACGAAGGAGAAACAGGAGGCCGAACGGCAGGCCCGCGATGGCGCCGGCGGCCGTGGACATGATCGCCACCAGGACAAACCCAAGATTGTGTGGTTCAAGCCGACGGATAAGCGCGTGCCTCTGATCGCTATTCCGACGGAGCAGGCCCCTCGCGACTTTGTCGAGAAGCATCAGGACTACGCCAACCGCATCTTTGTTGCCTGCATCAAGCGGTGGCCCATCACCTCGTTGCATCCGTTTGGTACGCTGGTGGAGCAGCTGGGTGAGATGGGCGACCTGAGGGTGGAAACCGAGGCGCTGCTCCGCGATAACAACTTTGGCTCCGACGAGTTCTCCGAGGCCGTTCTCAAGAGCATCGGTTTTGAGGATTGGTCCGTGGACAGCCAGAGCGAGGCGCTGCTCGCCTCTCGTCGGGATTTCCGCCAGGAGACGACCTTCACCGTCGAACCCCAGGGCACCAAGGAACTCGACAACGCCTACCACATCAAGAACCTCCCCGACGGTCGCGTGGAAATTGGCATTCACGTCTCGGACATTGCCTACTTCGTCAAGGGCAACTCCTTGGTTGATCGGGAAGCGAAAAAGCGTGGCACGGCGGTGTATCTCATGGATCGCCTGGTCAACATGCTGCCTCCGCGCGTCTCCACCGAGCTTTGCGCGCTGCTCCCGGGCCAGGATCGTCTGACGGTCAGCGTGGTCCTCACGGCCAACCCCGAAACGGGTGCCGTTGATGACGATGTCTGGATTGGTAAAGGCATCATAAAGAGCGCAGGCGGACTGAGCTACGAGGAAGTCGAATCCGTCATCCAAGGCAGCTCGGCCGTTTCGGTTCCTGGAATCTCTTCCGAGATCATCCAGTCGCTTTATGTAAATACCGCCCCCCCCCCCTCTCCCTTCTCTTACCAGGCGTCCTCTAACTCGATCTAGGCCGTTGCCTCCAAATTCCGCGAGGGGAGATTCGGAAACCGGGCCTCGCGCATGCCCTCGCTTCGTCTCCTGTATCAGCTTGACGATGAGAATGTGCCGGTTGAGCACAACGTCTTCAACGCCTCTGCGGTCCGCGAGCTGGTGGAGGAACTTAGCCACAAAGCCAACTACTACGTGGCCCGCAAGATCGTTGGCGCTTTCCCCGAGAAAGCCTTCCTTCGCCGCCAGGGTTCTCCCAACGGCCGACGCCTCCAGACTTTTGTTGATCGGATGAACCGACTCGGCTTTGACTTGGACATGACGAGCAGTGGAAGCTTGCAGAGCAGCCTTTGTAAAGTCCAGGACGACGAACTGCGCAAGGTTGGTCATCTGGCACACAGGCCGTTGCCACCCCCCATTCAAAAAAGAGAGTGTTGCTAACCAATAAACAGGGCATGGAAACGATTCTGGTGAAAGCCATGCAACGTGCCAAATACTTTGTGGCCAGTAACGTGCCCGAGGAGCGTCACCACTACACCCTCAATATGCCCGTGTACACTCATTTCACGAACCCCTCTCGCCGTTACGCCGATATCGTCGTCCACCGTCAGCTCGAAGCTGCCCTGTCCGACGGGGCCATCGAGTTCTCGGACGACCTGGAGTCTCTGAGCAAGACGGCGGATCTCTGTAATAACAAGAAGGATTCGGCCCACAACGCTCAGGAGCAGAGCGTCCATATCGAAGCGTGCCGTGCCATGGACAAAAAGAGACAGGATGCCGGAGGTGACCTGATCAGCGAGGGCATTGTCATCTGCGTCTACGAGTCGGCCTTTGACGTTCTCATTCCTGAGTATGGCTTCGAGAAGCGTGTCCACTGCGATCAGTTGCCCTTGAAGAAGGCCGAATATCGCAAAGACAGCCGGGTCCTGGAGCTGTACTGGGAGAAGGATGTGCCTTCTTCGGCGTATATCCCCGAGGATGAACGTCCCAAGCCCGCCAACTCGCGGGCTGCTCAGGCTGCTGCCGCCGCTCGCGAAGCGGAAGCCGCCAAGGCGCGCGCCCGTGAAAGGGAGGAGGCGATGCGCAAGCAGACCGAGACTGGCACGATGTCTGCGGACGACGTCGATGCGCTGTTCGACGACGACGACGATGTTTCCGAGGTCACTGAGATGGCTGCTGGTGTGTCATTGAACTCGTCGGCTGACCGCTCCACGCAGAGCATGCCGCCTTCGCCGACTCGCAACGGTCACTTGCCGCAGGCTCCGCACCGGACGCGCTCTGACCCGAAGATTCCGACCAACACGGGCGATGCCCCCGAGGCCAAGATGACCAACAAGGAGAAGTATATGCAGCTCTTCAAACTCAGGGAGGAAGATGGAGATTATATCCAGGATGTCACCGAGATGACCCGTGTTCCCATCATCCTCAAGACCGACCTGACCAAGAGCCCTCCGTAAGTTATCCATGCTTTTTTTTGTTTTGCTATCCTGCCTTAGTGTACTCTGAACTAACGATGCATCTCCAGTTGCCTCACCATCCGTTCGGTGAACCCTTACTCACTGTAGAGCGTCTCTAATTCTGGATGCGCCCGTTGCACATGCAACCTTGCGTTTTCCGGCCAGCTCGGCAGATTGTCACGAGCGGTCCTTATATTATACAGTGACTGCCATGCACTGGGCCGTGGCTGTTACCCTCAAGATCACAATTCTCTCGTGCGATATTGTGAAGACCTTTTGGAGCCTCTGCTATTATGTATTGATTTATCAGTCTAGCGTGTTAATTTGCTTCTGTTCACTATTATTATTGGAGCCATCCTGGGCTTTGCAAGATCATCCTGGCGAATTGGTTGTCTTCAGTTTCGACGAAGCCATGGTTAAGAGCCATGGCTAATTCTTGGGTTGAAGACTTTGGTATATTGATCCCTCGCAAGGTGCGCCAAGGAGCCAGGATGTTCGAGGAGATGTGGGAATTCGATGTTATTGACTAGTGATATCCGCTGACGGGGAGCCCACCGCCAGGGATGCCTTGGAGGAAAATTGCGTCTGTTCGTCTTAGATGTTTGCATAGCTTATCTCCATTAACCAGATGGTTCGGATGTTTCTGGAAGTATAGGAAGTATCGTAGGACATTCAGTAGCGCGGTGCCTTGCACATTGGACTGTGGTGGTCATCTCCATCTTATCTCATCTTTGAGAGCCCCAATACCTTGGGCCATATACGAAGTAACTAGTCAGTCTACGAATTACTTTATACACAAAGTAGAAACTGATAGACGACTCACAACCAACAGGCCAATAAAACATGATGCATATCTGTCTATATGTCTATCCGGTCTATGACAAAAAAAAAAAAAAAGGAAATAAAGTAATCATTAGATGCATCCATTGAAGAGAGAAGAGAGAAAGTCCACATCTACAAGAACCTAACCTTTCCTTCCTCTCCCTTCACTTCCTTTCCCTTCCAACATACACACCATCCCCCCTATGATGGATATTACGCCCAGAAAGGAATGGTATTCCATTTTCATTCCGCTCTACCGCCGCAAGTCAGACCATGCACCTATGTATACCCTTGCTCCCACGCCATGCATTGAGAAGAGAAGATGAAATTTGATGTTCTCGAGAGCCAAGCCAAGACAAGACAAGACGACGCCGTTGTTGATGCCAATGTTCGGAATATAATCTAGGCTAGATGAGAAAAGAAAAGACAAAGAGAAAAGAGAAGATATTCGGGAAATGCATAAGTGGATGCTGATGATGACGATTCATTAAAGGCGTAAGAAGAAGAGAAGAAACAAGACAATCATAGTCGGCGGATACCGATTCGTGGCTTGGGTTTTTGAGCGTTATGGAAGGCGGAAGGGGGCTTTCGGGAGCTGCCCACGACTAACTTTGTGGTTGTTTTTGGGCCGAGTTGGGTTGAGGAGGATGTTGAGGAAGAAGACGAGGAATTGAGGGTGTCTAGTTTCCGAGTGGGTTTTTGAGGTCCTAATACTGCTGTTCGTTCCTTGAGAGCGGCGCTGTCGCCGCTACGGGAGAGGTGATTTTTCTTGCCGTTGCCGCTGGGGTTGCGGCGGTGGCCTGAGTCGCCTGGGTGGGGCGCGTCTTCGAAGATCTTGACGTCTTCGCGGATGCGGCCTGAGGCGTTGATGCCCTTTTCGATGATGGATAGTTTAGGGGATTTCCTTTGGGGAGAGCCGTCCGCGTCTGCGGGACAGTTTGCAGCGATGTTCTTCTCCGAGGCGGACATGCCTGTCCCGTCTGCGTCGTGGTCATCCTCTCCCGTTGTCGCGAGTTCCGCCTCCACGGGCATTGTCAGTACGGAGAGTGGGCGTTTGCCAAGTGCGTTCTTGCGGGGACTGGATGGGGCGAATTTCACAGGCGAGGGGGATAGAGACGGATCATTTTCTTTTGGCTCGTCGTCTGTTTCTGGGTCTTGATGCGCCTCGGTTTGCTCTTGGGTTTCTGGTATCGAGTTAGGCGGCTGCGGCGTCGACGTCGATCGCGACGAGGCGCCCTCCTCGGCCGTATTACGTCGAGTGCTCCTCTTCTTCATGGTCACTGTTTGTGTTCTGCCCTTGCTTCGCGGCCGTAGAGAGCGCGAATCCTCGTGCTCTGGGATGATCGCCGCGCCGGCGTCCTCGCCGCGCATCTTCGCCTCGGATACTGCGTGCTGCAGTTCCGACGGGACCAGGGCGTGTATAGACGTCATCAGTTTAGCCTGGCGGGAGAAGGCATCGTAGTTCTCCTGAAGCAACGCGCCAGCTGTAGAGTTGAGGGCAGAGTCGGGATTGGGGTAGATAAGGAGACATGATATCGTCTGTGACAGTTAGCCTTTCTCCTTTCCGGCTATGCGGCGAACAAAGAGTTGCACTTACGACCAGCACATCCTTCAACGTCAGCGTCGACTTCCAATCCCGTTTCAATGTGTCCACACACACAGCGCCCGTCGACTCCTCGACATTCGGGTGCCAGATGCGCGTCTTGAAAGTCGCCTTGGGCGGGCTCTTGGGATAGTCCTCAGGCATCTTCAGATGTAATCGCCATAGGCCCTGGGCGTAGGGTGTCCCCTGTGGGCCGGCCAACAGGGCAGTGAGTTGTGTGAGGTCATCGGCGGAGGCGTCATCGGAGGGGAGGAGGTAGTTTGGGGGGAGATCATCGTGTAAGGCGGAGTGGTCCGCCGCGAGGCGTTTGAAGCTGGAGACCTGTGCGATTGGACATGTCAGTCAATCTATTGTCATACTTCTTGGACATGCATGCCGGTGTGCGCCAGCAGAGGTGAAGCTGGATTTGGTAGGATGAAGTCTGTTAACACTTACCATTCTCGCTCAAGCCGGTAATAGCAATGGGAATAGCTGCGAAATCGAGCTCACGGTCCAATAATCTCAAATTGACTCCTGCGTGGTCAAATTTCGTTTAACAAAGCCAATTGGATTCAGCCAGATCAGAATAGATCGGTCACAGGAATCTAAGAATCAAAGGAGACCAAGAATCGTGCTTGCCGATCAGACAAGGGTTTGGTTGCGACGGCGACTCTTTCCGCTCTTTGTTTTGGTGAGGTTGCCTGAGGTTGCCACTGCCACCGTCAAGACGCGCCCCGGGTCACGTGGAGTGCGCGTGGCGCGTTTTAGGAAGTGTTATGACCATGTCACGTGAACGCGTTGCTTCCCAAGTAGGGCACCAACCACCAAGCTCAAGGACGCGGATATTGATAACGATGCACAGGAGCAACATCATCCTGGATAGGAACTATGCATATTCTTTAAAAAACTGGGCTATTACTCAAGCTGGAAAGCTAGACGATTGGAGCACTGTGTTTACTCATACTAGGCCTGTGTTTATAGTGAGGACATGTCTTTTACAGACAGAATGGCGCCGACAGTCATACAAAGCCTGTGATAACCAGATATCTTCATTGATGTTATGTTCGGCTACTTACTGATTGTTCTGTTTATGGATTGGAGCCCATTGGAACTAGATGGGTTACATGGAAAATAGACTGGTGGACCTTGCACACATGATGGGCTGCGCTTGATGGACGCAGTCTGCTGGATATCTATGCAGGGACGATGTCAAACCGGTCCTAAATGCAGGAGGTGGTTGTGCAAACTACCAATTCCATATCGTATTGTTGCCAATTGCTCTGCGCGATTTCCAGTATTTCTGGGCCGTTGCTCTGACCACACTGAGCGGCATTTAGCGTCTCGGGTGGGCCGAACTAATGAAACGCACCGACAGTTATCGCTGAGTAGCCCCGGGTGGATGTATAACACCGAAGTGCCAACAGCTGGGTCAGCCAATTCATGCCCGAACGAGGAAAACTGTTTCTGCAAAGCCGACGGCTTAGTCTGACACGTTCGTTGAATTCCAATGGAGTCTGTCACCCCATCAGACTGTCCCTGTTGTGTCATGATCATGTCAGATCCTCCGAGTGAGAAACTACTGGTCCAATCTTACAATCTACCTTACATGAAGCAAGTCTTATTGGATGTTCAAGTTCAATGAATTCTATTTACCGTGATCTCGTGAAGGTATTATGATTAATCTCACGTGGAAATAAGATATTATGTGCGTTCGCCAGGGATGCATCTCTTGCAGGCAGTGGCGTCGAGTCGGAAAGCGAAGACCCCTTTGGGCCATCATACATTCATTCCAGACCAAAAAGTTGCAGCAGAACAAACAAAGGAAATAAAACACTCTTTCAGCTCTCGGTTTTTTGCACCCGCAGCGGAGCCAAGCAGGTCATGAGACGAGGGGGAAGTATCCCCGACCATGACAGCTGGGCGACCCGCTTAGAGGAAAAGAGCGATGGCAGCACCAGCCAGGAGACCGCTGAGGGGACCGGCAGTGGCCATGGGGGCACCATTATCGGAGTTGGTGGGAGAGCCGGAGGCGCCGTTCTTCTTCGAGCCGTCGCCGGTCTTGGTGACACCCTCGGTCTTGGTGGAGGCACCGCCCGAGCTGGTGGACTTGGTGGGGGCGGCGGTGGTGGAAGAGCCGACGCCGGTGGAGCCGCCAGCACCGCCGGTGGAGGTGGGAACGACACCGGTGGACTGCGAGGCAGTGGGGAGAGTGAAGGCGTTGGACTCCTGCGAGTGATAGCCACGTTAGTTTTATGTTGACGATCTGAAGATCCCGGGTGGGTATTTGTTCAGATTGCGCTTACCGAGGGGGCACCGGACTGGGCGGCAACGAGGGCCGAGAAGGCAATGACGAGAGTGGAGGCACGCATGTTGACGGTAGTGAGGAGGATGGTTGGTGATCGAAGAGATTGGTTGCAGGTGAAGTTGCAGGCGATCAACAGGTGAGAGATATCGGGATGAAAAGGAAGAGAAGAGAGAAAGTGAGTCAGAGGACGGGGAGAGGCGTTTTTATATGTATAACAACAACAGGGGAGGGAGAGGGAAAACGAAATGACAGGTGCAGGGGAAGGTCTTTAAATAGAAAAACGAGGTAGGGGGGTCCATCCCGCAGGAACAGGTGCCATCCAATCTCCTCATCCGCTCATTTGCCTCAGCCCTGCTTCTGAGGCTGGGGGGGGGAGAGAGAGAGAGACCAAGCGGGAAAAGGCTGGACGGGTGGAGGGATGCGCCAGCACCAGCGCCAATTTACCATGTCCATTCGATATTGGATGTTGGATTAGCCAGGTCTGTCCAATCTGGGTTAGGACGAGTCGTCACTCCACCCTTTTTTTCTTTAACCCTGTCACCCTCCCAAGGGTGGCTCCACCCTTGGGATCTTGACCCTCCTTGTCCCGTCGTGGAGGCGGGTCTCCTGTTGCCATCGAATGTCTCTCAGTGTCTTGTTTAGGGCATCCTTCGCGGCCCGAGGATCTGATCCTGGGCCCTATGAGCATTGATGATGTGCGTGGAGGTAGGTCGAGCGTCTTTACGATGGATAATTGTTGCTGTGAGCGTTACTGTGGGTGTTACTGTGACTGTTCCTGTTACTCGAGTACCCCAGTGATCAAAAAGATGAGGACTCCACCAGGCAATCAAATCGATCAGGCTACTCCTCATATTGATGAAACGGCCAATCAGAGAGAACAATACAGAAAAAGAAAATCAGAAAATTCATTTCCATGAGGATTAATAAAATAAATTGAATGAAAAGGGTAAAACAAATTTTAAAATCATAAAATTATAGAATAAATCAACAAAATAAACAAAATAAACAAACAAATGTTGACCAGACAAAGAAAGTTCAATCAAACCCGGGGAGGTTTGCGTATGCTTCTGACCTATTTTTGGGGGCCATCACGCTCACCAACCAATCAACAGGTACAGCCCAACTCCATCTCTGCAACATTGTTTCTCTTGGTCGGTCCTTGTGATGATTCGGACTCTTTACAGTTTGTTGTCGTCGAGCGAAGCCTTCTCTGCGTTGTTCGGGATTTTTGAACACTGCAGGATGCGTCGTCGACCTCGGAGCACTGACTGGAATCTTCGTTGATCTTCTTCCCCTCTTCCTTCATTCTAACGGTGCGAACTGCCAAGAGAGGGCATTTCTTATCTTTATTTTGTTTATTTATTTTTTTTCTTGTTTTTCTCGTATTATTTATCTTATTTTGATCGTATATATAATTGGCTTTTATCAAATATGAAGAAGGCTGTTCAAAGCAAGACACGGGAAGTCTCATCAAAAACATATCCATACTCGTCGCGTTTCCCCTGCTCCTTCTTACCTACCTGCATACTCTTTTGAGAGCCTCGTCCATTCTGCTTATTTTATCTTATTATTTCTTTCCCTATTTTTTACTATTTTGCTATTATCATTTCCATCTTATTCATTTATTTCATCAAATCAATATATATATAATACTTCCTTGGGTAAATACTAACCAACCCTGCCACTACAAGCCTACAACACCTCCCGGACCGGCCGATACACTGCCGCACTCACCCGAATGACACCCCTACAGCTTGCTAGTAGCTACTACTGCTGGGTCCCTCGTATTCCCATCCATTGACAAATCCTGCAGGGCCCCTAACAATGCCCATCCCAGGTCAATGTGTATGTGTATACGTCTCCCGCATGCACCACATATGTACTGTACGCGGCTACCCTCCAGAAAAAGGGTTGGAAAAAAAAATAGTAAAATTAATAGAGACAAAAAAGAAAGCAGAGAAAGGACTGTTTCACGGGAGGCCTGGCCTTACACCTGTCCACGTAATCGACGAGGCAATGGTATATACGTATGCACGACCTGAACCAGCCATCGCGTGCTTCTTCCCATGCTCTGATTGGCACTAGGGAGGGGTCTAAGCTGGCTGGGCGCTAGCCTTGCTCTGACTACTCCTACCTACCTAGTTGGTTATTAGGTATGGATTATTCCGGAGTAGGTACTACCGTCCCTCTTGACATCGGACGACGACGACATAGCCGGAGGCGCAGCGTAGTGCTCGTCTCTGCAGCAGGCCGGGTGGGTTTGCCGCAAGACATATTGAACTAACTACGGATACTCCGGACATAGGTACGGATAGATAGATTGCTGTTACGTAGGTGGCCAAGGGGATCATCAGACAAGGCCGATTGATCAACAAGGCGGCAATTCATGTAGACTAGGTAGGGAGGTAGGTGACGAGTTAGACCGAACGACGTCGAATCGCCGACTGGATGAGGGGGTGATTTGAACATGATGAGAGGGATAGGAGGGAGGGGGTGTTATTCCCACCTAGCAAAACCCAATCACATCGCGTCGGAAGTGCCTGACGACAGGGGGACCTGGAACCGAGGTCAAATCCCTCCCTCCCTCTTTCCCTCAGTCCAGTCCAGTCCAGTACACAAGTCCAGTCCACGTACGCAAAAGGTTGTTTTCGGTGGATTGAGTCATTACGTGAACTGACCTGACAGCTTGCGTCCGATGTAGACGTGTCGATCATGCACCGTCCAAGACATTGCCTTTTCTAGAGTGCGAATCGTATTTGATTCGGCGAGATTGTCCCCCTTTGACAGAGGGGGAAAAAGCAAAGACGATGCAAGGGGTTCTTCTCGTTCAAAACCCCTTGTGTGTGGCGTTGCTGTCGTATGCTATCAACAAAGGCGGGTGGGTTAGTAAACCAACAGGTCTGGGCAGTGGCACACTTGAACCTGGAATAATGGAGTGATGAGTCGGCAGGGCGGGCACGTTCGTGAACAAAGTACCTTACCCGACTTGGTAATAATTGTGGAAGTCTGAGCGCTCAGTCCAGCTTGGCTGTCAGGCTTACTCGCCAGCCTTGTCATAACATAACTGGTGTGGGCTGTCTGACTCGGTATGTAGGTAATCTTCCACAGGACAGAAGTGGAGAACCATTTTAATCTACGTGTGATATCTTACTTTATCCATAGTGGGTTCCGATCTCACAAATGGCTTTTCGTTTCCATTCTTCGGGGGTAAGCAAGTAACCTTTTCTGCAATTAAGCATCTCGCCAACTGCCGTAAACAATCAAGTGGCTTTTTCTCCCCCTTCCCTCCCCCTTTTTATTCTTTTGTTTAGGTAAAAACAAAACCTATCTGTTTGGTTCGATTGTATAAAGAATAGTCTAGACCACGGCCGATCGAGGTTTGGTCTGATTGAAGGGGTTGGAAAGGGGAGTTGGAAATAGAACTGGACTGGCCTAGACAATTACTCCTAGCTACTGGATGTCTAGACTCCTGTTGTTTCTTGTTTCGCACGGGCTGCATGGCACATTGTCGGACAGAGCATGGGGGAGCAATCTCTCCTTGCAGCTTGACGCGTTGCTTTGTGTCTTTGTGAAGAACTAGATCGATCTGTTCAATTCTGATGTTAAATTCAGGGGTGAACGTTGGTTCCTGGTCGGCATCTGTCGATTATATATCGTGGATATACGAGCTCATCATGTGACGTATGAATGCCTGAGGTCAGAGCACATAGAACTAGGAACCGGTCGAGAAGCTTGCGGAAAAGGTCCACGGCGTTTTGCACAATGGTTACTCCGTGATTTGGCTCCAGAGACGTATTGATGCCTGCCCAGCCCATCACATGCATTGAAGAAGTGCACCTGAGCTTCGCAATCCCTATCAAGATTACGAGCAGGTAAACGCAGACATCTAGACGGCAATCGTAGACAAGCCGTCTGATACAGCGCAGTATCTCAATGGCGGAAAGTATCACCGCATCCAAGCACACAATCCACAGACAGAGACGACAGTCAACTTTTAATTCCACAACCCAAATGATACTGTACATCACAGCGTCATCACCAGCCCGCGAGTCGGGGAAAGACGCTGAACAACATATCAACACCCAGTATCCATCCATCCACCACGTTTCACCCTCACTTCTCCATAGGGACATCCCCCTTCATCCACTCAGCAAACTCCTTCCGCTTAGCCTATCAACAAAACCAGTCAGTCAGCAATCACCCAAGTCATCAGCCATTCAACACTATAACCCCTCTCCACCAACAAGGTAAAATGAACTCACCCGCACATCCCAAAAACTATACCGCTCCTCCAGCCTCCGAAACGGATTCCTCGCGCCCCCTTCACGCTCAATCTGCCCCGCCCACTCGCTCCAGCTAACTGGCTTGAGCTTCTCCGCGCCGAGGACCAACCCCACAGACACGAAGACGATGGAAACGAGGGCTTCGATGACGATGTCGTGCGGGAGGGCTGTCGAGGTCGGGAGTCGGGCGTTGCTGTAGAGGGTGGTGTGTTCGTGGGCGGAGTACGCTCTGTTGATTGGTTGCAATTCGTTAGCTCTCCGTCCACCTGGACATATGTATCTCTGGATCATGCGCCGGCAACCGACTGCCATCTGGTACGGCTGTTGCTATAAGTGTCGCTGGGAAGTAGTGAGTGGACGTACGCGTGGGCGAGCAGCACCAGCCCGAAGAGGGTGGCTATGCGAGAGATGAACCCCATTCTGGTTGCTTCTGCCTTAATCTCTCAATAAAATTGACAGTGGGCGTGCGTCTATACTGCGAACGCAAGAAAAAGCCGGCCTCTGCTCGTATATGGCGTGGTTTATGCTGGCTGCCAGATAAGCTACGTGGATAGCTACCTACCGTACCGGGTTGATGTCCACGATATGGGTCAGGTGACGAGGTGGTGTATTAGTAAGCAGAACCCAAATGTGTTCTTATCGTATTGAGATAGGCAAGATATATATAAAAAAAAAAAGATACGGATACACCACGAATTTACCAAAAGGCAAAAATAGTCGCGCCCGGGATCGAACCGGGAACCTTCTCAGGAAACAGTACTTGTGAATGAGAAATCATAACCATTAGACCACGCAACTGTGTTGACGTAATCAGAGGCCTGGTAAGGATATGTTTTTGCCTGTTTGATGTTGATTAAAACTTCAGGGTTGATTGTTGGGAGTGCGTCGCTGGATCAAACCCGAAACCTACATAGTTATCCTATAACAAAAACACTTTTATAGTACAGAGACGTACAAGTATTCCGTAGACTAGACCAACTACTGTTCATCCATGTATGGCAGAGAAAAAAATATGTCGAAGAATAAGCATGACAAAGATAAAGCAATCCATTCAGGAACAGAGCCAAAAAAAAATGATATGCATCTGTAGCTGTTGCAAGTTATGACATACACCACGCATCACTTTTCAAAAATGACCTTCACATAGATAATACAGTATATGCAAAAAATAGTCGCGCCCGGGATCGAACCGGGAACCTTCTCAGGATACAAGACATGTGAATGAGAAATCATAACCATTAGACCACGCGACTTTCTTGTTTAATTTCGTGGACTGAGTGTCTCATGAGCCAGCCAGCTACTGATCCCCGGAAACGTTCAGATTTTTCAATTGCAGATTCGGTGGGCTGTCTTCAGGTCCCTCTTGAGGAACCCCGCCAAAGTGGGCACTGGGCGCCCAACCTGATTGAGGTCTTTAAAAATGCTTTACTGATTGGGCACAACTGTTTCATTCTGGTGGGGTTAAAATTTTTTTTTTATAGCACCTACGGCTGGAATTGGTGGTTCGATGTCATTCAGACGTTCGGCATGAGAAGCAAGATTTGAATTTAAAATGGGTATTTGTTTTTTTTTTTGGTCTTCATCAAACGACTTGGAATTAACCCAGTCGATTCTAGTTCTGATTCATGATACTATAACGTCCGTAGATCCTTCATCACACCATTGCTCTTCATCATAATTGGCATAGCATTTACAGCTTCTGCATAGCAGCAACGTCGGTGGACTGGACGTGGTCCTCGTCCTCCTCGATCTCCTGCTGGAGCTCGTCAAGGGAGATCTTGTCGTCCTCAATGACAATGTTGATCTGGAGCTTCTTGATACCGAAGCCAATGACCTGGAACTTCGAGGCTCCCCAGACCAGACCGTCCTTCTCGATGGCACGGACGTTCTTCTCCATCTGCTCGAGGTCGGTCTCATCATCTGCAAGTCAAGTTAGCGAGCTGTTACCGCACGAATTCGCTATAAGTCTACATACCCCAGGGCTTGACCTCAAGGGTCACCATGGACTTGGCGATAGCCTTAGGCTTGGCCTCCTTCTTCTTGCGGTAGGCAGCAAGGTTCTCCTCACGCTGACGGACAACCTCGGGATCCTCATCCTCGGAGCCGAAGAGGTCCATGTCATCATCCTCCTCGGGCTTGTCCTTGGGGTTGGTGGGCATCTCAGTGGCCTCAGGACCGTAGGTGGTGAAAGCCTTGGTGGGGTCGCCGGGGAGAGTGGAGAACTCCGACTCGTAAGAGGCGATGTGCTTGTACCAGCGGGCAACGTTGGGGTACTTCTCGGCGTCAGGGGCACCGGAGAAGGCCTTGAAGGTCACGACATCGGCCTGGGTAGCACCGTCACTAGAATCATCCCACGTTAGCCCAATGGAAATTCCATGACACTTTTGTGGATGTGTGAAAGTCTGTAAACGACGGCAAAAACAAAGAGCAAGTTTTCCAGGTAATCAGAAACGCGATTTCTCGCTGGATGTGTAGTCCTACGGCGGGGTCTTAAGCCGCCTCCTAAACACGGACCAATTTTTTTCATCATATGAAGGGAAAACAGGAGGGGGGTGAAAGTAAATGCGTGAGAGAAAACAAAAGGCAAAGGTAGGCTTACCCAACAACGTAGCTGCGGTTAGCGAAGTAGTTGTTGGCGACTGAGGGGCATCATTAGTTACAGACGTAAAAAAAGGAAGCGCCAGTGTGGGAAGAAGGGTAGTGCCGAAAGAAAAAAAAAAAAAGAAAAAGAAATGCAGAACAAAAAGCAAGGAGAGGAAGATCACATACGGGTGAGGCCAGCCTCAGAGACAAAGTCGGTGAAACCCATTGTGAATGAATTAGTTATGGATGAAGATTTTTGAGATGGGAGAGAAAAGAGGAGAAGAGGAAGAGGAATAAATAGGGAGGGAGGGGGAAGAGGTGTCCAGAAGTATTTTTTTCTTCCCACTGCGGGTCCCGCTATGAATTTTTTCCATTGCGCCCCTCGATGCGGCACGTGACCGCCACCGTGCCGGAGCTGGAATCGGATGCAAATGAGCTTGGTCGGTTCGTTCCCGCTGGGCCAGAGACTCCAGAGAGCTCCCGCCACTCATCTCCCTCCCGGTGGAGCTTTCGAGAACCGTCGTGACGTTGGGGGGCGCTGAACAGCATCGACGATGTAATTGACTTGTTTGGTCTGGTGGCATACTTCTCCGATAGTTCAAAAAGGCTTTAAAAGGCTGGGTTTCCCACAAGGATCACTGGTTTTTTTTTTGTCGGTTGATTCTCATAATTCATAGCACTAGCCACAACCATGGCATCGAGGCTACAGCTGACTCGCAGTCGGCTTCTGCGTACTCCAACTCGGATTATCCACCCGACCCCGAGATTGCGTCTACTCCCTCAGTCACGATTACCTTCCATCACCGCGAATGCGACCGGTCTTCAACCGATCCACTCAGTTCGTCACTATGCCAACGGAAGACCTCACCCTCCAGGTGGCACGCACCGAATGAACCTGGGGGATGAGCAGGAAAAAGCAGCGTTGGAACAATTTGGTATTGATCTGACTGCCCGGGCCAAGGCAGGGAAGCTGGATCCGGTTATTGGAAGAGACGGCGAAATTCATCGGACTATCCAAATCTTGTCGAGACGGACGAAGAACAACCCCGTCCTCATTGGCGCTGCAGGTACCGGAAAGACGGCTGTTCTCGAGGGCCTGGCGCAAAGGATTGTGCAAGGAGATGTTCCCGAAAGCATCAAGGAAAAGAGGGTTGTGGCGCTGGACCTCGGCTCTCTCATCGCCGGCGCCAAATTCCGGGGAGATTTCGAGGAAAGACTGAAATCGGTGCTCAAGGAGGTCGAGGAAGCTGAGGGCAAAGTGATCCTCTTCATTGATGAACTTCACACGCTTCTTGGTCTCGGGAAAGCGGAGGGCAGCATTGATGCTAGCAACCTCCTCAAACCGGCATTGGCTAGGGGCGAACTTCAATGCTGTGGTGCCACGACTCTCAACGAATATCGATTGATCGAAAAAGATGTCGCGTTGGCAAGAAGATTCCAGCCAATCCAGGTTCCTGAGCCATCGGTTGCGGCGACGATTTCTATTTTGCGCGGTATCAAGAACAAATACGAGGTCCACCATGGTGTACAGATCACAGACCGTGCAATCGTGGCTGCGGCAACCTATAGCAACCGCTACATCACCGATCGCTACCTTCCCGACAAAGCCATCGACCTGGTGGACGAGGCTGCCTCGGCCCTACGGCTGCAACAAGAGTCGAAGCCTGATGCCATTCGAGAATTGGATCGCGACATTACCACAATCCAGATTGAGCTTGAATCTCTCCGCAAAGAAACTGACGTCAGCAGTCGCGAACGCCGAGACAAGTTACAAAAAGACCTGAAGGTCAAGCAGGAGGAGTCTGCTAGATTGAGCGAAATTTGGGAGAAGGAAAAATCCCAGATCGAGTCGGTCAAGCGCACGAAAGAAGAGCTGGAGCGTGCTCGCTTTGAATTAGGAAAGGCCCAGAGAGAAGGCAATTTCGCAAAAGCCGGAGAGTTAAGATACTCGACAATCCCGGGTCTGGAAGCGAAGCTGCCCAAGGAAGAGCAAACTATCGGACCTCAGTCCCTGATCCACGATTCCGTCACAGCGGACGACATTGGGAACGTTGTCTCCCGTGCCACGGGCATTCCTGTCAACAAACTCATGGCGGGTGATGTCGAAAAGTTGATCCGGATGGAAGATACACTCCGCCAAGCCGTTCGTGGACAGGACGAAGCTCTTACCGCTGTCGCCAACGCGGTACGCATGCAGAGGGCAGGTCTTAGCGGTGAGAATAGGCCGCTGGCATCATTCATGTTCCTAGGCCCCACCGGTGTCGGAAAGACTGAGCTTTGCAAGAAGATGGCCGAGTTCCTGTTTTCAACGGAAACTGCTGTCGTGCGATTTGACATGAGCGAATTCCAAGAGAAGCACACGATCAGCCGTTTGATTGGATCCCCCGCGGGCTATGTTGGCTACGATGATGCTGGCCAACTCACCGAAGCCGTGAGACGCAAGCCATACGCAGTCTTGCTGTTCGACGAATTCGAAAAGGCCCACCGCGATATCTCTGCCCTCCTCCTGCAGGTTCTCGACGAGGGCTATCTCACAGATTCCCAGGGCCACAAAGTTGACTTCAGGAACACCCTCATTGTCCTGACGTCTAACCTTGGCGCCAACATCCTTGTCGGTGGCGATCCCTTGCATACCCACAGACAGTCCGATGAGGATAGTGAGATCTCTCCCGAGATCAAGTCCGCCGTGATGGATGTCGTGCAGTCTGCGTACCCACCGGAGTTCCTCAATCGGATCGATGAGTTCATTATTTTCAAGAGGCTGTCCCGGGAGGCGCTCAGAGATATTGTCGATATTCGTATCAAGGAACTCCAATCCAGACTTGACGACCGACGGATAGTCTTGGAGATCGACGGCGAAATCAAGGACTGGCTTTGCAATAAAGGATATGACCCGAAGTTCGGTGCTCGTCCCCTGAACCGGCTGATCTCGAAGGAGATTGGAAACAGGCTGGCCGATAAAATCATCCGCGGCGAGATTACTTCTGGACAGATTGCGCATGTCTCGTTGGATGCCGATAAGAACGAGCTCCAGGTCACAGCGGTCGAATCAGCGTCTTCTGAGACTGAAAACCCAACAGATAACGAGGTGTTGCCGGAATGATCGGTTGATTCAGAAGACAAGTTGCTCTTGGAGAGATCTATCCTGATTTGGATAAGGTCGGTGTCATTGCAAATCTTTGATTAGAAGCATCCTCACTCAACAGCTTGTATACTCGTGTAATGTTATATGTACAGTACTGTTAAATACCACAAGCATTCATGATTTGAAATTTCCTAAATCCTATTGAACTATACTTAATATTCTAGAAGCCTGAGGCAGGTACCTCCAAATAGTAACCGTCCAGTCTCGAAGTGAGATCTTCCGACAATCATCCTCTCTTTACTCCAGTTGCCTACGCTCATATAGCAGACATGTCAAATTCAAGTTTGCGGGGTGCTAATATCATGAACCAACTCCAGCGAGACATCGCCTTTCTTTACAATTCCGATGACGGTGCTGGCGAGCTCACAGACGATGACCTCGATCTAGTAGTCGTGGCAATTGACGTGAGAGATTCTGGTACCATCGGTTGTTCATATTATTCGACCCAGGAAGAAGCCCTCTATCTACTGGGCGACATGCCATCTTTTGGCAGTGATAACATTGACACCTGTTTGTTCAAACACAGGACCTTCATCGCCTAGTCGATACTGACAGAGCATCAGTGATCCTTCAAACGAAGCCCACAGTACTCCTCACTTCAACTCGTGTTGATCATTTCGATGCTCAGAAACTGCAGAGTTTCGAACGAGAAGATAGTAAGAGAACAAGGACACTATTATAAGAAGGGCGCGTGACGATTGACAAAATGAGAAGGTCAAGGTTCATACCTCCCTTATCGACTCGACGTACGCCCATCACAGGAGTTCAGCTACCTCAATGCAAGGAACAAGCTAGTGGCTTTGGAGATATATTCCAAACACGAGCAGCGCATCAAGTTCCTCGTGCCTCATAATGGGTTGATGAACGCGGAGGACTTAGAGATAGCGAACTTGGATTTCACGCTGGAGGAAGCTCGTCACTTACACGTGCTAGGTGCGATTGACATGGATAGTTCGGTAACAATTGGCTGTGCTGGCGCTGTCCTTGCCTATTTACAACGGCGGAGAGCGACGGTTTCGGTGGCGGGGGACGCCACGCCGGGTGTTTTCCAGATCTCTTCGGTTGAGATGTTCAGCCTACGTGGAACAATGTAAGTGTTACCTCTATGTTCTCCAATATGTTGCTTACAGGACGATAGGTTTGTCAATGAGAGAACCCTGCTATCTCTACAGATTCTTGAATCCGAATCTCACCCGAGCATGATCAACAAAGGACTAGGGAGAAAATCATCTTCGAAAGAAGGACTCTCCGTGTATGGCCTGTTCCAGCGCTTTGCACATACACCTCAAGGAAGGAATCGACTCAGACAATTGTTCCTTCGGCCGAGCGTGGATTTGGACGTCGTTCGTGAGCGACATGCTTTTGTCAGCGTGTATCTTCGACCAGAGAACTGCAACCCTCTGAACAAGATCATAAAAAGCTTGAAGCATATCAAGAATCTTCATAACACTATGCTGAACTTGCGCAAGGGGATCAGCACCGGAAGTGGGAAGATCGCGGGCTTTAAAACTACGGTGTGGGCTACTTTACTTGCGGTGCGTGGAGCTTCTTTATGGCTGTCGTGATGGTATTGATTGACGATGGTGTAGTTTGCCTTTTACGGTATCGATATTCATGACGCGCTCAAAGAAATCGCTAGCGGCCATGAAGTGGATCTTCATAACGAAGTGAGTATATAAATCAATGGCACATATGGTACTAACAATATACAGGCGCTAAGGACAATGGAAACTGCTCAGTTGTTCAAGGTTGGAAGAATTATACAAGAAATAGTAAGTCCACTTTCGTTTTTCTGCGGGCAACCCAGATATTCTTTACGTTATATACTAAATAATCTAGGTTGACATCGACAGCTCCGAAGAACAAGGCAGAACAGTCGTGAAGCCAGGACTGGACAGGGAGCTCGACAAACTTAAAGACAGTTATGACGGCTTAAGCGACTTGCTCAAGAAAGTTGCAATAGAGATAGCAGCCACAGTACCAGAGTCACTTGGGATTGACGTGAACGTCATATATTTTCCCCAATTGGGTTTCAATATCGCGATACCGTTGAACGATAGGGGTACGGCAGCATATAGCGGCACCGATGAAGACTGGGAACTCATTTTCATCACGGAGAACCGCGCATACTTCAAGGACTTCCGAATGAGAGAGATGGATGATAAATTGGGGGACATATTTGGGCTTATCTGCGGTATGCTAAGAGACTTTTCAGTTGGCAGGATACTGACTACAAACAGAAAAGGAGATAGAGATTGTGTATGATCTCGCGCAACGAGTGCTCCAACACGAGACAACACTTCTACAAGCATCAGACTTATGTGGAAAGCTTGATAGGTGAGACCCTAGGGCTTGTCTGAACTGGTAGATTGACCATGGACAGCCATCTTGCGTTTGTTCAAGCCGCAGGCTTCTATAAACTGGTTCGTCCGAAGATGACTGAAGGAAATGTCATTAGAATAAAAGGAGGAAGGTAATATATCGAACAAAATGAAGGAAATTGGCATGAGCTAACATGCCGCAAGACATATTCTTCAAGAGCTGACAGTCCCCTCCTACGTGCCAAACGATACCTTCATAGTGGGCGGTGGGTCAGCAAGGAATGTGTCAGATCAGACTTCACAGTTCGGACCAAGTATTCTATTACTGACGGGTCCAAACTACTCTGGAAAGAGCATCTACATGAAACAAGTATGAACAAGATTCTCAAACCTGTCTCCGCAACCTAACAGCATAGTAGGTGGCCTTGATCGTCTACCTCGCACAGCTCGGAAGGTGTGTCGAAAGTTCAAATCACAGGAACAATAGACTGAGGCATATAGTTTTGTCCCAGCTGAAAAGGCAGAAATTGGGATGACAGACAAAATACTAGTGAAGACGAGTACACGGGACAGCGTTTCGCAAGTACGAGATGCGACGCATTGAGTTTCACTGGCTAGATATTGACTATACCTCAGATCCAGAGCACATTCATGAACGATCTGCAGCAAATCTCATTTGACTTGAAGCAGGTCACCAGCCGCAGCTTGTTTATAATTGACGAGTTTGGCAAGGGCACCAACGAGAGCGGTTTGTCCACACATATTTGTTGAATTATATCTGACTGACACCCATAGATGGAATTGGGCTCGCCTGCGGGATTCTCAGGCACCTTCTCGACCGCGAGGAACCACCAAAAGTGATTGCCGCTACACACTTCCACGAGATACTGGAAAATGGATTCCTTACGCCGGGGCCTCGTCTGCAGCTTGGTCATATGGAAGTCCAGGTCTGCGAGGAGCCTCACGAGGGAGAAGACCAGATGACTTATCTATACAAGTTGAGAGCCCCACATATGTGAATGTCAAACTCAAATACTTATGAAAAGGATGTAGCTTTCGACCTGGGATGTGTAACAAGAGCTTCGGGACAATGTATGTTTTCAAAGGAGAGACATAAAAAATGCTTTGCTTACCGTCCCCAACAGCTGCGCTGCTATGAATGGGATAAGTCAGTCAATAGTTGATCGTGCCAATGAACTGGCGTCTTCTGCTGCTCGGGGTGAGAACCTTGTTGCTGCTTGTGCGGTGGTATCTACCGAGGAAATGCAGGCGCTCAAGGAAGCGGTATGGACCATATTGCACCTAGGGGTTTTCTTGAGTAACAAGACTGACTAGCACAGGATGTGATAGCAAGAAGGTTCTTGAGCATGGGTTTATCGGAAAATGCTGCCCCTGAGGTTGTGGAAACCATGCTTGACGAAGTATTTGATGGTCTGGGGTACTGAAAGCTGTATACTTTATGCAGTCTGGTGCGTCTGGTACATTTTCATGTTAGTTTTCTCCGCTGTCCTTTATTCTTACTGTTCGAAGAAATTTTCAAATTGTACCCAGTGGAAGACATACAAGACATCAAGATAGTGCATGTTACATCGTCAGAATGAATTATATATGTACAGGTCGAAATATATTTTTACCACACACATCAAACGCCAAAAACTGCACAAATCCTTTGGATATTTCAAGACAAGCGAACAACACCACTTAGAGTTTAACACTCTTAACCAGGTTCTTCTTGATACCAGTCAGTTCACCACCATATCCACCGCGGCCCTCACCACCCTTGAACTGCTGGCGAATACTGCCCAGCTTCTTCTTCTTGTCCTCATACTTCTTCCTCTTCTTGACACGCGGGTTCCGCGAATCCTTGTTGCGCTTGGCCGCCAAGCCCTTGTTTTTCTCGATCTGGTACGTGATGGCTCGCTTGCCGTCCGGACCAACCTCCTCGTGGACCGCAACCTGTCCGCCTTCACGAGCGGCCGCCGCGTAGGCCTCCGCGCGAGCCTTCTTCTCGTCCTTCTTCCCCTTAGACCGCGCCGCGAGCATGTCGTAGTAGTCGTCCTCATCGGACCCCTCGCCCCGGATCTCCTTAGCAGCGAGATGATCCTCGTCATCGCTGCCACCGCCCAGCTGTTCTGCCCCTTGCGGCTTGGCCTTACCGCGCTTCTCGGCGTCGGCCAACAGTCTGGCCTGGCGATCCTTCAGACGCTCACGGTAAGGCAGATCCGCATCGCCACCGGCATCGCGACCAGCAGCGGTACGCTTGTTGGCCTTCTGCGCGATTTGGGAAGTGTAGAAGCGCAGAGAGCGCTTCTGTCTTGCTTTCTCCTCGGCCTCCTTGGTGGTAAGAGCGTCCTCGTCGCCAAAGTCGGAGTCGTCGTCTTTGGCGCCGGATTTGTTCGCCTGTGCAGCCCGTTTCTTGCTTGGTTTGGTGACAAGATCGGATAGATCGGCAAGGTTGGCTTCGGTCTCGCGCAGCTTCTCGGCTCTCTGGGCATCGGCCTCGGCCTGGGCTGCCTGTGCGGCTCGCTGGGCCTTGGAGACCTTCTCGGTCTTCTTGGCTTCCTGGGCTTCCTTGCGCTTCGCGCTCTGCTTCTTGGAATCTGCGGGTGCGGCTTTCTGAGGGGTCTCCTTGGTCGATTTTGCGGAAGCCGGGGTCGATTTCTGAGACTTGGTCTCGGGGGCAGTGAGGTCCTTCACGTCCTCCCAGACTTTCCTGAACTTGACTAGCGAAGCCATGACCGGGTGTGCGCGGATCTGGGCGGGGGAGAGCAGAGGCGAGCTGCCGGTCGAGTCGTAGGACGGGGACATCAGCATCATGAAATACAAGCTGATCGCACCCAGGTATGCGGACAAAGCCTGGAATTTGACGACGGGAACGGGAAGGAACTCGGCGTCTTCGGAAATTTTCGTAGACTTGGCAACCTGCGAAAGACCCCGATGCTTGCGCTGCAGACTGATGAAGTCCTTGGCCAGTGGCTCAAACTCAGGGTATCTCGACCTGAAGATCTTCATCTTCTCCTTCGAGCTCATCTTATCCGTGATTTCCACCTGCGGGAGCACCTCGGTGACCACCCCCGCGCCGTCCTGTCCGTCGTCCTTGTCTTTGCCCGATTCGGCCCACTCGGACTCGTCGAAGCCGAAGTCCGCCTCGTCCATCGCCTGCAGATGTTTCTGCTGCAGTCGCTTGGCTTCCGCCTCTTCCTCGAGCGCATCGGCCTCCGTTTCGATCTGGTCCGCATCGTAGAGATCCTTCTTGGAAGAGCCCCACGCCGCAATGCCCTCTTCGTCTTCAGAGTCAAAGCTGCCACGGCGTTTCCGGTCCTTTCCTGAGATATCATCGAAGTCGTCGTCGTCATCCTCTTGCATGTCCTGACCCTCATCGAACTCATCCTCATCGTCCAGCTCGTCCTCGTCCACAGAATCGTAGCCCATTATCTCCTCGTCGGATAGCTGGAGCGACTCATCTAAGAAAAAGCAGTCAGTGCACAGCTCCTGCCAAAACATCCATACAAGCACACAAGATAGACAAACCTTGCGCAGCGATTTTTCTCCGGCGTTTCGCATCCGGAGCCTCCTCCAGCAGGATCTGATCCCGGCCCGCTTGGAACTCATCCTCCGAGCCGTCAAATCGCTCCTCGACGTTGTATTTGGTTTTCTGGGGAGCGGGCGCATTCTGCGCGGCGGGGCGACCGCTGGCCTTTCTTTTTCCCATGACGGAGAGTTGGATAATCGACTGGGACTGTAGTCAATCTCGTCGAGAGATTCTCACAAGCCGATAAACTTCAATCAATAAAATTTTGGGTGGGACTGCTCACCGCCCGCGTGGAGCTAGTCTGAGATGGGCATGTTTGTACTGTTTGTATATTACGAGACCGTTACCTCAAGTACGGTTGATAACTAGAAAAACCTCGCAGAATAGAATACACGAGTGTATCAGAATGTATGATGCCGTCGGATGTTTATTCTCGGTTTCCAACCATACTAATTATCTTGCCCGTCCGTCAATTGACAGTTAAGGACCCTCTCGTGCAAAGAGGAACCCCTCAGTTCATCCTTGATGTCTTCAATACTGTCTTCACTCTCCAATGACTTATCGTCCACCACATTGGGGATTTCGGTCGCTCTTTGCGGATTGGTCGTCTATCTAACTGCCCAAATGTTCGGGTTCGGTTCGCGCAATGAGTTCGTCGTTGAGGGGAGGGTACGTCGGCCTTGCTATCTTACTAGGATTCTACTGATATAGTCTTCCAATACAGACAGTCGTGATCACGGGGGGTTCCGAGGGAATGGGCAAGGCCGCCGCCTGCCAACTAGCGAAGAAAGGTGCAAATGTTGTCCTTGTTGCGCGAACCGTCAGCAAGCTGCAGGCAGCTCTCGAAGAAGTCGCGGTAGGCTATACCACCACCCATTTCCAGCAACAAATGATACTGATACTTGCTCTCAGAGCGCAGCAGCAGATACCACGAAGCAACGATTCCACTACATCAGCGCCGATCTGACAAACGCAGAGGAGTGCGACCGGATTATCACAGAGGTCACCGAGTGGAACCAGGGCCACCCACCCGATGTGGTGTGGTGCTGTGCCGGATTCTGCAACCCGGGTTTCTTCGTCGACACCCCGATCCAAACGCTCAGGAGCCAGATGGACACGGTGTACTGGACCGCCGCAAACACGGCCCACGCGACGCTGCGGAAGTGGCTTTCTCCCGCCGACCCGAGCCAGCAGCAGCAAACGCCGGCGCCTCGACGACACCTTATCTTCACGTGCTCCACGCTTGCCTTTGTGTCTGTCGCGGGCTACGGGCCGTACGCTCCTGCGAAAGCGGCCATCCGCTCGCTGTCGGATACCCTCAGCCAGGAGATTGAACTGTACAATGGGTCCCGCGCATCCAAGTCCCAGGTTTCTGCCACGCCGGCTGACGTGAAGATCCATACTGTTTTCCCGATGGGCATTCTGAGTCCCGGGTTCGAGAATGAGGAGAAACTGAAGCCCGAGCTGACGAAGCAGCTGGAGGAGGCTGATAAGCCGCAGACTCCCGAGGAGGTTGCCAAGATCTCGATCCAGGCTTTGGAGAGAGGTGATTATTTGATCACGACGATGTTCGTCGGCCACATCATGAAGGGAAGTGCGCTGGGCGTGAGTCCGCGAAACTCTGTCATCCTCGATACCTTGACAGGCTGGCTTAGCAATCTGGTGTTTGTCCCGATTATCGCTGATCTCAAGAGGAAGGCTTGGAACTGGGGGGTCAAGAACGGAGTTCCCTCGTCTTGAGCTTGAAGTAATAGAGCCTATTTGTACATTATTATATTGGGCGTATGATATAGATACCCGAAGACGCTCTGGTCGCTGCCATTGTTACCACAAACTTTGACAGTTGGTTAGCAGCATGAGCTTCGTCTTTCCGCACGACATAGCTAAAGTATACTCTCAACGGTAATAATATGTGATGAGACGAAAAAGATACGAATGGTGAATAACCATAATTCGGGAAGTATAGATTGAGCCATCTAACAATGCGTGGCTTCACGAAACCCTAAAACGAGCGTGTTGCAGACATGGCGCACAAGGAAACGAGCCGCACGAGGCGTAGCTTTAACAGTTCCAACAATTCAATATCCCTGTCTGGATCCTCTCACATCCTGAAACGCAATTCCTTGAATAATCGATAATAAACAGCCCCTCCCATTCTCAGTACCCCAGAGGTGCTTGACATTTGCATAACCCAGCGAACCCATTACTTCATTCCATCCACCACAGATCGGATTGGCAGATGGATTGGATCGGATAGCCAATGTTTATAGCTTTTCACGGGTTTGCCCTATTCCTCCTGCTCAGTGATCCGTCCAAATGTAATGTATTACAGCTTGGTCAAGTGGGCGAGTATGTACTTACGGCGGACACACCATGCTTCCTTTCGCATTCCTGCAACAGGTCTCGCCATTGCAAACCACCATCATACCGTCTTCGAGGTCTGGGCAGGTGTTCCCTGGGCAGGAGCAGTCCTCATCACAGAATACCTCAATGGCATCGCACTGTTTCCAACCATTAGGGTTGGCAGGCTTGCATCGACGTTCGGAGAGAGGGTTTTCCAATGAAGCTAGAACCAGGGATGAACTCAGGGCGGCGATGATGAGGGAGAGACGCATTTTGACGATTCTGTATTGGCTGGATGATAAACTTTGCGATTGATGTAGTTGGGATGTGTTGAATGATAGATGTTTGATGGTATTGAGGGAATGCCCTCACTTTTATAACTTCAAGAGGCCATATAGGCAGCGTCCGGTAAGAAAATGGCTCCAGATAACAGCTGAACAGGAGATATTCCGCCAGGGTAGATCTATATCCACATCTCAGGACTGCCTAGTTTTGAAATACGATCAAGCCACACATGTCCTTCCAAAGCAAGCTTGATATGGGGCTATAATGGCGGAGGTAAAACCCGAAGCTAAGTTATCTAGACACTTGAAGATCAGTTCGGCTAACGTGCCTACTCATCCAATGGACAAAGCAGTGTGAATTCCACTTAGACTGAGCCTACCTACTATGGAGTTGATCGGCCGGAGCCTTGCTAGGGTGTGTCAACGAGGCTCTAGATTCAGAATTCAGCTTGCATATGGTGCCTCGGAAGAGATCTTTACTAATTGTTGCTTTGACTGAAAACCTCGATTATGCGGACTGAAAAAATCAATGCCTCTATAGCAGTTGTAGCAAGGGTCGTGCTTAGCCTGCCTGGTATGAAGTGCACAAGGCGTCTCTGCATCAGGCTGAGCTCGATTAGAAACGATCAACCGACGCTTAGCAGCTGAAAGAAGGACCAGGATGGAAAGAAAAGGCGCAACTGGAGATTCTTGTGCTAGTGAGTAAACTACATAGTCAATATTGACTCCGAGTTGCCACGGATGTGGATGGGGCCTAGTACCGACTCCACATATACAGCCGCTACGCTGTGATGCCTGGGGTTCAGCCTCTGATGTACCCTAAAGGATTGCGCGTCAAAATTATGAATAGTAGCTAGGAATCTTTTGAAATTGTAAGAAAGACGTAAAAAGGACTTGGAGGAGGCTGGCTAGTTGTTGGTGAAATCTATATAAACCTGGCGAGAACCTCTCTAAATTTCTCTCTAATACATCATCAACTCTCTAACAATCCTCTTTGAATTTCTCTTGTGTCAATTCAATATCTTTCTACCCCATTCTCAGCCAATATCATTCATAATGAAGCTCTCTATCACCGCTTTCACTCTCCTGGCCAGTAGTGTCCTGGCCATGGCTTCCCCAGCCGAGAAATATGCTAGAGAAAGTGGTGTATGATATCCCTTGCTCAACATTTAACATTGAACCTTGTTTTAACAGTATACAGCTCTGCATCGGGGGTAATTGCGCGGTGGGTGGTTCGCCTCAGTAAGTTGCTCCATGAGTCCCTTGATGGGGATTGCAAACTTACATTTGATATCTAGGCCTTGCGTTGAGGGAAGCGTACGTGATTCTGTTTAACCTGTCCTGGCGAGTATGATTAACATGATTTAAATGAACAGTGCGAGGGTCACGATGGCTCCAGTTGCCGCAAGTCTGATATAGTCATCTGCCCTGGAGGCAACTAAGTTGTAAGTTTTGTTGCCATCTAAGGGTATACGCAGCGGTTGATTAATTGTGCTGTTCTAGGTGCTTATGAACAACTGGGCGTAGCAAGTGCTGGAGGAGCTGTCAGCTTGACTTGGATGAGTCTTGGAGGTTGCCCAGTGTCCGTCGATGAGATCTTGGGAGGATGATGATATATTGGACACTCTTTTCTTAGTATCGACTAGTTGACCTCATAGATTTATGATGATCAATTCTTTCTTTTCACTAGATCGGCCCAGTATAAAGTTCCTAGGAGCATATACCCACTGTCGAAAGGTCCATGAATGAATATTTCTTATCTGACAGGCCCATGCGTCTACTTCCAAACTGACTTGTAGCCGGGGGTATCAAATATGGAGAAGCTTCAACAAGACAGACGACGTGCCAGGACCCAAAACTACTACAAAGACAAGAGTAATCGATCCAGTCATTGGCACGGAATCGGGTACACTATGCAGAAGTATGCTCTGCCACCCGAGACGACATTCGTATGTAGTGGATATGAAGGGATGTCGACGTCCATAAGAAATCCATGTCAAACTGAACTAGAAAGATTTGTTGTTGTGTTATACCAAGTGTAGAATAAACAGAACAGTGATATACTCGAATCATTCCAAGGCGTCCTGATGGCTGAAGAAATACAAGTAATAAAGTTGAGTCCCTGCGGTATCTCCGGTGATCTATGGAGTAGGACAGCCCCACCTTTATGGAACCTTCCAAACCCTTGGAAAGAAAGTAAACTTTGACTCGTCAACAGGCGATGAACACGTACTAAAGTGACTGATGATATGGCACGGCGCCAAGACACCAAGGGTCTGTAGACCGCCCTGACCAGCCCAGCCATCTGGCAGTGACGTCGTTGACGTCGTGACATGCGAAAACGGACAAAATCCCAGCCTCGTTGTCACCTCCATGACATGTTGTTCCTGTTTTAGTGTATCTAGAGAAACCTTCTTCCCACGAGACCTGTACAGAAACTATGCCTTTGATTTCCATCGCTGCACCTCGCTCAGACAATCCCGAGGACTTGACTTGAATGAATCCAAGCCCACACCAACCGCGCACACCAAATACCTACATACCCACCCAATCTCTCAACCAGGGGCCAAAATGATAGACGCCCTCCTAGGACTCCCAGTCCTCAGCCTCCTGCTGGTCCCCACGCTCGCATCCTACGGCACAAGCCTCAACCTGATTTTCTTCTACATGACATGGACGACCCTCGTGCTGTCACACGATCCCCTCCGCGTCGAGCTATTCGGCACCCTCGCCGTGCGCCTCGTCTTCTACATCGTGCCATCGGTGCTCTTCTTCCTCTTCGATATCCTCACGCCCTCCGCGGCCGTTGTGGTCAAGGCACAGGGGGAGACGGGCCTTCCGTGCGGAAGCAAGCGCGGCAAGATCCGCTTGAGAGATATCAAGGTTGCGGGGTGGGCTCTGCTGAATCTGGCGCTGGGCTTCGCTGCGCAGGCTGCCGTCGAGGAAGTCCGGACTCAAGTGCTTGGATGGCGCAGTGCGCTTCGCGTGTCGATGAGGCTGCCGATGCCGTGGGATATGGTTAAGGAGTTGGCTATGGGTTTGCTGGTGCGGGAGGTGAGTGTGGTTCTTTTCTTTTTTTTTTCTTCTCTGTTTCAGTTTCCCCCCTTGTAGTGGCATGATCAAGCTAACTCCGCTCAAACCTTAGGCTCTAGCATATGTCATCCACCGCTACATGCTCCATCCAAAAAAGAGAACCACGATCGCAAAGCGCCATCAGACCTGGTACCACTCGCTGCGCGCCCCGTTTCCTCTGACAGCGCACTACGACCACCCGGTTGTATACCTCCTGGCGAACTTCATCCCCACCTACGTCCCCGCCATGGTCTTCCGCTTCCACCTTCTCACCTACCTTCTCTATCTGTCTGTGATCTCGCTCGAGGAGACCTTCGCGTTCTCCGGGTACTCGGTCATGCCGACGAACTTCTTCCTGGGCGGTATTGCGCGCAGGACGGATATGCATTTGGTTGGGGATGCGGAGGGGAATTATGGGCCTTGGGGGGTTTTGGATTGGGTATTTGGGACGTCGGTGGGGGGTGATGAGGAAGATGGTGATGGTGATGGTAATGATGATGATGAGGTGAATGGCTCGGTGATGGGGGGTTCGGCTCCTGATGCGTCCCTTGAGGAGAAGATCCGCAGGGCTGTGGAGGAGTCGACGAAGAGGAAATGGTCGGAGAGAGAGCGGAGGATGAGGAGGCGACGGGGTGAATGATGGTTCGATATCGAGTCTGGTGATGATGTAACGATAGCACTAGTTCCTGCTGCTGTTGTACTAACACAGTGTATGTATATGACTGATGAATGGATTGACGAATTGATCGCCAAGAAGACGGTGGGAACGTGTAATTACTCAAGGCTGCTTGGTATGGGGCCCTAGAAAAGGCCGAGAACACCCAAGACGCAAGCTTATTGCAACCATGTACAAACCTATATCATTCAAAAGACATTATAAATAAACTTAAAATAAGACCTTCATTTCTCAGTTTTGAAATTTCCGCCCGGACCTGGAAATTGGAGATATATCATACTAAACATAAAAACGCCCAGCCTTATATGTAGGGGAACAAGTAACAGCTGGTTTAAAAAGAGGTATTCTTTCGTTCTTCTTTTTTTTCTTCTTTTTGTTTGACATTTCGGCTTCCTTGCCAATCGGCCCCACGCTGGGAGAAACTGCCGTTGAGACCCATATAACCCGATCTTTGGTCCCGAAGTTATTCGCATAACCTAATAGCAGAAATAAAAAGACGGATCCGTGGAATCGAAAGTTACATGGTTTCATAAAGACTGTTTCCCTCCTGGCGCTTGCTTCCCAACCTTGGGAAGTGCCAATTCGCAAATTTTAAGCCGTCCCGCACATCATCATGATTCCCCCACATGAATTACCGAACCCGCGGCCACCGCCAGGAGACATTTACCACTTCATCTCGTGGGGCTTGTCGCCGTTCCGGAGGCTGAAAGAGCTGGCGAGGTAGCTGCCAAGGTAGTTCTCCTTCTTCACGCTGGCCAGGATGGACTGGTCGACGGCCTTCTGGTCGCTGGCGCGGGCGCTAGCAACAACCTTCTTCTGTTGAGAGATTGATGTATTAGCATCTGCTGGTTTAGACGTAAACCAAAGGGCTCTGGGTAGCCCTTCGGTTTGTATCTGCCGATCATCGAACCCAATGATCGACCATGGTCGAACATACCTGGGGCTTCTCGCCCTGCTGGAAGAAAGCCTCCTCGGACTTCTTCTGGGTGGCCTTGTCCTTGGTGAAGTAATCCTTGGCGGAGACCTTCTCAAGGGTCTGGGAGTCAACAGCGGAGATATCGACACTGGTGCTGGTGGCGATAACGTAGCGGGAGTTGACACGGCGGAGGGGAACACCGTTGATCTTGAAGGGGCCGGTGACGAGGAGGACACCCTGGTCGAGGTGCTTGAGGAGAACGACACGCTTGCCACGGAAGCGGCCAGCGAGGAGGATCAGGATGGTACCGGGCTTGAGGCTCTCGCGCAGCTTGGCGGGACGGATAGTCTTGCGGACCTGTATGATGATATTCCGTCAGAAACTCGGTTCCCTTCACTTAAAGCCATATCCACACATTCATGGCGAAATGATAGTCTCAAAGATAGATTCGATAGCGGCGGAAGATAGCGATTCCGATTATCAATTCATGTCCCATTGACACCGGCCTTTGGTTTCCCCAACACTGAACACACACAACACACACAAATACCATCCCAATGACCGGCGCAATCGTCGCATTCATTCATAACAGATCGTATCTCCAGTCGCTATTCGTTGTTGCTCTGCTTGCATCAAGGGCTGTACTGACTTTCTTGGGCTGCGACTCATCGTCCACGGGGTACCATTTCTGGGCCTTCTGGGCCGGCACGAGCCTCTGGCCCTTTCCAAACTGCTTCGTCTGGCCAACAGTAGAGTCCGACATATTGGCTGCTGGGGACGAAGGAGACCGAAAAGAATGAAGGGGGGGGGTGGGTGGTTGTCGACGGCGGGTAGTTGATGGAGTTGGATGTGTGACTCTCTACTTACGGCCCAGTGCGGAAAATCCTCAGGTTTGTGGGAGAACGAGCCCTAGCCGAAATGCGCTAGTGCCGATTTGGACGGTCCGATAGGCCGCTGATAGTGCCTGAGGCAGACGTTTGGGGGTGGTGCAAACACGTCAAAAGTGCGATCCCGTCTTAGTCAGCAGAGCTCGAACAACTCGAGCCGCTCATCTGACTGACGTATCTCTCTCTTCCTTTGTGAGCTCTGCTTCCTTCTGTCAACATCCCACCACTGCACCTTCAGTCTTGATTCTTTTTTTTGAGATTGACCGCTGGGACTGACACAGGACGGATTTTACTTCGTTTCTCTTAATATCCTGATTCCTTCCCACGTCCGTCACCATGTCGGTAACGCCGATCATAACATTCAAAGCGGGTATCTGTGACCTGGATGTACGTCCACCTGAGCTTTCGTTTATCCAATGGTCGAGGTGGCATGTCTAAAGTTCTAGTGCTAAATATTCAATCTTTCACAGCTCACTGGATCCAACTCCGTGGTCAAACCCCAACCAACTCCCGGGTACATCTACCTCTATTCGGAAGATGACCTTGTCCACTTCTGCTGGCGTCCTCGGACTGCTCCTCACACCGAGCCCACGTTGGACCTAGTCATGGTCCCATCCGACGGGAGCTTTACACCTTACCAGCCTCACGGAAAGGAGCCCACGAACGGTCGGATCTTTGTGCTGAAGTTCTCCTCCAGCTCCCAGCGCTATCTCTTCTGGCTCCAATCCAAGTCCCAACATGAGAGCGGGGACCCGAGCTGGTTCAGCCCCCGGGATGCTAAGCTGGGCGAGATCGTGAACACGCTCCTCCAGGGTGAAGAGGTCGACGTGGAGGAGGAGATTGCAAACCTTCCCAGAGGGTCGGGCGGATCGGGCGGTGATGATGACGAGACTATGGAGGATGTTGAAGGCACCGACCATGACCCCAACCATCACCGCGGCGGTAGCGTCGGCGGAGCAGGTCCCGACGCTACGGGTGGGGATGTCAGAGAGGAGGGCCAGGGGTCCCGGGAGGGTGGTGCCGACGGTGGAAGAGCGTAGGTACATAGTTCTGCATTTGATGATTTTGCCCTGTGTTACTTGGTTCCCTACAGTTCTGGAGTATCCCATTTGGATGAACTCTGAGTCAATGCTTCATCTCCAGTCTGACCTTTCGCTAACTCATTCTGGCTACCTTGTAGGGCGTCCGCCGAGAATCCATCGTCCGTTGTACAGAACTTCCTCCAGTCTTTGCAAGGCAATTCACGCCAGTCGCAGGAACCCGACCGACCCCATACTACTCTGCAAGATCTCCTGTCCCCCTCGAATACGCTTCCTTTCCTGGACTGTGCGGATGACCGAACGGTGGATAATCTTCTGAGCTATCTACCACCGGCCCTTCTCCTCCTGGCGCAAGATGTCGAGGATGTCTCTGCTGCCGATAGCGATCCGGACATCGCCGCAGCCGCCATGGGGTCTCTCGAACCGGCGCAGAAGAAGGAGATCCTGACGAAGATTCTACGGTCGCCTCAATTTACGCAGAGTCTGGCCAGCCTGACGGTGGCTATCCGGGATGGCGGTCTCCCGAGTATCAGCGAAGCACTTAAGATTCCGGTTGAAAACGGAGGGTTCATGCGTCGTGGAGGGGTGCCCTTAGGCGGGGGTGAAGCGGTTGAAGCGTTTCTGAAAGGCGTTCGCAACCATGTTCGGGGCGATGGGATGGAGACCGATTGAGCATGTTATTAAGCCTGTTGTAACTACCGATTAATGCTAGTTTTATTCAAAAGAAAATAAGAGATTATGGAGTGTCTTCCAGGAATTGAAGCGGCTAAGCGTTGGTAAATACATACGATAATTACTCGACTCTCACCCCGTATCTTACCAGGTACTAGTCCGTACAAAGTATCTTGGTGTCCATCAACACTGCCCCAGGGCCTCGAGGAGACAGCTTACCTATTTTTGGTTACAACCGGTGGGGAAAGTCGACACTAGGCAGCAATCATTGGAAGGAGACCCTTTTCTCCTCATCCTTCAGCTTGTCAATCAATTCAAAGAATTAACAGGTAAGGGGGTTGGAGTGACAGGAAGAGCGCTGACAGAAAACGATAATATTCCCCCTCCTCTCAGATAAGAAGAATGCTACAGCTGCATCTATAGGGGTCGAGATCAGGCCGATTCAACTAGAATGGAGGCTAAGTCCGTGTTACCAAGGGACCAAAATGGTGTCCAATCTAACCCCAGGTCCATTAAAATTGGGGGGGATGGAGTAGTCGTACGTAAGGTACCTTACTGGGTACTTCGAGGTACCGCTAACCCGTAAGGCTCGGGTGTTTTTTTTTTTTCTTCTTTCCCCTGTGGCGCAATCTGTCTTGGTACGGTAAGGTTAGGGGGAGAAAGTCAGAGACAAACTAGTTGGACTGGACGCCCCAGCTGGACATGTTTCAGCCCATACTAACTAGGTAATCTACAAGCGCTACTCAGATGGGTAAATGAGCCACACAATCCCCAGTTGGCCTTGTCCGACACTAAGCTCCCGCCTTAGACGCCGTGTGCAATCTTGATCGATCGAAGGTTCTTCGAGCTGTCATTTCTGTAACACCTTAATCTTCCTTGTCCTACTTTAATTCTCGGGTCTCTGGGCATTTCTCCGGGCTCTTGTCCGTCTCTGTCGCTCGTTTTCTTAAAATAATTACCTAGATCAAGTCTTCCCATATTCATCTAGCCTTGCGGTTATCCTCTCCGCGTCCCCGTCCACCAAAAGAGCAAGAACAACGCAGTCTCACCTCCTCCCACTTCCCCAACCGTTTCCTCCAGCCTTATAGCGTCCCCGCGTCTGGATCGCGACACATCGGACACTCCATCGGTCTAGAGTTGCGGTCTGCGATGTCTGCGTTCGGTTAGCGCATCCGACTCTGCCCACGATGGCGTCGAATAGCCATGGCCGCGGCACCGACAACGACAGCAGCGACAATCATGATAACAACCGCTCGACGCATCACTCGATCCCTTTGCAAGATCTATCTGACCCGCCGGACCTGACCAGACGAAGTGGTGTGGGGAGAAGGATACACTCGTTACGAAGAGGATCCGTGAGGGATTACGAGAGGGTCTCCGGGGACTCCCCGACGGAGAGTAATGTCACATGGCACAATACCCGCCGCGATCGAGCCCACTCCCAGAGCGATGATGACCTCCAGGAGGATCCAGGTGCGTTTGCGATGGCCACCGTTGGTCTCCAGCTCGAGCCACCGGAGATCACCTTTACGCCGGCCCGCCGGCGCAGCGACAACAGCGAATATGAGATGGGGAGTATACGGTCGGACAGTCTCGCCAGCCCAGAGGCGGTCGCCCTTCCCCACGGGTTCCTGACCCCTTCCAATTACTCCGACCGCTCGCCGTTGACGGATGCCGGCAATATGCAGCCCATCGATGGAGCATCGATCGAGTCCTTTCCACGATCCAGCGCACAGACGACCCGCTTCCCCTCCTTGGATAACCCAGGAGCGCGCCTGGGCGACGACTTGGAAAATGGCTTCAGCGGCCGGGACCGCGGCGAGAGTAGCACCCGGAGTAGGGCGCGGTCGTTGTCTCCGTCGGCGTCGGGGTCCGCGCTGCAACGTGCGAGCTCGATGATGAAATCCATGTCCCAGCGTGTCGTCAATTTGAGTAACGAACCGGAGGTGGTCGAGCAGTCGATTTTGCGGGAGGAATTGCAGAAGAGTTCCCGACTCGAGGAGCCGCCGGTACTACCGACTTTGACCGATTATGCCCACGATGCGCCACATGGTCCCTCGAGAGACAGCCAGAAACCGAAGCGGATATCCGGGAAGATTTGGAGGATCTACAACAATCCGCTGAAGGGGAAGTCCCTGATGCTTTTCGGTCCAGAGAACCGCCTTCGGATGGGACTCTGCGATATTTTGGTCCATCCGTTTACGGAGCCCATCATCCTGCTGGTCATTGTGATCCAAACTGTTTTGCTGACAATCGAATCGTCAGCGTGGGTCTGGGATGGGGAACAGTCGAAGCACTGGGGGGCAAACCCAATGGACTACCCGTACTTCGCCATCTTCATCATATACACGCTGGAGCTGATCGCCAAAATCATCGTGTCGGGGTTCATCATCAACCCGACCGACTACTCCACCATCGACCGGTCACTGGGGCTCAAGAAGGCAATCATAGAGAAGGGCAAGAATCTCATCACTCCACAACGGCAGTTTTCTACGAAGAAGGCGTCGGTCATGCCAGACCAAGCGCAAGCCTCTATCATACGGACCTTTACCGGTGGCCTTAACCAGATGGAGCAGGAGGTTCCCACAGACGACCCTCTCCAGAAGCGCCGCGTGCGACTGGCCCACCGGGCGTTTTTGCGGCATTCCTTCAATCGTCTGGACTTTGTGGCGGTCGTGGCGTATTGGATCTCCTTCGTGCTCGCTGTGGTCAGTGTCGAAGATAGGCAGCGACTCTACGTCTTTCGCATGCTTAGCTGTCTGCGGATCTTACGTCTTCTCGCCCTAACAAACGGAACCTCTGTAAGTGATGGTCTGTGAATATCTCCTGGTGGGAAGACCTGCTAACCCAGAATTAGGTCATTCTCCGAAGTCTTAAAAAGGCCGCCCCCTTACTGGTCCACGTCGCATTCCTCATTGGCTTCTTCTGGCTGCTATTTGCGATTGTGGGTATGCAAAGCTTTAAATCCAGTTTCAGGCGAACCTGCGTTTGGGACGGTCAAGATGGTCAGGATAAGTATCATCTCAACGACGCAGCAGGTACCATCCAGTTCTGTGGTGGATTCCTCAATGCAACAGGCCATCCAAATCCTTGGGAAAATAAGGACGGCGATCCCAGCCATGCTGAACCGAAGGGTTACCTGTGCCCGATAGGCTCTCGTTGTGTTGAACAGGACAACAATCCGTTCAACAACACCATGCATTTTGATGATATCGTGCATTCGCTTGAGCTCGTCTTTGTCATTATGAGTTCCAACACGTTTACAGACCTCCTATACTACACAACGGACAGCGACTACCTTGTAGCCGCACTGTTTTACGCGATGGGGTTTCTCATCCTCAGTCTGTGGATGGTAAACTTGCTGGTTGCCGTCATCACGCACTCTTTCCAGGTCATTCGCGAGGAGAGCAAGCGCAGCGCGTTCGCCTCTCAGAAGCTCGACGGTGTCAATACAGAGGACCTGTCCGCTCCGAAAATCAGCACCTTTAAACGCTTATATGACAAAACCGAGTGGCTTTGGGTGTGTATCATCATATTTGATCTTGTCGTGCAGGCACTGCGAAGTGCTAGTATGAGTCAGCATACAGAGAATATCATCAGCAATACGGAGATAGTCGTCACTATCCTCCTTCTCGCCGAGATAATCTTGCGCTTCGCGTCTGACTGGCGCAAGTTCCACACGAAACGGCGTAATTGGACCGATCTGGGGCTCGCCGTCATCACGAGTATCATCCAAATACCAGCCATCCGGAACTCGGGACGAGCGTACACCGTTCTCACTATGTTTCAGATCCTTCGCGTCTACCGAGTCGTACTTGCCTTTTCCGTTACGCGGAACCTGATCCAGGTGGTTTTCCGCAATGCTACCGGTCTGCTGAATCTGATCGTCTTCGTGTTCCTGATTACCTTTCTCGCGTCGATCTTTGCAACCCAGCTTTTTCGCGGCCAGATATACGACGAGGACGTCAATGGAAATGAGGTCGAGATCACGTTCTCTAACATCTACAATTCCTTCGTTGGGATGTATCGGATCCTGTCGAGTGAGGGTTGGACCACGATTTTGTATTCGGTGACTGGGTTTACCCAGCAGTATAACACGTCTTGGATCGCGGCGACTTTTCTCATTCTGTGGTTCGTCGTGGCAAACTTCATCATTCTGAATATGTTCATTGCTGTCATTCAAGAAAGCTTCGATGTGTCAGAGGATGAGAAGCGCCTACACCAGGTCAGGGCCTTCCTAGAGCAGAAGCAGGTCAACGCGTCTTCGCAAGGCAACCTATCTCTCTCAAAGATCCTCATGCTGGGTAGGGACCCAGACCGTTACCGGGATCCCCTGGACCACGGGCCGGCAGCCTTGGAGATGCTGCTGAAAGACGCGGTCGTGCGGGAATTTCTCGACGAGGAAGAAGGACCGAACGGGACTAGTCGGAGACAGAGCGAGCCGCTAGATACTACAAGCACCACAGCGGAGACGTCTCAGCCAGGAATTTTCTCGAGCATGTGGACGAGGGTAACCTCGGCGATCCTGGGTAGGGAGCCGAACCCGTTCTATTCCAAGCTGCAACTTTCCCGGACGTACGAGGAACTGGATCCGAAAGCTATGGCCAGGGAGGTGGTGTCGGCTGCAGAACAACGAAAGCGAGCGCAGCGAGAGTATCTGATGCGGCATCCCACGTACAACAAATCGCTGTTCATATTTGCGCCCGACAACCCGGTGCGGAGACTGTGCCAGCGCATGGTGGGACCGGGCCGCGGCAATCAGCGGGTCGAAGGCGTCGACCCGTACAAGCCTATCTGGTTTGCGTTGTCGGGTTTTATCTACCTGGCGATCGTTGCCATGGTCCTGCTGGCGTGCGTGACCACGCCCATATACCAGCTCGAGCACCATCAAACCGGCCAGAACGGCATCAGAAACTGGTCCACTTACACCGATCTGAGCTTTGCGATTTTGTTCTCATTCGAGGCCCTGATCAAGGTCATCGCTGACGGATTCTTCTGGACCCCCAATGCGTACTTCCGCGGCTCCTGGGGGTTCATCGATGGGATTGTACTCGTCACTCTGTGGATCAACGTCGCTAGCTCGTTCTCCGTAGGCTGGGACATCTCCCGAGCCATTGGGGCTTTCAAAGCTCTGAGGGCGTTGAGATTGCTGAACGTCAGTGACAGTGCCAAAGACACTTTTCATTCCGTCATTATTGTTGGAGGCTGGAAGGTCATTTCCGCGGCGTCCGTCTCGTTGAGTTTTCTGATCCCGTTCGCTATATACGGGGTGAATCTATTCAACGGCCAGATGGTCGCCTGCAACGACGACAGCCTGGAAGGTCAGTTCTTGAACGAGTGTGTCGACGAGTACATGAGCGAGCCTTACAACTGGGAAGTTCTGGCGCCGCGGGCGGCATCGAACCCGGCTTACGACTTTGACAACTTCGGCAACTCCCTTTTCATCTTGTTCCAGATTGTCTCCCAGGAAGGGTGGACAGGCGTACAGTCCAGCGCCATGAGCATCACGGAGGTCGGCAAACAGCCGCAAAATAACAAGGCGCCGGAGAACGGGCTCTTCTTCATCGTCTTCAATTTACTCGGTGCCGTCTTCGTGCTGACGCTGTTCGTGTCGGTGTTCATGCGCAACTACACGGAACAAACGGGCGTGGCATACCTTACGGCCGAACAACGGTCGTGGCTGGAGTTGAGGAAGCTGCTTCGACAGGTGTCGCCTTCCAAACGGTCGTTCGATGCCAAGGTCAGCCAGTGGAAGATGCGGTGCTATCGAATCGCGGTCAAGAAGCACGGTCGGTGGGCGAGATGCGTCAGTACCATTCTGCTTCTCCATCTTCTACTGCTGATGGTCGAATTCTACCCTGAACGTGTACCCTGGGACAATGTGCGAGGTATGTCGTCTAGTCGTCCATGCCGTTCTAATCGTTCGCACACAACACGAACGTTGATAATATTTGATTGTTTGCTAATACCACATAGAGGGACTATTTATCGTGTTCAATCTCTTCTACATCGCCAACGTTATCATCCGATTGCTCGGACTCGGGTGGCATCGATTCAGCCGGAGCTCATGGGATGTATTCGCGCTCGTGGTAGTGCCCGGGGCCCTGATCACGACGGTCCTGCATATTGTCTATTCGACATTTGTGATCGGGGAATTGAACAAGCTCTTCCTGGTGGCCATCGCGCTTCTACTGATCCCTCGGAACAACCAGCTGGACCAGCTGTTCAAAACGGCAGCGGCCAGTCTGACGTCGATCGGGAATCTCCTGGCGACGTGGTGCGTGCTCTTCCTGGTCTTCGGCATCGCCATGAACCAGGCGTTCGGGCTGACGAAATTCGGCGAAAACGAGAGCAACAACATCAACTTCCGTGACATTCCGCGCACGCTCATCCTGCTATTCCGAATGAGTTGCGGCGAGGGGTGGAACGACATAATGGAGGACTTTGCGACGATGGTGCCGCCGAAGTGCACGTTGAATGAAGACAACTTTCTTCTGGAGGACTGCGGCAGTGCGGCGTGGGCGCGGCCTCTATTCATCGCGTGGAACATCATCAGCATGTACATCTTCGTGTCGCTCTTCGTATCGCTCATCTTTGAGAGTTTCTCGTACGTCTACCAGCGCAGCAGCGGACTCTACGCGATCAGCCGCGAGGATATCCGGCGCTTCAAGCAGGCGTGGGCGACCTACGATCCGCGCGGGGAGGGGTACATCTCCAAAGAACAGTTCCCGCGGCTGCTGGGGGAGCTCTCCGGGGTGTTCGACATGCGCATCCACGACGGGGAGTACTCGATCGGGCGCATCCTGGAGGAGTGTCGGGTGGACCAACGGGATTCGTCGCCCGTTGTGCTCAATCGGGTATTCGAGGGGGTGGATCTGGACAAGCTGTCGTGCATCTTGCGCGATCTGCCGGTCGAGACGGTGCGCACGCGGCGGGCACGGCTCAATACGTTCTACGAGGAGGTGCTCGTGTCAGCAGACCCAGCGCGCGGCATCTCGTTCCACTCGTGCCTGATGATCCTGGCGCACTACAACGTGATCAGCGACAGCAAGAGTCTACGGCTGGAGGAGTTCCTGCGGCGGCGGGCGCGGCTGCAGCGCGTGGAGGAGACGATCCGGCGCAACACGGTGATCGGGTTCTTCGACACCCTGTACTGGTCGCGAGAGTTCCGGCGGCGCGTGGACCACAAGAAATCGGCGCGCATGAGCATGCCGCCGCAGTTCACGGTGCCGGAGATCTTCGTCGACGACGGCGAGGAGCCCGACGAGGAGGACGCGCGGCGCATGGCGCAGGAGGCGCTGGTCGGCGAGACCACGATGCTGTCGCCGTCGTCGCCCGAGGCCGGGCCCTCGTCACCGCGGACGAGTGGCGGCGCCGCCCTGCCGCGCATCGACACCTCGCTTGCGGGCGGACTGTCAGGTCGCATGACGGCAACCAGCTCGCCGACGGAGTGGTCGAGCATCAGCCCGTCTTTGTCACCGCGACGACCGCGGGCGCACACGACGTCGTCGTACGATCCGGGGCCGGGGATGGAAGACGAGCCACCCCTGTCGGCGGCGTTGTCGGACCGGTCCCGGCCGGACAACACGGCGAGCGTTCAGGATGTGATGCTGTCATTCGGTGATTCGGCATGGGGCGAGAGTATCCGTCGCAGCTTTACACAGCGACGACCCTCCGAGCGACGACCTAACCGACGACGACCGTCGGAGAGTTAGTAGGGGGAGGGGGAGAAAGTATATGATGAGATGAGAACGGCCGATGATGTGTATGGATATGATAGATGTCCTTTTTTTTTTCCTGTTATCATACTACTATACCCTTTTTTTCATTTCTCTTCTTGATTTTTCCTTTTTTTTTATCGTGATTCTCCTTTTTTTCTTCTTGTACTGATTTAGCAAAAATGTTGAACAGCCCAACTGGAATCTGTGGATGGTTGAAACCTCGGGATTTGATCACTTGTATAGGATCGGATAGGATCTTGGATACGATCTAGGGTTGCATTGAGAAACAGTCGCAACACTGTTGATTAGCGGTAGCGTGGTATTATTGACATTACGCGTTTTCTTCTTCTTCTTTTTTCCTAGAAAGAATCAAGGATTATAGTTCAGGATCAATCTCAAGGGACGATAGTGTTCTCCCTTGATCAATAGCGTAACTTGCAAGGGTGGGAGGCCGGATTCGGCGGGAGCACCCTAGGGAGACAGCCTAGGGAGGAGGGTGAAGAGATCGTGGTAGTATTCTGTCGTAGTGTGCAGTATCATCCTGGATTGATCAATAGACAGTAGATACAGAGGCCTCCATGGATGGATGGATATGAAGATGAAAGCGGATCGATATGGCCGTTTGCGGAGGGCGGTGAGAGAAGAGGCCATCCACATCTTTTTCTCCTTCCCCGGATTTTCTGTTCCCAACATTGCGATGCTTCCATACTCTCAATACTGTCAAGGTTGGATTCCACTTTTCTGTATCTGACTGGACTCCACGTCGGTCATGACAAGACCCGCCAGAGAGGAGGAGTAACGATGCTCCAGCAGCAGGAAACTGAATTGAGTGGATGGATCGATCCCTGATCGACAAGGATTGTCGCATCCGCGCTGCATTCGTCATCCCGACTGTTCGTCGGTGGTGGTCCCTGGTTGGGACTCCACCTTGCTGTTTCCTTGCATTTATTTTTTCCGATCTTATTATGATGGTTGATATCTCTGGGGGCTTGGGTCTTGACTGGATTTCTAATTTCAAGGGGAGGAGGATCTTCATCACCAAGGGCAAAAGAAGGATACTATAAAACGACCAAGACAAGAAGGCCAAGAGAGAGATACGATACGATACTCCTGACTCTCCTGATCTGCTAGCTCATGATTGACACGACTATTTAGTCTTTACCAAGCCCAGCCCGCTGCACGCAATTCATTAATCTCTCACGTTTGCGGGCTTCCTTTTTCATCTATCGATCGTTTTGGGCTGGGAGGCTGTGCCGTTGGTTTAATCTTGGTGTTTCATCTATTTTTTTTTTCTTCTTCTTTTTCCTTCTTTCTTTCCTTCTTTGTCTGCTCTGTACATCTGTCGTTCGTTCGTTGGTGGTCGTGGGTTCGTTTACTGTCTTGTCGGCTTATCAGTGCTATCTTCACTGCCTCCGTCCAGGCTACACAGGTCGCAAGAAATAAAGGAGAAGTCTTCTTTTCGAAAGAAAAGAAGAAAGAAGATCAAGATGTCACCACATCTCTCCCTCCACACCTCCTTCGACCACCCTCATCCTCAACTATCCCGCCGACAACCACCCCCGCAAGACCGTCCCTACAACACCACCACCCCCCTCAGCTCAACCACCACTTCCCCCACCTCCTCGCCCACCTCTCCAGCCTCACTCACGGCCACCACCAACAACCCCCCAAGACGCTGCCTCTTCCACCCGCACCAGCGCCCCTTCTCCTCCATCGAACCCACCACCCCGCCCCTATCATCCGGCTCAGGATTCGGGTCCCCACCCAGAACCCCCGTCCTCCTCCGCCGCCGCCCCTCCAAAATAGACATGGCCCTCTCCGCCGAGCGCTCCCGCTACGACTGCGACGCCATCGAGCGCCAGGGCCTCGACCTGATGGAGCCGCGCCCGGTGGATCCGGCTTTCGCGTTCGAGCCCCTGACGCCCGGTCTGGATGCGTGGGCTACGGGCGGAGCGGGCTGCCGACTTTCTAGCGCGAGTGCGTCTTGCTATTCGGAGAGCGGGAGCAGTTGCAGTGGTTATACGCGGGAGGGGCGGATGACGCAGCCTAAGTTTGTTATGGGGGGGATTTTTGAAGTCATGGAGGGGAGGGCTTGACCTTTCTATTCTATTTTATTGGTATTGGCTCTTTTGATGGTTTTGGTTTGGCGGTTTCTTTCTTGGTTGAGCTTCGGGGTGGGTTATTTTGATTTGGGTATTATTGTTGGTATTACTGGATGGATGGACGGATGGGCACACTCTCGGGTGATGGTTGGTTTTATCTCCACCTGATATGTTGTGGAGTTCATTTGACAAGAGTGGTTTGGAGTTGCAGGTAGTGACAGGGTTATACTACTGAATATTAACCAAGGGGTTGATAAGAATCGGTCTATTCTCGATAGATATAACATATATCATATCACATCCCAAAAAAGCTATATATGAAAAGAAAAAAAGAGATCTATAACCGAAACGGATGCGCCTCGGTGTTAAAAACGAACTCATCCAAACTGAGCACATCCGGCTCACTAAACACCAAATAGAAATACTTCAGCGTCTCCGCCATCCAAAAACTCTCCATACTATCCTGCTGGGGCGGGTTCCCCCCATCATCCCCGCTGTCATCGTCGGTGAAGGAGAAAGTCGTCCCCGTGACGTCTAGCAGAGCCGCGTTCGCGTAGGGCGTGCGCGTGAGCTCGTCGATCGCGGTGAACATCTCCCAGGCGTCGTCGCGGTAGCTCTCGTCGCCGGTTATGCGGTACAGGTAGAAGACGCTTTCGATTGCTTCGGGGCGGAGCGCGTAGCGTTTGTCGCGGACGGAGGTGAAGTGGTTGTTGTTTTTTTTCTTGTTCTTACCAGAGGATGAGGATGAGGATGAGGAGGGGAAGTCGCATTCGTCGAATGAAGGGCAGGCTTGGAGGGCGAAACTCTCGGGCATGATTCCCGTCGGCGAGTGGCGGTACAGCCAGACACACCCGTCGGTCAGTTTCCGGCCGAGCTCGACGTGCGTGTCGTTGTTGAAGAGCTTGCCGCCTAGGGCGTACATGCCGCCGACGAAACACGTGAGGTGCTCGCCTGCGTTGTCGCGCGTGATGGTGTCGCCCTTGGGCGAGGCGCGGGCTGTGCCTGGGATGAGGATGTCTGCGTTGTCTGGGGTGCGGGGGCGGAAGAGGAGGTGGTCGATGCCTGCGGACATGGCGCGCTCGTAGAGACGCTTGTATTGGGTTGTGCTGCCTGCGAGCAGCTGGTGCGTTTTGCCGAGGTATTCGAAGGCGGAGTCGGCCATGGCGCCGAAGCTGAATGTGGTGCCTGTTGTCAGGTCTGGTGTTGCGACGTCGATGCCGACGGGCCAGAGGCCGGGGATGAGGGTTTGGGATTGCTGCGCGTCGAGCGCGTCGGTGATGCGCGAGATGGCGTCGTAGTAGCGCATGTCGCCGGTTAGCTGGGAGAGGCGGGTGAATTCGAGGCTGGAGGATGCGAGCTCGGCGATGATGCCGTTCTCTGCGGCGAACTGCTGGTGGCGGTCTTGGTCGGCGGGGGTGGTGGATTCCGCGGCGGAGATGGCGGCGTGGGGGTTCCAGCGGGTGATGGGCATGCGGGTGGGTGTGTCGAAGGAGGCGTAGATCATGTCGCCGAGGCGGACGGCGATGTCGAGGAGGCGGGTGTCGCGGCAGTCTGTGAGGTCGTAGGCGGAGAGGAACCCGCCGAGGTAGCGGATTGTGATCTCGAAGAGGTTGAGGGTTGACTGGGAAGCGCTCTCAGGGCGGAAATCCGTATCCATGATGGCTGCGACGGCACGCTCGAACTCCGGCTGCAGGCCCATGATGAGCAGCGTGTCGAGGTTGTCAACCAGGGTGGCGCCCCAGCCGCCGAAGGTCGTCTTGGAGGTTCCGGACAGCGGGGCGAGCTCGTCCTTCTTCCATGCATGCGTCTCATAGGACTTCCATGCGCGCTGGAAGCTGCGCTTTACGGCTGCTTGGCGCTCGCGGCGGATGGCCTCTGCTTTGCGCGGGAGGGGCGTGAAGTCGTGCTGTACGCGGGGCAATGGGGCCGCTGCGGCGCGCTGGCGGTGCGGGAGCTGGGCCAGGTGGTCCACTGGGTAGCGTGTGGGGACGTCCCGCCAGCTGAAGCCAGCGCGGGGAGGCGAGTAGGGGGGACTCGGCGGGGTGATGGGACAGCTGCGGAACGCGGTGGTGGAGATCCTGGGGACGACTCTATCGCGCGAGGTGATGAGGAAGAAGAGGATGGCTGCTGTGGCCAGCAGGAGGGTGGATCGTCGTCGTCCAAAAAGCCATGTGGGCATGGTGTTTACCGTATAGGTGGTCGGAAGAAGAGACCCGACGGAACACTCATTCAAACGATGACAGCGGGAGGGCGGAGGATGCGATCCGATCCAAGAATGTTCACGTTCACATCGACAGTTCCGCGTCTGAATTGAGATTGAGATCGAGTCCGCGGATCCATGGCGGATGATGAAACGGACAGACGGTGGCCAAGACAACTCCGAATTCCAACCTCGTTCGGGAAGAGATCGTCATCTTATCTATCATCTCATCTGCCTACATACAACTATCGATTACGGGGTATATTCTAACATTTGGTATCAATAATTGATGTGGATTTCAATGGCTAATAAGGACCATCTTCTCTGGGTATTTAACCTGCAATGATCTCCCTCCCAAATCAACCAACTCCAGAGAAAACAACAAACAAACAAATCGCTCTCGCTACGCAATGCATCTTCAGAGCCACCAAAGATCGAAAAAGAAAACTCCCCCACAGAACACAGAGATCACTTCGTCCCCTTGCGCTGATTTGGCCACAGCTGTCCCCGACAGTTCTTCTCTCCACACAGACACCGCACCGCACTCGGATCAATCTTCGTCGGTCGCCCACTCTCGCGCGCCCCGGGGTTGTAATCGAAGGTGAGCTCCGTCATGGGCGGGATGTCACGAACCGCAAAAAAAGCCAAGTCGTACAATCGCTCGTCGCCAGGGGTGTGGGATACGGGGATCATCCTGCAGTTGGGGTGACACGAGTGGTTCATGAACCGCGCCGGTCCGCCGAAACGCTCCCCGTCGACGACGTAGATGCCCTCTGTTTCGTCAGACGGGGGGTAGAAGTCCAATCCGAAGAGGTACGAGTGTCCATGCTGCGCCGTCGCGATCTCCTCGCGGATGTCGGCTTTTTCCTCTGTGATCACCTCCCCAAGATAACAATCGATGAATTGGCCCGCGCGGATGGTGTCGGGGGATCGGAGGCCTGTCATCACGTTAGTATTTCCAAAATGAAAGGGGTGAGACAGTGAGAAAGGAAGATAGAGAGAGACAAACCGAATCCTCTCTCCCCAGTATGAAAAATCTCCAACCGAACCGTCCGCCCCCGCTGCACCACGCGATTCCAACACGCCTTTTCACAATTACAGCGCGCCCCACACTCCACGATCATCACCGTACGGTGTAGAATCTCCGGCCTGAGGACCAACACAAGCGGATCATCCGCGGCACCACCATACGCAATGAGCTTCCGGTCCGAGTTCTCCTCCTCAGTCTCAAGACAAACACAGCGAGTAGGGTCGCAAAACCCACTGCAGCCACAGCCACCGATAAACTCCTCCTTGAGAGGCTCGACACCGGGCCGGATCTTGTACGCGTTGATGAACTCAAAATTAGCCGCAAAGTCCGCCAGCAGATGCTCGTTGCCAGCCGCAAAGGTAACAGGGGGTCCCTTGATCGTCGCTAGCTTGCGCTGCAGCGCGCGTAAAAGCTGGTCCGCTACGCGCGGCCGCTGCGCGGTCAGGACCGGGGCGGTGCGGCCGATGAGGAGAGGCACAGAGCGGCGGTCGACGGGGTGTGTCTTTGCTACCGGGTAGGCGCCGCGGCGCGCGCGCTTCTCGTAGTCATTTGTCGGGAAGAAACGGTCTGAGAGCCCGGACAGCGGCGGCGTGCTGTGGGGTGTGCTCTGCACGACGCGGGCGCGGTCAATCTCCCTCTTCAGATGGCGTGAAGGGGAGGGCACCACAACGGTGGGGAGCGGTGCGGTAGTTGGGTCGAGGCCCGGGCTGGGGGTGCTCGGGAGACGCTGTCGATCTGGGTGGGCAGCATGAGTAGTGGTGGTGTGGCTCTGCACCCTGTGTGGAATGGAGTGCGAGGGGACATGGCCGTTCAGGGAGACCGAGTTCAGCAGGGCCCGCGTGGGCTTGGACAATGATGGGATTTGTTCCACTGCTGGTTTTCTCTTCTGTGGGACGACAGGGCTGACCACGCGATGGGCCAGCGTGAAGGAGGGAGATGCCTGTCCATGGGTTGCGTATTCCGTCCTCAACTAGATCTGGTCAGTGGATGTTTGGAACTTGGAAGTAATGGACGTGTGAAGTGATCAAAAAGCGCAGACCGGTATAGTCCACAACCAGTCCAAGATCACGGTCAGGTAGGACCATATCAAAAATCCAAAGATCGTAACATATAACATGATTAATGGCCCCGATATACTAAGAGTCTAAGATTCACCACCAGCTCGTGACATATAGACATTATCATTGGACAACCTCACGCGTGGCTGATCTACACCCAGAGTCCCAGACCAAAACAAAGTATCATCTATAAAAAAAGGCACAAAAAAAGAAAAAAGAAAGAACCCACCTGGGACTGGATCTGATCTTCCGAATCCGAATCGTTAGTCAAGTCGATGACCATGTTGTCCGGGGACCGAGACACCATTCAAATTAAGGATTAAAGATTATTATGATTAGGATTAGATAAGGGGGGGGTTAGTAATCCCAGAAAATAAGGTTAAATCAGCCAGACCCTTGACGATCAAAGGGCTGCAGATCTGATTCGGGACATGGGAATGGGGCAGTCGGAGCGGATGTGGGGAGGCGAGGATGATAGGATCGATATGAGGCTGACTGACTGGGGAATGATTGATCGGAAAGGGTGGTGATGATGGCAAAAAAGAAAGAAACTCTTGGGAATGGCCGTGTAGATTTTGGGACTAGTCTGTTTTGGGTGGTTTGTTGCTTAGTCAGGTTGATATCAATTCTAACCTTCTAATTCTATTTCATATAGATCTGAAATGATCATGTTGCACATAAAAGGACGTTTATTTAGATTTAAAATATCCTGTTCCATTTTATAGCAAATCAGTTAATATATAGAGACTGAACCCGAACCAAAGCCAATAAGCTGTCACTGCAGTTCGAGGCCATCTGAAGCGCTGATAAAACCCCGTTGGAATAGTCAATGGCAGAACGGATATCAAAGTGAAAGGAAATGGGACCAGATGATCCATAATTTCCGCAAGCCCAGCGCCTAAAAGGTTAATCGGACCCCACACCACATAGAGCGCGTATTTTGTATCAAAAAAGACGTCAGAAATTGCAGCAAAACACACAGATTCGACTCCACCAACTTTCATCACAATCCACCCATTCACGCGCTCATAAATCCTGCTCAAAGCATGGCCAGCTATCTATAAATCCAGGGTCCCCATTTGATAGGGCGTAGCGATGCCAAGACGGGCGCACACCGCCTTGGTCGGCCCGTTCTACGGGTCGATCTGTATACTCCGGCGTATTATATAGTACGTAGATGGTATTCGATGACCATTGTATAACCTTGAGACTATGGTAGATCGAGTCAATCCATATCCAAGATCATTTACACAGAATATAAACCCAGTACTGGACCTGGCCACGGAGGCGGGCGCCTATCCCAAAACACCAACTGGCGAGTTTTGTCTATTGGTCTAGTCAAGATTACAATGATGTACACAGTATACAGTATATAGTTGGTTGTGTACTATCTTTGTCATAGTATTAGCAGTTGTTGAGGAATATGTCCTTGAATTAGATAATTGATGTTATTCTAAATAACTATCACTAGTAAATAAATAGTACTCTAACACTGAATTGTTGATTGGTAAATCCATATCTGGCATGTGAGGAGTCATCCGTGACGGGAACAAGTTCTCCCTTAGTAGTTAGGTAGTACTTCACCTGTAACAGTTGTTACACTAATCTAGGAATATCAAGTGATATATCCAGATCTATACATATCAAGTAAACTATCACTGAGGCAATCTTACTGGTGATCACTTAATAATTGAACCAATACTTGGTACATAGTATATCAAGTCCAAAAACATCTATATCTATTCCCTATCACTAAAGCAATCATTACAAGTATAACCACAATCCCAGCTGCTGCCTCATCCCTGACCCCATCCCTACCCTACAACCTAATAATACCCAGGCAATAAGCCTACACCGATTAAAACACATCCATAGAGATATAAATCCAAATATACAAAAACAACCATGGCCCAAGTCACACAAACCCGCGTAACTCAAACCAAACCCAACTCAGCACAACTCAACAACACAAATAAAGATGCATCCCTACTCGGCTTCTATTATACACCATGTCAAGGCCTCTATGAACCCCCACCCTCACCCCCAGAGACACCTACCGCGGTGAGGAGCCAGCCTCAACTGCAATAACCACAATCAGAGGTAGAATCGACTCTGGATAGGGCTAGGGCTCATAGGACGCGGCGAGTGGGAAAGCATCGGATTAGAAGAATGGGAATGCAGTACACCATAAACAGAACTGAACTCGAAAGGAAAGAAAGACAAAGGAAATAGTCACAAGTCAACAAAGAAATAGAGGAAAGAAAAATGTAAAACGCTCATGTGATACATCACCTGGGTGACGTGGGCTTCTACTCCATCTACAACTTCAGCGCATCTAGGATCTTCTTGGCCATCTCCCGATATTGCCACATGCCACCTGCCACCTTCTTGAACTGGATCCCGTGCAGCGAGAACAGCGGCACCTTGACGATGAGGATCTCAAACCGCAACACCAGGTTCTCGCCCGTATCGCTCTGCACCCGCGTCGTCGTCTCTCCCATGACCCGCTCCCCGACGACCACGGTGGGATCGCGCGACGCCACGTATTCCTCCGAGCCCTCCGAGTTGGTCACAAAACTGCGGTCCGGCGCCCGTGTCCGTCGTGGAGTCCGCGACTGATGCCCGTCGTCGTGGTTCAGCAACCCCCCGAAGCTGATGCGCCGGCGGTGATTCGAGACCTGTCCCTGCCGCTCGGGACTCGGGGGCCCCGTGTCCACCACTTTGTCCAGTTCGATGCTCGGCGCATGCCGGCAACTAAAGCCTCCTTTGATCTCCTCAAAGTCCACCGCCAGCTGCTTCAACACCCGGATGATATCGGCCCGGATGACGGGGAGTGGCTTGCTGCTGGTCGTGGACACGCTAAACAGGCCCTTGAGGTACACGGGCTTGGACAGATCCTCGCCCTCGTTGGCACTCTCCAACGCGGTCCCCGCCCCCGAGATATCTGCGTCGGTCTCCTCGGGGACGTTGGCTTCCCGGGCGGCCTCCCGACGGGCCCGCCGCGCTTGGATACTTTCGCGGCGGGCGTGGCCTAGCGACATGGTCCGGGAGGCGTGCGAGCGACCCGCGGGCCGGGTCTCCCGCGCCGGATTCGTATCCTGCTGGGCGGTTGCGCCGACATGGTCGGATCCGCTGGTGGCGGGCGGATGGGCCAATGCGTCGGCGTCGCTGCGACGCTGCACCCGCCGGGGTCGGTAGTCGGCCGAGTTGACGCTGGTCGACCGGGCCAGGAACTTGCTGGGTCGGGAGTCCGCCTCGGCGGTTCCGGGGGCTTTGAGCAGGCCCTGGTGATGGGGCTGGCTGCCCCCGGACGGAATGATTGGTGGGGTCGGGTCCGCACGCTTCCTCCGGATGCTGAGCCCCCGGCTCAACGGGGAGGCCGAATCGACCGGCGGCTGGACGTTCAATGACGGAGGGCTGCCGACCCGTCTCCGGTCCGGATCGCGGCTGCGTTCTTTAGTGCGGCGCGTGCTGAAGCGTCTTAAGATCCCTGCTGCGGTGCTCTCCTTCCGCGCGGGGGTCTCCGGCTGCGATGCGGGCGCTGGAGATCCCTGTTCGGCCGGTGGAGCGAGGTTGACATTCTTGAGCCCGTCCGTGATTTCATCATCCCCGTGGGTCCGGGCGCGGGGTCGCGAGCGCCGGCCGGCGTCCTTCTCGCCGGGGACCTGGTACTGGTTCGTGTGGGCCGCTTCCGGCGCGGGCAGATCGGGCATCTGAAGCATCGCGTCTCCCGACGACTGGGGCACCCCGAGAGCACCGGGGTTGGTCTCGGACCTCTCCCGATCCATCTTCTCCTTGACCAGGTAATAGACGGATAGCAGGGGACTGTACGCGTTGAGCGGATCCGTTCCCAAGGGAACCACCTCCGCGGATGGAGCTGACAACGTATCTCGGCTGGCCGCCGAGCTCCGCCGCTTGTAGAAGTCGAAGACGCCTCTCTTCTTCTCGTTGTAAACCGGAGGTGGCTGCTCACGCACATTGGTCTTGACGGCGTACTGATAATCCTCGGACTCGAGGATCTTCAGGAGTTGGTTCGTGATATAGTCGGGGGGACCAAAGTCGAACCCGGTCATCTTCTCAATGACATCCGCATCGAGGGGGAGATTGACCGGTTCCCGGCGGGGGAGAAAGTTGTCCGGAGGGGCACTGAACCCCTTATTCATCCAGGGATGGTTCATGATCTCCGCCAAGCTGGCCCGCTGTTTGGGATCGGTGACCAGCATACGGGAGATGATACTGCGGCACTCTACATCTACCATCAGTGTCCGGGAGAGAGAGGGCGCGAGGGATCAGACGAAAGGGTGGGTACTAACCTGTAGTGAGACCCGGGGGATACTCAAACGCGCCTTGCTTGATTTTCGCATGCAGCTTGGGCATACTCTGGTCATCAAAGGGCACCTTGCCACAGACGAGCACATACAGAACGATGCCAAAGCTCCACACGTCCACCTCGGGACCGGTATACTGCCTGGCTTGCAGGAGTTCCGGGGCCGCAAAATAGAGACTGCCGCAGAACGTCTTCAGCAGACTCCGGGGAGAGAACAGGTTACTGAGACCAAAGTCGATGATCTTGATGTCGCCGTTCTTGCTGATGAGAATGTTTTCAATCTTCAAGTCACGGTGCACGATACTGTTGCGATGGCAGTAGTCCAAGGCACTGGCGATCTGGCGGGCGAACTTGCGAGCTTGCTTTTCCTTCAATTTTCCATGGGAGATAATGTAGTCGAGCATCTGGCCGCCGTTGACCAGCTCGAACAGCATGTACCAATGGTAATTGGTGCGGACGACATCCCGCATGCCGCAGATATACGGGTGATTGACAAGACTGACGATGGCGGCCTCGCGAGCCGTGCGAATCTCCTTGGAACGATCGGCTCTTTCGGCGTCGCGCGAGCTCCGGTGTTCTTCGGTCGACTGCCTGGGAACGATCTTGACGGCAACCTGATTGACATTAGTTCCCGTTTCACCTTTGATATATATATATACATATAGATATCTGTCAGCTCACCTGTTCGCCCGTTTCCAAGTTCTTTCCCACTTTCACCTTGCCCATGCTCCCGGCCCCTAAGGTTTTCCCTAAGGCCCATTGACCGGACGGAGTGGAGATGGTGGTGCGACGCTTCGACTGCATGGTGGCGGCTGGGGCCAAACGCGACGCTGAACTGGACTGCGAGTGGGCGGCGCCATCACCGGCGACCGGGCCAGCAGCGGCCATGTCGATACTGTCTCGCTGGTGCCCCTGGACGGCGAGATTCCGGCGGGGTTTCTGATTGGACGAGGGATCGGCGCGGTGGGCGGCGGAGGAGCGCTCCTGTGAGCGATCGGAACCCTCGCGGCGAGTAGAGACGGGTTGAGCAGCCCTGGAGGCCTCGAAGTCCCGACGGGAGAGGTGATCGAAGACGGCTTGGTTGGACGGGGGCCGACGATCATAGGACTGGGACTTGGAGTGGGAATGATGGCCCTGCGGCTGGTACTGCGGCTGCGACGAAGGATGCGCTGCGGTCGCGGGCCTGAGCGCAACGCTTCGGGTCCTGTGAGGCAGATCGGATGGGGGTGGTCTCTGGGAGGGAGCGTGGGAGGAGGTAGAGTGGCTGCGAACGACGGACGGTGACGCAGATGACGAGGCGGCTGTGGACATCACGACCCGAGAAGTTGGGTGAAAGTGTACCTCGGTCAATCAAATCGGACAACCTGTTGAATGCAAGAGCACCGAGGAGACGATGGAAAGTGTGGTGCCGTGGAGAGAGGAGGGGGTATTTGATGAGGGGTGTCGACAATGCCCAAAGATGAACTAAGGGATCGGTCGGGGGGCGGGCGGGGGAGATGGTGTGTGCTGACGACGGGCGCCCCAAGGAAGCAGCAGCCAGCGTCGGAACGTCCAGCAAATAACTCGAGATGACCCCATGTACAGGCTAAAATTTACTATAAAAGGGGGATGAAAGGATGAAATAAAAAAGAAAAAATTGTAGACAAAGAAGTAGACAGGACAATCAAGATGGGAAAGCCTGAAAGGAAGACAGCGATGAGGAGAAAGGAGGACGATCGGTTCCCCGTAAGAATGACGGGGGAGGAGCTGAGAAGAGAAAGGAAAGATGGCTTAGATGAGCTGCGGAGAAGAAAGCACCAGGGGGTACGACCCGATCAATGATAGACTATGGGGTCTCTCGTCGTGAAGGAAGAGGAGGAGGAGAAGGAGGAGATGGAGGAGGTGGGGAGAGAACGAGAGGAATGAGAATGAGAGAGGCTGGTCAGTTGTTCACAGCATTAGTTGTGATCACACTGCCTGCTATGCTGCATTACAGACAATCAAATGGTTCACATGGAGAGACTCGTGGGAAGGGCAGGAAAGGCAGGCGGTGAGGGGAGCATCTGGATTATTTACATGGCTGGGACTGCATATGGTTAGATCGGACTTGGTTTTCATCTAAATATATCTCGGCATTTAAACTATTCAGGAGTCTTATTTCCTGGCAAATAAATTGAAGTAATAAAAACAATATGAGACAAATTATCAAAAATTGATAAAAAAGCGACTCTGGCGCGGCTCGAACACGCGACCTTTGGTGCCGGAAACCAACGATCTACCACTGATCTACAGAGCCGTAGATTGAGTGAATGAATCCGCAGCCTGACAATAGTAATAGCCACGTTCTACACCCGTCAGCCACAGAAATGTGGCGCCGCACGACCTCATCCGTCATTCCTCTACCATCTGACCACTCCGTCTTCTCGCGCCCACCACTCCAACCGATCTGGAATTGATCTCAGGTTGCCTTTGATTTATGACGGCAACATAAACGGTAAGGTCGAACTTCAAATGTCTCGAAACACCGTCAAACTAATCAATATTCCCTCCCAGCTGAACATGATCCCGAGCGACGACTAGTGGACAGAATCCACCATGGCCACCAAACGAACCCGATCCGCCTTCGAAGCGGACCTACAGGCGCACGAATCGCCCTACGCCTTCTACGGCACCCCGCTCCCCCCCTTGGACGCCGGCACGCGCGATGATGGCTCGTATAAGCCAGTCTGGCAGCAGGAGGTGACAGACGACCGGGGAAGGAAGCGACTGCACGGCGCCTTCACCGGTGGATACAGTGCCGGGTGAGCCCACGATTCATCTACCGCGTTGAACAGTCTCACTAAACTGGTGTTTCCCTTTTTCTTTTTTTGTTGTCTCCAGATATTTCAACACCGTCGGATCCAAGGAGGGATGGACCCCCGCGACATTTGTGTCCTCGCGCCAGAATCGCGCCAAGGACCGTCCGCAGGCTCAGCGCGTGGAGGATTATATGGATGAGGAGGATCTTCGCGAGGCGGAGGAGGCACGGCAGGTCGAGACCAGTGGGGATTTTGCCGGGTTTGGGTCTACGGGGGCTGACGCCGTCCGCCGCGGGGGTCTGGTCGATTTGTTCAAGACCAGCGGCGAGACGATGGGGGTCAGGCTCTTAAGGAAAATGGGCTGGAAAGAGGGCCAAGGGATCGGACCCAAAGTCCGGCGGAAAGCCGACCTCGACGATGGGAACGGCGACCCGCACCAGACATACCTATTCGCCCCGGACGACCCGCCGATGGTCGCGTTCGTACACAAGACGGATCGCAAGGGAGTCGGATTCGAAGGGGAATCCCATCTGGACGGCCCCAAGGCGGGTGGCGAGCAGTCGGACGAAGACGAGGGCGACCCGTTCTTTGGGCGGCGGCTCACGGGGACGACGAAACAGAAGCCGACGACCAAGGGACCTCGTCGGGGAGCGTTTGGCGTTGGTGTTCTGAACGACACGGGCTCGGACGACGAGGACCCATACTCCCTGGGCCCGCAGATCTCATACAGCCGGGTGATCGGCGGAGACAAGAAGAAGAAAAAGAAGGCCAAGGCCGAAGATGCGAAACCCACTGTTGCCGCGGCTAATCCGCTACTAAACACCAAACCAGTCTTCATCTCCAAGAAAACGCTGGCGTCGAAGAACTCGACCGGGTTCCGCAAATGCCATGACGGCCGCTTGCCCTTGGACGGTTTTGTCCTCGCCGACGGCATCTCGACTCTGACGATATCCTCGCAGGAAAAGAAGTATGCACCTCCAGAGATCCCCAAGGACTGGGAGTCAAGCAAGGCGCCGGCGCCAGAACAGGAAGCGGCCCCCTACGTCTCAACGGCAGACGCCGCCAAGGCTTCCTCGTTGGATCCAACGTCGCGGGCGGCGCTTCTAGGAGAAGCCCAGCTGCCCGGCAAATCCATCTTCGACTGGATGACCCCCGAAGCCCGCGAGCGGATCGCGAAGCTGACAGGCAAAACGGACCTGCCTCCGGCGCTCGGCGAGAAAGCCCCACCAGGACATGAGCGCTCGGACTCGCAGCGGCAACGAGACCTATGGGATCTGGTCCCCAAGTTGGACAAGCACGTGGCGGCCCAGGCGCTGGCCCGGGCCGCCAGCGGCTGGATGCCCTACGCAGAGGATCTCGACAAGCGATCCCGCTACCGGGTGTTCCTGGAGGTACGAGCGGGACTGCGCGACCGGCTCCCCGACCGGGTCCCGGGGTCTTCCACGGACGAATGGACCGCGGAGTTGAACGAATTCGCCCGGGCGGCGGAGGTCTTCAAGCCCATGTCGGGCGCCATGGCGTCGCGGTTCACGTCGGCCTCGTCGGGACCGAAAGGGTCGTCGGATGAGGCCGCCGATTCGTCCGATGCGACAGGTCTTCACCGACTAGCGGAGAAGCCCCAGGACCCCGCGGAGGCCGCAGCTCACATCGGCATGTTTGGCCCCATGACGCGCAGCAGCATCTCGTTCTACCCAGCGCGTTTGCTGTGCAAACGGTTCAACGTCAGGCCGCCGGGTCATGTGCAACAGGACCCGGGGGCGTCTGCGCCGTCTGGCGGCGCGCAGACCGCTCCTGGTCCCAAGGAGCTGGTGTCGCAGGCGGTGATGAACGAACTGGTGCATGCGGTGGGTGCCACGTCCGGGTCGGCACCGCCGCCTCGGCCGCCGGTGGTGGTGGAGCCGGAACGCAACGACGCGCTGGAGGCGGATCGACCAGGAGAGGCTGTTTTCAAGGCGATCTTTGGGAGTGATGATGAGGATGAAGATGAGGAGTAGGCGTTAGTATAGGGGTGTCATGGTTCCAAAGGGGGACGATTTGGTCTGTCTACTAAACACGTTTTTAGGGCCCTTATTTAGGGTTTGCGACCTCAACAGAGGTCTAACCAGACGATGTATTATTGCATGAAATTATTAACCGAGAAGCTAAGCCACAAAATCTACCCAAACAATTATAACAACAAATATAGTCATAAATCAAATGTAAATCAAGTCAATAAAAAGTGATCTGTCCTGCGTGTGACACAGATTCGCAAGTCGAACACGAGTCCGCAGCTAATCCAGCTCCAACGCGGGGAAGCTCCAAGCACTTTAGTTAGGATATACTCCACTCGATAGCATGGATGGATTGTTATTATGTTGATTTCTATTTTATTAGTATAATAAGTATAATATACACCGTATTTTCAATTGACCGCATCTGCAATAGACAATATTGCTTTCATTGCATGAATTATTCGTATTGTTGTGATTGTTTAGGAGGGAATTAAGCTTTGCGACGAACCGTTCGGCGGTGCTTTAAGCCTGTCACCCCCTCTTCTCTTCTCTTCCTTCTTCCTTTTCCTCCTCCTCTCTCTCTCATTCTTTGTTCTCTTCTCTTCCTTCTCTCCCTCCCTCCCCACTCTCCCATCCTACTCACCAATAACCTACCATCTGTTTGAAATGGCAGATTAAACCGTGTGGGTCCATCCGGTCTGAATCCACTGGGTCGTCTGATTGATGGGCAACCACTTCCCCCCATTTTGACCCGGTTAATTTCCCCGACCGAGTATCCAATTCTCACGTCACCAGCATCATCCTGATTTTTATATCCTATTCTTATTTTTTGTCCCTCCCCCTTGCTTTCTTCTTGCATGCCCGCATGTCGGCTTCTTTCTATACTGGCTGATGGATTCGGATCATCGTCGTTTTGGTCAATATGGTATGTATGCCCATCCCATCCATTGTGGCGCAGGCGCATTCACGTGGGGTGACTGCATGAAATCTGCCTTACTCCCTAGTCCAGATATCAAGCCAAATTAGAATCAAGAAATGAAATGAAGGAAGAAGGTGTATGGTTACAAACGAGAGCTAATCTCGGTCAACAGGGCTGCTGCTTCTCTGTGTCGCGTGACGACAGTCATTCCAGCGCGGGCCACGATGAACGTCCCTCAGAGGTCCTCCACGAAGAGCCCTCTTCGTCCACCACCACCACCGCCGCCGCACGCAGGTCTAGCCGACCCAACATCCTGCCGGCCACCCCGCATATAGTCGTCCGGACCTCCTCTGACCAGTTCCCCCTCGATGTACACTTCAACGCCCCCGTCCGCCAACACATCTGGTACAGCAAGCGCCGCGCGTGGACGCGCACACAGCTCGACCGGGAGCGCCGCGAGTTCTTCGAGACCCGAGTCACGGGGCGGTCGGAGATCTGGGCTGCACTGTCGACGGCCATCGCCCTGATGTGGGCGGGTGATCTTCCCACCGCCCAGAGCATCATCGATGCAGCCGGCGTCACCGTCCCCACGGGTGATCTCTGCCAGGGCTGCTACGACGAGCAGGGCGTGCTCTATCGGCTGCCGCAGTGCATCGTGAGCGATCCCCAGAACCTAGTCCGGGAACCGCTCGCCCGTCGCGATGACGACGACGACGACGATGACGACGACTTCGACACCGCCCACGGCAAGCTATCCCTAGACGAGGCATCAGACGACGAGCTCATCTCGGACGAACTCGAGCGCCGTCGCGACGAAAAGGGAAAAACGAGCGAGCGCGATCTCATCCACGTGAAGGCGCGGTTGAGCGATCGCGGCGGACCGGACATCCTCGTGGTGGTCAACAAGTCGCAGAACGTGGCGTTTATTGCCCGGAAAGTGCAACAGGAGGCGGGAGTACGTTGAACCATCTCATTTATGATATGATATATAGTCCCGAACTGACGTGTGCATTGCAGATCGCCAGGAACCAGCGCGTGCGGATCGCATATCTCGGGAGAGTCCTCAAGGAACACGTTCCCCTCGTTGACCAAGGATGGAATCCGGCGCACGTGGTCAACGCCTTGGTCGTCTCCCGACAGTCTTTATCTTAGCCAGTCCTTCCATCACCATGTCACAACCTATGAACTTATCGAGCTCGACATTTGACACAAACCCATCACCCACCTACACACAGCGTATATCAACATGACCCCAGACATGAACAAAGTTTCCACATCAGGCGCCACCAACAACTCTATAGCCACAGGCACACTTCACTGGCACAGACACAGACACACTAACCCTGTGCAAACCATCTATCCATTCCCAACTCATTGGCCTATGTTTTCTTTTCTCTTCTTTTCTTTCCTTCTGAGGTCACGATCATGATTGCTCATTTGCATGCATAATACCCAAGTATTGCTGTTCATTTATCTTACCTTATTCATTTTCAGATTTATCTCTATCAACATACTGTTCATATCAATCTTTGATATCCATTTCATATCCATCTTTCACATCCCTCGTCTCCATCAAATCACTCTACATAACTTATTGCTTTATTCCCACCGCTCAATTGTCATGTTTTCGATCATTTAATGAACCTGGTATAGTTTAATCAATCTAGTACAATTTGTGCAGACAGATATTTCTACCTTGTCCATGGTATGACATTTATCTCCATACATACATCATACATACATATCTAGCTAGCTAGCCAAATGAGTCAACGTAGCATTACCATTTCCGATCTATATATGTATAATTGCTGTTACTATAGAACAGGGACTAGCACAACTATACCCACCATTCCCATTCAACATCATACTCAAAAAGTTGATTAGAGAGGGAGCGAAGAAGAGGATTTCACCCAACCATATTTACCATCATACCTCATGAAAAAAGAGCAGGGACTAGAAAACATTACACAGTAAGTAGTCGGTTAAATTATATCCACAAGGCGGCAAAAAAAAAAAAAAAAAGAAATGCATCATCCGTGAATCGAACACGGGCCTCATCGATGGCAACGATGAATTCTACCACTAGACCAATGATGCTACTCGTTCAAGCCATACGAATTGTGATTCGCTGATGGAATTTTCGTTTCCCTGATTGATTTAGAACCTGGTTCAACATCCATGTCTTGCATTCTGTTGTCAAGTGATATGCATAGCTGCTCATAGATGCAGAATAACAAACAAACACAATTCTCCTCCGAAACGTACATATTGAAGATCAGACCAATCGTCCATTCTCTGCTTCCCTCCCCTTGGGCGTCTCGCCTGAACGTCGCTTGAACACCCGACACAGGAACTTTGCGCCGCGTACGAGGCCACGGATCGGGGATGTGGGGTTGTAGTGCTTGACTCGGAAGAGATAGTATAGGACGACTGTGCCCATGATGTTGAATCCGACGTAGGCCCATCCGAGGCCGTAGTTGCGCCAGCGCTCGCTCCAGACTGTTTTTTTTTTTCGTTAGCATGCTGAGACCCCAAATGCCATTGTCGGATGGGGAATGATAAGAAGGAAGACTCACAGATATTGGTCATTGAGAGGTACTGGTCGGCGCTCCGGAACTGGCAGTACTCGCAGCCTTGTGTCGCGGCTGGGTTGTACAGTCGGCCTGGCGCCTGCTGTAAGTATGGGCCTAGGTAATCACCGCATGTCATTCCGGACGGCGGGTTGAAGACGCTCAACTCCTCGCGGGAGCAGATGATGGGTCGGCCGTGGAGCCCCGTCGCTGTTAAGCCCGCGATCAGGTATGTCAGTGGGGATACCCGGTACATGAAGATCCAGAAGCCGGGGAGGGCGTTCGGTGGCTGCATCACACCGTTGAAGATCGTTGCCATGATGAACAACAACGTCGCGATGGTACCACCAGTCTCGGCATCGGGGAGGGCCGCGATAATGAACGAGGCGAACGTCGAGGTGAATAGGTAGAACTGCGTGACGAAGAGCAACATAAGACCCTGGCGCTGGGGCGACTGGTGCGAGTCGTAGATCGGGAAATAATATGAGGCCCATGAGATCACTCCCGCGAGTATCTGCCACGGAAATTCCACGATCACATTGGCGATAAGAAAAGCAGCCCATGAGTATGCCTTCGAGGGTCGCTCGCGCACCTCGTACAGCGAACGCTGGACCACGAACTTGGGCATGATCCTGGAACCTATGTTAGCTTCAACACAGAGGAAGAAGACAAGATAATACGCACTGTTGCACCAAAGTGGAGAAAACCGCCATGAGCATAAAAGCGCTGAACAACACGTCTTGGAACCCTTGCATGGAGCTTTGCGGTTTGAAAAAGGTGAATCCAATGAACACAGCCGAAGCCGCTGCCAGGATCAATTTCGCCCATATGTACGCTGGTTCCCGCCAATATTGCTGAAATACCCGATGCGACACATACCACAGCTGATAAACGAAGGGCATGGCATATTCCTGGTGCTGGGTACCATCGTCCGTATCATTGTCAGATATCGGTGCTCGCTCGTCGTGGATCCGATCGATCTCTCTTTGCACATCTTTCGCTTCCTGACTCTCATTCCAGACTATCGACCAGTCTTTGGTGGATTTGCCCGATGCACCAGCCCCGATGATCTCGAGCATATATTCAGCCGGCTGATTTGGACGTTAGCGTACGGTAAAATATTGCCAGGTCTCAAAAACTCACATTTTCTTTGGAGTCACAAGGGCGTGCTCCATTCCGTTCAAAGTACTCGAGCATCGTATGGGACTGTTCGCCAATTTCCCCGAAATAAACGGTCTTCCCGCCCTTTGCCAGAAACAGCAGACGGTCAAACTGCTGGAAGAGCAGTGCGCTTGGCTGATGGATCGTGGACAGCACCGCCTGGCCATGAGCCGCCAGCTTGCGAAGAAAAGAACAGATTGCCCAGGAGCTTTGAGAGTCCAAACCACTTGTCGGCTCATCAAGGAAAATTAACAGGGCGGGCTTCGCAGCCAGCTCGACGCCAATTGTCAGGAGCTTCCGCTGCTCGACGTTCAGCCCTTCCCCGGGCACTCCAACAATTGCGTCTGCAAAGTCATGCATGTCGAGCATCTCTATGATTTCTTCAACAAATTTGTATTTCTCACTCTTGGAGACCGACTTTGGCTGGCGGAGGAGTGCACTGAAGCGCAGTGCCTCCCTTACCGTGGTAGTGGAAAGGTGAAGATCTTGCTGCTGAACATACCCTGTTTTCCGTTGAAAACTAGTGTCAGGAGGCTTTCCATCCACCAACATCTCACCGGAAACAACACCGATAGACACCCGCTTGGCTAGAACATCTAGGAGGGTGGTTTTCCCTGCTCCGGAGACACCCATCAACGCTGTAAGCGTGCCGGGTTTGACCCATCCGGAAACATTGTCCAAAAGTCGCCGTTGCCCTCCCTTGACTGGGATATCGTAGCACACATTTCTCCAGGTGAATATGCTGTGTTGTTCCGGTATAACAGAAGCATCTCTCTCTGGCGGGTCTTCCCTCTTTTCATTGTCTTGGCCAATGTCTCCTGACGCAAGGTCCGTGTTCGCGGTAGGTTTTTCGAGATGGCGCATTTGCGGTGGTACGTGACCACGCCGGAAGACTAAGAATTCAGCCTTTGACGACGTCGTGGAATTGAGCTCCGTAGCGATCAGATATATGGCCGTGAAGAAGATCCAAAAGCCGATCAAGATACCCAGATTTCTCCATTCATGTGTGTAGGTGTAGGTGTATTGGGCTTGGATAAAGGCGTCTCCGTCGACGGTTCTCTCTCCAGCAACCGCCCCCCGAACGGCGCAGACAAAGGAGTCGCCACTCAGGGTTGGATATGCAGGCACAAATTGAGAACAGATAAATCGCCGACCGTGAAACTCGTTCGCAACCAAGGACTCAAATGTATAGAAGACAGGGTTGATCCAACGGATCCAGCTGAACCATGGAATGGACGACATCTGCGGCACGGGGATCACGAAACCAGTGTAGATTACAATAGCCAAAACTATCACACCGGCCATAGCCATCGCCTGTGCCAACGTCTTCGTTGATGCGGCAAGGGTTCGAAAAACTCCGGACATCGCAAGTGTGCTGAGGAATGTAAAGAGGAAGAAGATAAAAAACTGTGATGGCGCATATCGCTAGATGAAGTGAGTAGAAGGCACCAAAGATGTCACGGATCTGGGGCCACCTACCAAACCAGCCAAGAAATAGAATATGACATTGAAAATCACAGCAGAAATAAATTTCACTGGAAGATCGGATACAATACCTCCAAAGGCTTCAGCGAATGGGTGAACAAAAGCATAAGAGGCTTGTTTCTCGACAACGGGTCGCTGGTCGTAAAGTGAATTGATCTCCGTGATACTAATAAGGGCGTTCATACTAATACCGTGTTAATAGATATAAAACGAAATACTTCATTGAATGTATTCCAATCCAATGGCATGCAAAATGTATGGTACGGGTAGAGGCGAGACTCACAGCACAGCAAAGAAGAGAGCAGCTCCCTTGCTCTGGAAACCCGCCGAAGCATTTGGCGTCCTAGGATTATAGTGAGAATTTGCTCTAACCTGGAGGCTATATGGAAGATTACCCGTAATATATAGAGCCAATAATGAGAGACATCGCAGTCCGCCCAATGAATAATGTCAATGTCGAGGGTTTATCATTCCAGATCCTAGGATGGTAAGCACGTAACGACGGAGTAAACAGGCTTGAGGGCATGGGCCAGATACCTTTGATAAGCTCTTATTGTGCACATCTTAATCTGCATGGGGACAGAGATAACATAAGGACTCTTCGGCCGAACATGCCTTGCTTGCCTGAATTTCTTCATCTCCAAAAATGTCTGTTCTGACTCGCCCCCAGGTGGGAACTCCTGGCGATATTCTTCGATCTGTACTTGAAGGTCGGCACAAAAACGGCTCTTCTTCCAATAATCAACAAAATCATCGGGGGTACGGGGGACCTTATTCTCCATCCCTTCACGAGCTTGACGTTCTCGGGGGTTTGTAACGGAAGTCAAAAAGTCACCCGTCGTCTGGCGCGGCGGACAGTCCCAACCCATCTCCATGAAGTAGTCTCTTGCTTCGCTGCAGGGACCAAAGTATATCTCTCGGCCTTCGTATAGAACTATGGCTTTATCGAATTGATCGTAGATCGGCTGCGAAGCTTGGTAAATGGCGACTGCGTGGCATGATCCGACCAAGTCTGAAGAAACCCGCAATGCCTTGATGAACTCCAAAGCACTGGCAGAATCAAGTCCTCTGGTGCTATTGTCCCACGCCGCTAGAGGTGCCCCGGACACTATAGTCGTCAATATAAGCGCAGAAAGCAGACCACATAGGCCAGCTACTTACAGGCCATCTCCGCGATACTAAAGCAAAATATTAGAGAAGCACAGCATAGACGTGTAAGGGTACCAACCTGACTCGCTTTCTTTCACCCCCTGAAACACCTCGGACATAGTCATCACCCACTGGAAGTATCGTTAGCGATATGCGCTTGAGGACCCGGGCTGGGAAGTGGAATTACCCTTAGTGTTATATGTATGTGTTAGACCGAATATGGACATTGCGACTTTGGTGATATGCTTAGCAAATGTTTGTCGTTTGACTCCTTGCAATCGATGCTCTGGGGTCCTAGCTGCCGCGGCAAATTCTAGCGTCTCTCCAACCGTCAAGTGAGGGAAATGTTTATCCACCTCCTGATTATATAGGGTCTCTCCTTTGAACTCTTTGTGCATCCTCTCCATGGGTACCCCGTTGTATTGCATCTCGGAGCTCTTGCGAAGCTTCAGCCCGTGCAGTTCGCCGCAGATAGACTTGAGGAATGTTGAACAACCGCTACCGGGCCGCCCCAAGACAATCAGCAGTTCGCCGCTCTTGAGGAGTCCATTGAAGTCGCGTAGGATGTGTTTCACCGGTGTTTTTCCAAAACTAACGTAGTCCTGTGGTCGGAACGGTGCTAACAGCAAATCGGGCACGCAGTTCTGGTATTGGAGCTCTGAGCCGGACCCCGAGATGTTGAGATTTTGGAACACTACTCCAGTCGACGGAGGCCGTGGAATACCCTGTCGGTCCATCAACTTGAGCATCATCCTTGACCATTTGTAATGATCGAACTTATCGCCGGTCGGGTCAAGGGCTGGGTCGTCGAGGTTGATGCTTCCCGCAGTTTCCTTTCTCTTGAGGCCTTGACCGTTGGTTCCATTGCTGGCTGTCTGTTGCTTGGGAAAGTTGGATGCGATGCGAGCCAGCTCCTCTCTATCTCCGTCGCTCAGTTCCTCAAACGCTCTACTGTTACTGCGCTCCTCCATCTGCGGTCGCTGGTCTCGCTGCGGGGCATGAATTGCTTCATATTGACTGGAGTTTGAGTGAGAGCTAGCCACATCGCTGTGGCTGCCGCTCTGCTCCATGGTGTTCAAGTCTCCCAAAGCCTTGAAGTTGGTGTTTAACCAGGACACGACAGTCAAATTGAGGGGGTGGGGAAATTGGCTAATGGGGAAGATACTCAGTGAGTAACCAGGAGTGACGAGAACGACCACTGAGGATGACGTCCCTGGAACATCAGCAGCAAGAACCCGTTTTCCGCAGCCTACCTCATGATACCTATTGATTGGTCAGCGGAACCTTATCGACGACCGAATTATGGGCACATCGAAGGCAGTTTGCTGCTATGGTCTGATCAGGGCATTACTAGCTTGCATTGGCCTAATATTGTTGGTGACGTCATGAGTGACACTGCTGTTTGGGCACTGTGCAACAGTCCACAGCCAGCAAAGAGAAGAGAAACATTCCATAATCTTAGTTCCTTTCATCAGCCAGACAAACAATCTGAATTGATATGAGAGGATCAACTACTAAGGCTGTACACCCCGGATACGGAAGAAACGAGGCACTTCACGGTCTGGTGCGCTGCGGAGAGAAAGTGGGATGACAAAGCGGAAGAGAAAATCTCCGGGCTTCCATGAGATCTACGGGTTGGTTTAATTCATCTCTCATGCTGAATTTTATCATTCTTTGTTCACCATTGCTTCATATGCAAGACTATACCTTGCCGCGACGCGCTTTAACGAGACGCCATGGATCAGAGCCCATAAGCATCGCTGTCTCCTGTAGTCCACGAATTCTATAGGATTGTATTCAGTTCAAATTATCTCTTTTCTTGTCTTTCATTCTCTTATCCTTCATAATACAAGGTCAAATTAAAATGAACATCGCAGGAACTTATGACTAGAGATGTCTACTTAGGCCTGCGCGGGAGGTCGGAAGATCGGCGTACGTTACTGCGCTAGGAAATTCTAAACAGTGGGTCTAGTCGGATGATACACATGTCTCCACCCACGAAAAGTACATCGTAAGGTACTTTAGTTTCCTCCCCTTATCCACGAATTTTATTAGGCTTAACAGCCACATCCTATCACCACACTTTATTCTATTACATAGAGTATTTCTGCCCATTCCAATTTTGAATAAGCATCTGTCCAGCACCGTGTAATGTCCTACATACGAGCTTTGTAACGCCGAACAGCCAGCCGTAGAGGATGCCATAAGGATGTGCGACGAAGAGGGGCATTTATACCCCTCAATAAGGTACCTTCTCTGAAGACTAATCAAATAGGACACCGTCAGCGTGGATCATTGTCTCACTTGGTACCAATGCGCTGGCCTTCCAGTCCCTCTGAACTCCTCTCATCTTACTGCAATAGCCTTTCATATCATGTCTCTTGGCAATATAAAGATATCAGAGTGATAACGAGGATTTGACATTAAAGATGATTCAAATGCTCTTCATAAATGAATATATATATATATATATATGTATATATTCATACAATTAAAATTTGGACTGTGAAGCATATTCAAAACACCAGTGGACATAAACCTTTTTTCGAGGTCATCGCTAAGAAAGGGAACAAAAACAAGTATCACGAATACTGACTTTATTCCATGCAGTCATTAGTAGTATATCAAAGTCTGATAATTTCTCACTCACAGTGATCTAGGACAATAATTGCAACCCGAATCACCCGAGTCGATCACAGTGCTACAGTACTGTACCCTCATTCTCCACGTCGTGGAGCCACGCCATCAAGTGGGTCGAAGCTTAGCAACGTTCTACCCACAATACTACTTTATCAGTAGGATGACAATTTCTCAAGTCAGTACAATTGCGTGATTTTCACTCTTCACTCCGTACTGTCGTCCGATGTGATGACTGAAGTAGTCCTTTCGTATACATCCCAACTCGTAGGAAAGCAGGTAGTATTATCTCCAATTATTCGATATGGGCTTAGTTTGTATTGTAAAGAACCTACAGCCTGAATTGAGTCTCGGTTTGAAATAACTCTATCGTTTTAGACATATTCAATGAAGAATAAAAAATTCATAAGATATGTACAGAGATTGGCAGGCAGTATCATTTACAGATAAAATGTCTCAGTCAAAGTGCTGTCCAGGAACCATCCGGATGACGCGGTTGCAGTCTAGGTATAGTTTGGTTCCTTGCCAATCCGTTCCCGAAGAAAAAGAATGGCACACTTCCAGAATAGCATAACCCCCGCTAGACGCCGTAAAGACCGCAACAAATAAAAAGAAAAGAGAGAAATAGAGAAACAGAATGAGAAGGAAACCAGTTCCCCTCAGGAAGACCCGGTCGAGCCAAAACGCGAACAATCCAAGATCCTCCCCTCCACCTAATAGTGGGCACTCCGACCACTCCGACCACTCCGGCGATGCTTGACTAGCGATCTGAAGAATCTCCGAATATACTGTCGCAAAGCGGAAAAGAAGTTCCTCTTGGGGTAGGCGGAAGTCGTAACCAAAGGCGTATCATCCAGATCTGCTTCTTTCTCGGGATCTATCTCGTCGATATAGGTTGACGTGAGGGCGTTTTTGGCGTCCTCGTGGGCCAATCCGACGGTCAGGTTCATGAGGCGGCCGTGGCCTATACAGCGGCGGAGGTCGGGTTCTTTGTTCTCTGCTTCTTGGCTGAGTTTGTCGCACGAGAGCATGGCGACGTGGTAGGGCGGGGTGGGTAAAGAGGCCCGGCGTGCGGATGGAGTGAACTGCGTGTTTGTGGTTTGGTAGAAGGAGGTTTCGTACAGTCCAGTCATTCTTTTCTGTGTATATTCGAAAAGGAGAGGGGAGGAAGATGGAAGACTTGATAGCTCAAAGAATCCAGGGCACATTCTATTGCTACCACGGCTACCTTTATATCTAACCATGATTTGCCATGACCTTGCTTTCAGGACATGTGCTACCACGACGGATAAGAGCGTGGCAAGAGCCCACGAAGCTGGGTAAAACGCCCCGTGTGGTCGACCCCAGATAAGGTTTGCCCTGGCTGTCCTATCTGTGCCTTTCTTCCTCAAAGAGTTCCTCTGGCTGATTTGTTCTAGAACCGTGGGTCATGGTACGGTCTGGCTGGGATGGCGACGTCTTTGTTCTAGAACTTTTCGGGGTTACGGGGAAATCTGTTCTGCGGTTCCATAAATCATCCCCCATCCAAGTACTGCATCCAATTGCCTTCTTTTTGTACCTTCCGTGACAGGGTTGTCTTCTGGTTAAGCACGTGTCAATAATCCATGGTCATGTTTTGCTGACTGGTGACTATGGGGTAGTAGTTGATTCGAAGATTTTGAGTGTGGTCTGTATGACCTCATTGTATTCCTCACTGGTGGGGACTGCCCACCCATGGAATTGGTGAAGTCGGCGCTCCCTCTACCTTATTGCGCGTTATTTTGGCAGATGCCTTATGTGGCAATGGAATAGTTCGAGGTCATTAGCCTTCCAGCCATGTTAACATGCCCCAGCCTAACCAAGTGCCACCTCCGCCCGTTCCTCCCGGGAACAGACATCTTCGTAAGATTCCAGGGCCACGTGCAATCAGTCCTTGATTTGCTGTTCCATAATTGCTGGCATGGAAAGGCCGTGCTTCTTTCGAGTCTTGTCCATCGACTAGCTTGCTCTCTGTCTTTTATTTTCATCCTATTGAACCCTGTGTAGGTGATCAAATCGTCTTGCCATCGATGGCATAGACCTGTTGGCATATCTTTTGATATCTTTTTGATGTCCAACGAGACCGAGCATATGTCGAAAAAAAAAAGAGGAGGTTGTTAACGAATAATCCTAGACCCCCTGGGAACTAGAAATATATATAGTTAGTATAACCCACGTTTGTAACCTAAAGAGATTCGGCCATTCACCAAAACATAGTTACTAATTTTCGCAAGCAGCTCCATACTACAAAAAGATCACTCCATTGTAAACAATTGCAGAGATAAATCACATTCACCTGTTGATGTAAATCATATTATAACTGGAGAATGCCAACGCGAAAGATAGACTCTGTACAAGTAGCCAAAATACCAATTACTCACCAACAAATGGCAAGATGGCCGAGCGGTCTAAGGCGTTGGATTCAAGCGAAAGCTTCTACCAGAACACTGGAAATCCCAATACTCCCAGAGTGCGTGGGTTCGAATCCCACTCTTGTCATAATCTTTTTTTGGTTTTCTTTTCTTTTTGTTTTTCACAATTCTTTCTATGGAAGTAGGAAATAAATTACTAGCTCGTTTATTCATTATTTTCTTATTCAGTGGAAATAGATACCTGTCGCAAGGTATTATCTACCGCGGCGGATAGCCTCTACTACATCCATTGATATACGCTTCCCCTACGTATCTTTCAAATATCTGACCAGCTTGATAGAAGAGCACCTGATGCGTATCGCTCAATCTTATACTATATAAGATACTTACCTACGTCCATCCTACGCTATCCAGAGCTAAAGATTCACTCTGTCTGTCTCAGTACATCACTCAGTGTACTTGTAGCCGCAACCAATCACAACACCAGGTTCATCATCCCCACAGCAAACCAAACAATACAAACATACTCTCCGAAAAAAAGAAAAAAGTAAAAAAAAAAAAAAAGATATCACCACTGCGTCTGTTAGTATCATACTACAGAACCAACCAACAATCGCATCGCATTCGCATTCTTCTGCTAAAGAGGATCGACGCTACCATACCTACTAGGTATACGCAATTCACGAACCACCACCTCGATCTTTACCGGCGATAGCAACATTCGTACCGCATCGCATCCATCACCCATCGCAGACGGACGAAAGAAAAGAAGATAGTCATGAGCGACATGCAAAAGACTCCCTTTGTGAGGGAGCTCGCATCAAGCGGTACGCCAACCCTTACCACCCCCATAAAACAATAGTACCCAATAGCTAACTGAAAAAACGAAGACAAACGCATCCGCGACAAAGCCACCGAATCCCTCACCCTCTTCCTCCGCTCCAAGACCGACCTCTCCCTCGTCGAGCTGCTCAAGCTCTGGAAGGGCCTATTCTACTGTACACTCATTTCCCTCCTCAATCCTCCCTTCATATTCCATACATATCCACATACTAATAAAAAAAAATGAAAAGGCTTCTACCACTCCGACCGCCCCCTAACGCAACAATCGCTCGCGCGCGCCCTAACCTACAACCTCGTCCCGACCCTCCCCCGCAGCACGCTCCTGCCCTTCCTGCGCGCCTTCTGGATAACCATCGGGCGGGACTTTCACTCGCTGGACCGATTGCGCTTGGACAAGTACTTGTATCTGATTAGATGTTTTGTGGGGGTTGCTTTTGAGGTTTTGCTGAAGAAACCCGCCTCTTCTTCCGTGTCAGGCAGTGAAAGCGACAAGAAGCGCAAGAGGGCGGACGACGCTGCTGCTGCTGCTGCGTCCAACAAGAAGAGAGGCGGGAAGAAGGGCAAATCCTCTCCTCCCAACGACTCCTCCTCCTCCACCACAAACCAACCTGAAGAAGGCCAATGGTCCACCCTAGAATCATACATCACTATCATCAGCGACGGCCCCCTCTGCCCGCGCAACTTCGACCCGGATCAAGCACCCGCCGACGAAGCCAACGACTACGTGCCGATGCCGCACGGCCCCGACGGCCTGCGGTACCATATTCTGGATCTGTGGGTGGATGAGCTGGAGAAGGTTCTTGAGTTCGATAGTGAGGATGAGTCGACGCGGAAACCGAAGGAGGGTGGGCCGCCGGCGGAGTTGTTGCTGAGGCCGATTGAGACGCTGCTGCGCGAGAGCCCGTACAAGCCTGTGAGGGTGCGTGCTGCGGAGGCGTTGGCTGATGAGAGGCTTGTGCAGTGGGGGTGGAAGGAGGCGAAGGTTGAGGAGGATAGTGATGATGGGAGTGAGTGGGGTGGGTTTGATTGAGTAGGGGAAAGATGATTTGGAAAGGAAGGACGTCAAAAGTGTAATGAAATGAAGATGGATGTTTACTATCGAGGCGCTATATACATGACAGTCTAGCTATCCATATCCAAAATGCAAACCAAACGTAAGAATGCATGCATGCCAGTGCCACTGGGTATTGCGCCCGGGTATCTCATCAGGTGTGCGACTGAAACAGTAATGATACAAATCATGGTAGACATGTAGTCGCCAAAGTCAAAATCAAAAGCCAAAACCAAAGAAAAAAAAAATAATAAGGGGGAAAATCTATCTCAAGGCCGAGGCCCGTCCGTCTCGTACAGGTGGCCCGACTTGGAGAGCACAGTACCCAACCCCTGGTGCACCTCGGCTTGGATTCCCTCAAACGGGACCGACTCGCCGTCCACGCTGATGTAGCCTTCCGTCTCCCGCGGAATCAATCGGTAGGCTGCCACCTTGCGCACGTGCACGTCGGGCATGTCGAAGAAGGTCCCTTCCGGGATGGAGGTCATCATCTTGATGGACGTGGACCGGCTGACCGTCCCGTCGATGGTGACCACGTCCATCAGTCCGTCCTGCGGCACCGCGGCCGGGAAGAAGCTGGTATCCTTGGACATGATGGCCATGTTGCCCGCGTAGAAGTTGCCCATGGTCTCCCCGGGGATGACCTCCCAGTCGCTCGGGAGCTCGTCCTGGACTGTGCCGTACTGCAACTCGGGTAGGCCGCCGGCAGGAACCTCGTCCGGGCGACCGGGCGCCGGGCGGCCGGCGTACTCCTCGTAGTGGTCTTTGATGGCTTTCTTGTCGTCCAGAACCACCTTCATGGCCAGATCGCACGGGTAGATGGTCCGTCGCATAAGTCGCACGAGGAAGCCGTAGGTGAACCGATGCGCCCCCATCCAGCGAATATCGTCCGTGCCCAAGTCCGACTCAGCGACGATCCCGAACGATTGCGACAGGAAGGAAAGGGTCCGAGTCTGGCCCTGTGTGAGGGAGACCAGATCTATGGGGGTTTGGACGCCCTTGGCGATCGTCAGGGCGGCGACGGAGACACTCCCCGTGCCGTAGAGGTTCCACGACATGGCGTTCCCGGACCCGCATGGCAACATGGCCACAGCCACCTTGGCGAGGGCCTCCCTCGCGTTCGGCTTCTTGGCCAGACCATTGAAGACCTCGTACGGCAAACCATCCCCAGAGCAGCAGACGATTGCATCGTAAGCGTCGACGTCAATATTCTCGGCGATCTCGGTGGCGTGGCCGCGGTGGGTGGTCTCCTGCACATCCAGACGACACCCAGTGGCCGCGAAGACGGACTCGGCGTACTTGTGGTAGAGTTTCCGGGCGCCACCCTGTCCGCCAAAGGGATTGATCAGGACCTTGAGGCGACGATGGCGCTGGGCGGCACCGTATGCGAGGTCGAGCAGCTTGGCCACCCACTTTTCGATCTGTGCTTTTTCCTTCTGCGCGACCGGGTAGTGGAGGGTGGCCACGGAAATCTCCGATTTCGGTTGCGGCGCGGCGTATGTGATGGTCAAGTCGGTCGGGGTAAGATCGGCATCGAGGATGTTAAAAAGGGCGATGGAGTGGGTCTCTTGGGGTGCTGTGACAGGAAAAGGCAGGTTAGTCGCTCCGCATGATCTGGCGAGGAAGGTCGTGCATAGTACCTGATAAGGGGAGGAGACCGCAGCACGTGCGATCGGCTTGGCGCGACGGGCGCTCGTCTGCAGATTGATTAATAAGACGAAGATTGAGGCGGGGGGGAAGGAAGAGGGAGAGATTGAGAACATACCAAGAACGATGAGGGAGTCCCCGGCCAAGGTGAGGGAGACGGATTGTGCGACCGTGAGGGAGGCATCGTGCGCCAGCAAGTGCTGCTGAGAATCCGGCTGATCCGGATGGGTCAAGGGTGGACGGGAAGCGCCATTGGGGGAGGGAGAAGTCATGGTGCGACGGGAGGGAAAGAGAGCATCATACAAGGCGCGCCAGAGAAAAAAGAGGAGAGGGGTGGAGACGAAGAGAAAAAGAAGAAGCGAGAGAAGGAAGAGAGGAGAGAGAGAGGAGAGAGGAGGAGGAAGAAGAAGAAGAAAGAAGAAGGACATAACAGGAACAGGAAGCAATTCCCGGTTGGAACTAATCAGGCACTAGTTGGTTAGCCTGAGGACAGACTCGCCAGTTGACGGAAGACCTAACAGTTGACGATGATATACCGGAGGGTTAAGGATCATCGAGACGAATCAGGCGACCATCGTTATTATAAAACGAAAGAGCCTGGTTCATACGTACTCCACTTTGCCTCTCCCTCCAGATCTATTTCTGTTGCCTCCAGAACCCCACCCCCTGCCAGGAACCACTTTCTTGATTCTTTGTCATTCTGCAGGATATTCGGCTGGTTGAGGCGATAGGCCGCATGCGGAACAAGCCTATTGTCCGTGGCCAGACCTGAATGGATGCGGAAGGGCGATCTTGTTCGACTCCCCATGCGACAGGTCATCCTCATGTTATTTTTATCTTTATCCCTCAGCTTAGACATAATTGAAGTTATCCCTTGGTCTATGAAACCCCTACAAACCAATATTGAATATATCCCCCCGATCGATGCAACAAGTCAAGAAGATGAAGAGGAACGGCCATGCAGCCAAGGATCATCTGCCGAGGTCGCGCCGCGCGGGGTGGTGGGGCGCCTTGACTACGAATCAGATTCACTGATCCATTACTTCCCTGTTATCCAGAAACTTGTCTATTCGATATTCTTAATGGCAACAGAAAGTAATAATAAAAAGATAGAAAATAAAGAAATCAGGAAGAAGAATGAATAGAAGAAAAATAACAATCCTTTCTCATCCAGCTCCGCAAAAAAACAATCAAACATGTACTCAACAAATTCATCCATCAGAAGAGATAATAAAGAAAATGATAATAGGAAACGAGGTTACAAGATCCCCATCCGAGGAGCTATGAGGGGTGTATAATAAGTCAATAAGAGGGTAATCGGTATTCCAACGCTGCACCATCGACGTCCAGCCTGCCCTCTCATGCCGTCTGCGCCTTGAGGCCCTTCAGCGATCCCAGGCTTAATGCCAGTCCCTGCGACCGACTGCGGATTCGGACAAACCCGGTGATCGGTCCCTCGTCCCCTTCCATCTCAATACTCAGGTTCGCCAACGCGTCCTCGCCTATAGTCCGGTTAGCATGACTGTAAACAACAAAGGACTGGTAAAGTGAAAAGAACATACCAAATACACTCCGGGCATACAGATTGGCACTCAAGAATCGGCAGTCGCCCTTGAGCGAGGCATCCGGAGTCAGGCACGCCATGTTGGTGCTCTCCATCAGCTGCCGCAGGAACTCCCGCAGATTCTTCGCCTTCGAGTTGATGTTCACCTTGTTCTCCCACTCGAACTCGGTCCACATCGTCCGGAACTGCGTCTCCGTGCAGTGCGCCGGCTGGATGTAGTCCATGATGTCCGCGTGGATGTCGTTGAGGATCACCACGTGCGTCTCCGTCGAGCTGGCCCCGTCGTACACGATGTTCCCGAAGATCACCCCCGTGTCCGTCGACGACACCTTGACTGTAGCCTGCACATTCAAGAAGTCCCGCGGCCCCAGGTTGTGCGTCGCCGGCCGCTCCACCACCTTCAGGTCTCCGAGCGTCGCGAACTCCACCGACAGGTTCTGCAGCGTCTCCAGCGTCTGGTTGACCAGCAGCACGTCCAGCACGATGTCGAACTGGTGCACCGTCACGTACGCCTCCGCATACACCGCGTCCGAGAAACCCGTCAGCTGCACCACCCGGCTCAGCTTGGACGACACCGACTCCACCGTCGAGTCGCCGCCCGTCGCCTTGGCCAGGTCCAGCTCGATCTCCTCGGCGCCCTCCACGGCCGACTTCTTCGTGAATTGGCGGATGGGGATCGCGTCGTCGATCTGCACCGCCGTCTTGGCCTTCTCGCTCGCTTCCTTGTCGGCCCGCTTCCGATCCTCCACCTGGACCATGGCCCGGAACGCCGCCCGCGTGTCCTCCAGGAACGACGTCTCCAGCTCCTTCTTCTGCGAGAACTCGGCAAGCGAGCGCACGCAGGTCATGATGCGGTCAACCGAGTCCTCGTCAATGGGCGCCTTGACGAAGTGGGACTGGCCGACGCGGATGATCGAGATCATGATAAGCATCGCCTCGGCGCGCAGGGCGTTGGTCCGCGCCGTATCCTCGGACACCTCGGAGTGGCGCATCACCAATTTGGTCAAGGTCGAGGACAGAACGGTGGCCAGGTAATAATCGCCGTCCAGGATCAGCTGGCGCAGAGGGGGCTTCTGGGCGGCCTTGACAGCCTCTAGTCGGGCGGCGGCAGCCGACTGGCTGGTCAGAGCGCTTTCCGTGGCATACGTGCCGTCCGCCAACACCTTGCGGGATCCGGTGGGGGCAGACTGCTTGGCATGGCCGTTGATCTGCTCCTTGAGAGCATTGTCGTCCGGCACCTCATCAAGGAGCCGCTGCTCGGATGCGAGAATAGGGATCTCGCCCAGGCTCGCCCGGATCTTCTTCCAGGCCTCACGGATATCCTTCTCCTCCAGCGAGTACTCACCCACGACCCACAGAACGCCCCGATATACCTTTCCGGCGCGCACTTCACTCAGGGTCGAGACCAAGCGGTCGACAACGGAGGCCCGCAGGTGGGGGAACTTTTCGACAACTTCCTTGACGAAAGAGATGACGTCGACGGCGGAGTTGTTGTTGAAGTCGGCGATGAAATCCATGAGGAGGTCCACCACGCTGGCGGCGATTTCGGAGAACTTGATGGCGCAGGTGTGGATCGATTGGATGAGAAGCTGGCGGTATTCGCTGTTCTGTAGGCCGAGTTAGCATCACATCATTCCCGATTGGCATCGACAGGCTCACCTTCTCGTATTGCTCATCCACGGTCTTCGAAAGCTCTTTCTTCAGAAGCATCACGATCTCCTCCACGTTCTTGCTCGAGACCATCTCCAGGGCGATACCCAGGGCTTTCCGGCGGACATCGATGTCCGGGCTGGACAGGACACGGAGGATCTCCATGGTGAGGTCGTCCAAGACGCCCTCGTTGCGGATCCTCAGCTGATCCACTCGGTCCAAAACGATGAGCTTGACGTTGTTGTCGGCCTCCCGAATGCTCAGTTCGATCAATTTCCCAGCAGCGGCCTTCACCGCGACCGGGTTGCTGGTCAGGGCCGTCAGTGAAGTCGCCGCCTCGTAGATCACCGTGCTCGTAGACGCATCGAGGAGATCGAAGATCAATCGCAAGTATTTACCCTACCGAGCGGTCAGCCATGAGACAGAGATCGACTTGCGCTGTAGCGACCTACCTTGTTCTGCGTATTCTGGATCGCGTCTTTGCGGATAAATTCCAGCTCCACCAGCTGAAGCAGCTCATCGGTATTCGGAATGCTGTCGAACGTAGTAGCCAAATACTCCAGCGCCTTCTGGTGGCTAATGGACATGAGAGCCGCGAAGGCATTTCGCTTGCAGGTACCATCGGTTTCCGTCTCGAGGAATGTCTGGATGAGCTCGGGGGCGTCCGGGATGAGAGACTCCGAGTGGGTGAAGATCGAAGCCACCGCCCACACGGCGTTCTTCCGCACGTAAGAATGGCGGTGTTCCAGACACGAGCGGGCCGACGACAGGAGAGGTTCGATGAGTTCGGGCTCCCGAAGCTTGCACAGGAACCGAAGGGTATTTCCGCGAACATATTCATTGGGGTGTTGGAGGTCATTGCGAATGCCGTTACTATGGGACGCAAGGTTCAGCACGGGCTCAGCAGTGAGAGAAATTGGATCGTTGCTTCTTACCAGACCAGAATCATCTCCTGCTTCAGTTTCCCACTAGCGTCCAACTTGGGACAGATCTCGTAGTAGAAGTACAGGAGCTTTTTCAGGGGCTTGCTCCGCGATGGCATAACAAAGCGAATGATGTGCATCAGGAGGGCCGGCATCGGATCGCCATTGAGCATGATCGTAATGACCCTCCTCATTGTATCCAGCTTGGTCTCATCAGTACCCTTCTCCAGCTGCAGCTTTAACTCCGGCAAGGAGGGCTGATCAGCGGTGTTGTCCTGATGGATCAGGCTGTATGCATTTTCCAGATACAACGCCATGATGACCGGCTATCGAAAAATAATTTGGGGGTGGAGGTGTGACGGAGGGAGCGAAGGTGGGAGGGAGGAGAGCTAGATGGTGGTCGGGTCAGTCCATAAGTCCAAGGTGTCCGATTGTTTTGACCCTTCAGGGGAGGGAGGGAGGAACCAACCGCAGCAACTCTCCTCTGAGATGGTATTTGACGGTTGGGAAGTGTGACTTAGAACAATTGAACTCCCCTCACCAGCCTTGGATTCATGTGCGCAAAGGTAGGCGATTCTCTTGGGGGTGGTTGTATAGGGACACTTGGGGGGTTTCTTGATCCAATCTGTCCATTTGCGCGGCGGAGCAAGCTGGCCGGAGTGTGTGGATGACTCAGCCGCCTGGACCATCCCGCCCAACTCGGGCAAAAGCAGACAGAAGCATCTGCTATGATTCCCCCGTGCGAACTGTGCGACTACGTTGGGTTGATTTGATTGAATTACTGGTCGCTTGTGGCATCGCTACTCACTCTTCACGATGACCACTCAAGGAGACCCGTTCTATCTCCGCTACTAGTAAGCTGGTTTGGTGTCGCCCGGGTTTCCTCCGCTGCCGCTGACAACCCACCGCAGCTCAGGTCACTCTGGGCGGTTTGGGCATGAATTCCTAGGTGGGTTTACTCCATGGTGTTATCCCCGTTTTCTGGAAACTAATTTTGTGTTGTCCCCGATAGAATTTGATTTCCGTACCCTCGGCGATGGACGGAGTGCCGCTGTGCGGTATGCGAACAATTCGAATTACCGCAATGACTCCCTGATCCGCAAAGAAAGTGAGTGCTCGACAGACTTCGATCGCCTTGAACTTGACTGATGGATTGCACTCCCAGTGTGTGTGAGCGCGGCAATGATCCAGGAAGTGAAGCGCATCATCAAGGAAAGCGAGATCTTAAAGTATGTGACCTATCCACCGTCCGGAGAATGGTCTCCACATGGATATTGATGCGGTGCAGGGAGGACGATTCGAAATGGCCCCAGAAGAACAAGGACGGACGTCAGGAACTGGAGATCCGACTGGGGAATGAGCACATCTCGTTCGAAGTGCGTTTTGTTGACCCTTTCCGCTGGACTATTTGCCCTTATTAACGGCATGTGTTTTGCAGACCGCCAAAATCGGCTCCTTGGTGGACGTGACCGAGTCCGCGGACCCGGAAGGTCTCCGGGTGTTCTACTATCTTGTGCAAGACCTGAAGGCCTTGATCTTTTCGCTTATTTCGCTCCATTTCAAGGTATTGAATGTTGGGATCGGTTGGTTACCCACGTACTTGCTGACCGTGTTCTTTTTTCTCCAGATCAAACCTATCTAAACCCAACACCCAATGTGACCTGGAAATGGCATTGGACGGTTTTTATCATTTATCGAGGGGAGAATAAAGGGCGTTATTGATTCCATAATGAAAGTATTGAGAATGGACATATATGTGTTCCAAAGGAATTTCCAACTGTGATGACGCAATGCAAATTGAATAGCCAACTCAGCTAAGAGAAAAGAAGCCAAATCAAATATATATGTATTGATTCCAGACATATGAGAAGTAGAGTTGTACCATCCACCATACTCCATTAGGCTGTGGCTTTCGCTGTTCCGCCTGAGGCGCCCGAAAGTGAATTTGCCTCCCCCGCGCTCGCATGATCCGCCCCGGGTCGACTTAAGCCTGTTTGGGTTTCCATCACTGATTGATTCATCATAGCTCCAGCTTCTTCTTCCCTTCTTGACTTCGATCTCATCCTTTTGTTGCGCTTCTTCTTCCTTTACTTCTTTTTTCATCCACATTCACGGCCTCCCTCCCTTGTCTCTCTTGGATCGCTTCCTGTACCCCGATAACCTTCCTTGCTACTCCGTACACAACCCAAACAGGTCGATCCGATGTCATTCATTTTCTAAATTCGCCTCAATGCCGACCCCCAGTGACAACACGCTTCGCCTCAATTCTGCTTCGATCGCTGAAGAAATCCGTACCACCTGTCCACCGGAGGTCGAGCGATTACCTGCCTGGAGAGATTCCCCCGACTCGTCAACCGCGGAGAGCGATGTCCCCGAGAATGCCCTCTCCCCCGCCTCGGCGTCGGGTCAGTCCGTGCTGACCCGGTCGGACGATGCCATCTCACCGTCCCAACCAGACCCGTTGAGAGTGAGGAGTAATACGGTGTCCGGCGCTCCTGCAAAGAGTCTCAGCAAGCCGGATGATGAGCCAGTTGGGGGACGACTAAGTCCGCCCGCGGGGGAGCCGTCGTGCCCAGCCAACCCGTCCCCGTCAGTCACGGCACCCTCAACGACCTCCCTGTTGAGTTACGAATTCTCCAACATCAGGGTATGTCGGCAGCTTGGGATTTCTCGCTACACAATTTGTATCAACTGACTTGAGTGACAGCTTTTGCCAAACTACACATCCTCGTTTTTGCGCCCGGGGAGTAAATTCACGGGCACGCAACAGTCGGATCGTCAGGTGTACAATGTCGACGTGGAAATCAAGCATGTCGACATGGTCGAGTCCTACCTCTGTGGCTATCTTCGCATCCAAGGTCGGTGATGTCGCCCGGGTTCGATCGATCTACATTCTAACCGAGCGCGTTCTGTGCAGGTCTCACGGAGGATCACCCGACCCTGACCACATTCTTTGAGGGAGAAATCATTGGGAACAAACATACCTTCAAGACCAGGAATGAAGCATGGGGGGCCACCGAAAAGACCGACATGATTCATTGGGCGCGGTTCCCCGCCTGGCACCCGTTGGCCAAGCAGGCCAAGCGACCGGATTTCACCTACCGGAATTTCGCCCAGCGGGAACACATCTTCATGCGATGGAAGGAGTACTTCCTCGTCCCGGACCATCGGGTGAGGACGATCTCGGGCGCCAGTTTCGAGGGCTTCTATTATATTTGCTTCAACCAGGTGGAGGGGACCGTGACTGGGATATACTTTCATGCCAAGAGTGAGAAGTATGTGTCTAATTCTCCTTTGATTATGGATGTTGTGCTAATGTGGTATAGGTATCAACAACTGGAGCTTAAACATGTGGAAGACCATGGATGCACGCCAGCGATCGAGTTCCGTTGAACAAACATACCATTCCTTACGCGTCAGTCACTCAGCCACCACTCTACAAATCTTCCCTAGCCTCATTCCGCCTCTACCTCGTCGTTCTCCACTCCCATTCGGCACCGAGTTCTGGCCGCGACGTCTACTTCCACGGTGCTTTCAAGATAGTTGCTCCATTCTGTCAGCTCCTGGGTAGCAACCTTCTTCCACCCTATACCGTAACGCTTTATGATGGTGCTCTTCTTTGGCAATGGCGTATCTATTGGACAACCAGGTTTCGATCATTGACTCTGCACGTTTAATGTATCCAGTTCTTCTTCTCGTTTTCATATCGTTCTTTTTTCTATTCGTTTGCTTTTTTTCTTTCTTTTCATACGTATGGAGCGATATTTCAATTATTCCGGTGGCGATAAGGACGTCTTTTTCTCCCTCTTATCTATGTTCTTTTTTCAATTGGGAAGTTTGGGCATGATGAATGCAACGATCTGCCAGCCATAGCGTCTGACTCTGCCGCGTATCTCGAAACATACCCTGAGAGCATACTGCGGCATCTGAGAATACATATTTCCCCCCCTCCACAAGACCTTGCAAGACTATCAAATTCGATAGACTTCCTCTCAGTATCCGTATAAGTGATATCTTAATTTAATACGATATATAAGCCATCGTTGTAAAGTTAACTCAATCGACCCTTGAAAGATCGCATCCGTTCTCGCTATAGTAAGCTCTCCCTCACCCATGAACGGTTGTCTATCTGCTGTATCTATCACATATTGATCTTGACTTCCTCTTGCCTTTCGTGTCTCATGTTGATTGATTCGATTTGGTTGACTTGATAAACCAGCTCGAAGATAAATAATCATACGGAATGGTGGTAGACACTAGCTGAGATTAGAAACAGAATACAGTGAGTGAATAATGTATAGTGTCTGTATATTCGCTATCGACTAAAGCAGCTTTTCTCTCTCGAGCAAGCACGGGCAAGACCGTTTGAAAACCAAATCAAGCGTTCAAAAGAATAAGAAACAAGCCACAACCGACCATCGATGCATACAGTGGCTAACACCAACTATGCGTGAAGAATGGGATCGATTGTAGACTAGAGCATGATATGATTGGAACAAGAGTAGTATTGATTGGGAGGGGTATCAAATGCAGTCAATCCTTTGGGAAAGGTAGGGTAGTCATGAGGGATGCAGAAAAAGGAAAAGAAATAACTAAGAAAAAGGGGAAGAAAGGGGCAAAGACAAAAGAAAAAAAAGAGTCGAAGACAAGCCAAACAAGGGGATAAATACACAACTCTTGGTTGAAACAAATGACAGATTTTTCTGGGAAAACTGTCTTTCCACGCGTAGATCTGGGAGTACAAGCTCGTCGGCTTGCCCCCAAGATAGAGAGAGAGAGACCAGATTGGAGAGGCCAGGATGCGACAATAACCTCATCCGGTAACAGAACCATAGCTGGAATTCTGTCGGCTCCCGCTGCTCACACTACTGCCGCTATTATCACTCCCAGGAGTGGTGGGATCGAGCACGACTTGGGTGCGAATGGAGACGATCCATTCGTGCTGAAGTAGCTCCGCGGCAGTCGACCGCTTCAGGGGATCGCACTCGAAACAGCGACGGAGGAAGTCGATGCCCGTATCGCCGAGTTGGTCGCGGCTCGGCAACGCAGGTTGGCTCCCTTGGGCGATGTTGTACATGATCGCCCATTCGTTATCCAGCGTCGACCAAGGCCGTCGGCCAGTGGCCATTTCCAGGATCACACATCCTAGGGACCAGATGTCCACGGCGCCTTGGCGGTGGATCAAATTGGATGAATCGCCGCGGATGACCTCCGGAGACATGTACATCGGAGTTCCGGTCATGGTCTTTTGATTCTTGCCCCGCGCGCTGTCCTTGGGCAAGATGGCTTCCTTGTTGCCGGTGCTGGAGAAAGCGTCCATGGGGAGCACAGACCGCCCTTGACGCGCGATGATCTTTGCGGCGCCGAAATCGACGTACTTGATGATGCCGTTGTGGTCGAGCAGGATGTTCTCCGGCTTGATATCGCGGTGCACAATTCCAGCTTGGTGCAAGTATGCCAGTCCTTCCAGCAGCTGAAGGGCGTATACCTGGATGACGGTTTCGTCCTCTACACGCCCGTGCTCCAGGAGACTCGCGAGCGATCCTCCCGAGCAATATTCCATGAAGATATACACCTTGTCGCGGTGCACTTCGATCCCGTGGTATGAGACGATGTTCGGATGGTCCAACACCTCCAGCACGCCCATCTCGTCCCGGATCTGCTGGGCGATCTTGGGGATCAATTGAGGGTCTTGAAGACGGATTTCTTTGACAGCCATGAGATAATTGCTGTCCAGGTTGATGGCAGCGTAGACCGAGCCAAACGTCCCGCCTCCGATGAACTGCCCTTGCTGCCAGCGTAGGGTGACATTTGTCGCCGACGCCGACAGCACAGTGAGAGACCGGTCGGCCTCGTTGGAACTCTCCAACACTTTGCCTAGTGCCTGGCGTTTGGCGTCTTCTTCGACTCTCTGGTCTTCAATGCTGGTCAAGTGGGCGAGGCGCTGTTCACGAACAAGCTTCGATGCCTCCTCGTCAGTCAAGATCCGGCCAGCACCGATCTTCCTTGAACCGGCTCGCTCTTCCATTCGTTGTTTCTCCGCCTGGGCAGCGCGGGATGACCGCGCACCCATGATATCGAAGTGCGATATCAGCAGTGACATGCACCCAGCGACCTTTTGCCGGAGGTACTCAAATTGGCTGTCATGCATGGAGATAAGATGCCGGCTTGAGGTGATCGCCATGGCAAACTCGAGAGCGGACACGGCCCACTTGAAGGTCTTCCGATCGGCGGCATCACAATCATCGCAAACGAACGATACCCACTCTAACGACAGGTCCACAAGTCTCGCGCTGTTCATCGCGCGCCGGTTCGGATCAACGTTGGCGGATCGTTTGCCGAACTCCGTAGCAAACGCGTAGCAGGCCTGGATGAGGTCGTGGTTCTCCACGCCTTTCTCTGTCAGTTGTTCCCGGATGAATGCAACGCTATCCATGATGGTCATGGAAAGCTTAAACGAGATTTTGTTGATCTTGTTGAGCTCCACATTGACCCGTCCAAGATTGGCGCGCTGTTCGATGGCCATGTCCAAGTGAACGCCCGTCAACTGGGAAAATTCGAGCCGGGCATTCGACAGGCGCTGCTGGGTTCCCTCAACAACCAGACGGAGTTTCCCAAGCCGCAGGTCCGTGGGTTGTTCTAAGATGTCCACCAACATCTCCTTGCCAGCCCATAACAGGGGTTTCTCGGGACGGACCACAAGGATGTACGGCACATGGGGCGAATCCTTTGGGGTATCTTCCTCCCTGAAGTGAGTGCCTAGGATCGCTTGGATCTCCGCGTGGCGATCCCACAAGGCGTGGTGTCCAAAGAGATAGACACCCTTTTGTCCGACCGACTTGTTGGACTTGATGAGGAAATGATCGGAGATGAGAAGCGACTCGAAGATTTCATACGCAATCTCAGCCGGCAGATTATACTCCGTGGCATTTTCGAACAGCTGGCGGAGGAACCGGGCGAATCGATAGAGCTTTCGCTGCCGGATCCGGGTCGAATCTAGGACGCTCTTGTACCGTTTGTCCATGTCGGCTGGATCTTCACTCGGGCGCGTGGCTAGTTCGCGCTCAAAGTGGATCATCAGACGTTGGATTGATTTCGCAGTCAGGGCACTGGTCGCTGGTTAGTCATAGATTGAACTGCGGTGAATGAAGAAGATGTACGTACCTGAACTGTTCGGCCACTTCAATATCACCACCCTCAAGCTGGCGCCCGATTTCGTTGGAGAATTCCCAGTCTTGCTCCAGAATTTCTGCTTCTTTGAACGTGTTCTTGTTGGCATTCAATTTCCAGTTCAGAAGCCGGAAATAGTACTTCATGGCATCCAGCACCACCGAATCGAAATTCTCGTCGATGCAAGGGGGCAAATCCCAGCCCGGCTCCGGTTTGGCGATATCGAGATAGCGCTGCTTGATGTCGACCGCAACTCGCATCAGGATCTGGAACTGCGAAATCATTTGGTCGACCAAGATCGGAGACTGCTGTGCCGGATCCCTCATGTTTTTTGCGTAGGATAATCGTACCCGAATGATCTCCTGAATGAGACGCGAGGGGAAGTTGATGAGAGTCAGGAGCTCTTCGATATAGGGGGGTAAGTGGCGTCTGGCGAAAGACTCGGCATTGTCAATCAATGTGTTTTTAGCTTTCCGGATCACCTCGCCAATGCCGTGCAGCATGTTGTGTTCTCCCTGGAGCGTCTTAAGTCCATCTTCCTTCATGATGCGGTCCAGAAACGAGGAGTCGTCACTCAAGTCACTGTTGGCCGGCTTGACCCGCGGCTTGCTGAAATCCAACTCGGCATTTCCAACCCATTTCTGCAGAATGGAGAGCTCGGTGTTGATGAGGATGGTAGTATTGTGCCACGCGAAGATCGCATCACGGCTAGAGCAGTATTCCTCCGAAGCCACGCGAGGGTGCGCGGTTTCTAGTTCGCTATGCGTGGGATACAACCGCTCGCACCTCTCGATGTGTTCGACAACGTCCTCCACCTGCTTGATTGGGGACTTGCCGATCTCTGTCTCCCCCTTGATTTGGAACTTGATGATGTCCTCGATGGTAGCGCCCAAGGCACCCCGGGCCTCCTCGATAATTTTCCGTTGCATGGCGACACTTCGCCCGCAGGTCCTCGCTCTGACGCCCAACCATATCTCATTATTTTGAGCCGCCGACCGTTTCGTTTCCGTGGATTCGATGAGCCGCTGCTTTTCCTGTTTCACCACATCGCCCTTCAGGACCGAGGCCAACATCGAATGCCACTCCAGCCGTTCCTGGTTCTTGGGGTTCTTCAGTTCATCGAAACTGGGCTGGTTGTCGTCCGAGAGAAATAGTTGGGTATCCGGGTCGTAGGTGTCATCGTCAAAGGGAACCTCGGAGGAGGGGGAAGGTTCCTCCAAATCCGAATCCGCCATGGCCGCGGCATTCATACTCTGAGCATCTTCAAACCGACCGTACCAAGCCTGGGGGTCCGCGCGAATTCGCTGAACGTAGGCTTTCTCCTGGGCGCGGTATTGGGCGTTGGGGTCTCGTCTCGAATTTCGCTTCACGGAAGACGACCTCTGACTCGGACGGTCATTCTGTAGGTTGATGAACTGGGGAGGGCGCCGCTGAGGAGCATATGTGTTGGAGGGGGTTCTAGCAGGACCGGACGGGCGCTGTAGCCTTAGGTCACGCTCCGAAACCGCGTGCCCATCGGGGAGTGGGATCTTCTCCAGAGCAGCGGCACCCAGACTGGAGCCACGGGGTCGAGAAGTCGTGGTACTGCTCCACGATGGGATGGCACTGGCGGCCGACGGGGGAGGAGAGGAAGTTATGGTAGACGTCGGGGTGTGGACAGTGCCATCAAAACTGTCGGTGAAGCTCGAGTTGCTCCTCACATACGGTTGCTGGACGAGATCGTCGGACGACCCCGAGCCATCGGAGTCGTTGTTATTCATATCGGGATGCTCCATTACTGGAAAATCAACATCTTGTTGAGGGTCCATTTCGCATGTTGATTCGGGTGGTTGATGACGGAACCTGTATGAGATAGGGGCGTGTGAGGGGCGCTGTCAAGCAAGCTTTGCTGTTGGTCAACGCGTCCCGGGGGGTGATTGGGGGGGGTTTGTGAAGAGGCGGAGGCGGCGGCGGCGGCTTGGGAGCTCAGTGGATTCCCGGTTGACTTGGCCGATCGAAACGAACTAGTAGGAATTGGTGGAACCTGTTTCGGGGGACCACCGCGGCCACCTTGAGATCGGTAGTTTCGACTTATCAAACGATGGAGTCAACTGATGATCCATGCAATTTTGAGGGGAAAACCCAGCAACAACAGAGGGCGAGAGAAATTAATGGAGGCGAATGGGAGGTTCGTCGTCGTTCTTGAGGATTGACGGATTGATGGAGTTGGAGAGGAGGATGAATCAGCTTCCTGCCGGTCTGTCGCTGACTAAACGATTTTTTTCATTCTCAGTTAACCATCTGGAGCAGAACAGAAATCATACTGGAATCAATCCTAGGACACTCCGTACTCTTAATCTATCTTCAGTTGTTCTTCCAGATGTGGTTCTGATGATCATAGCGAAACATAAGTGGGATACCATGCATTCATTATTATTTTCCTGGGAAAACCACTACACCCTGAAAAGGAAATGTACTAGGTATCAAGCCAGAACTAATGGCATTTATCATGACCTTCAACAAGAAAAGAAGTGAGAAGACATTTAAACTCAATGCATCGGCTGAGATAGTCAGGACAGTTGCTAGACGGATGATGCTCTATAGCTAGTAAAATCTCAAGATCCCCGCTATATCAACATGCTTCGGGCGTCTGATTACTTCTATCATAGTGCTGCAGGTTTGAGTTGCCAATTGAAGAGGATCATCGGATTTATTGTACAATACAACTCGTCAGAAAAATCAGAAAGATCCAATCTAGAGCATCCACTAGGTCAACATTCAACAGTGACAATTTCGGGTGTCACATATGGCCTACTACACAGTATAAGTTCACTTATACTTTCTAGAAGATAGGTCAACCATACTATTTCATAGAGGGTTATAGCCTCCACGCTACTGCATCACTATCATCTATCTGATACAGCCATCATGTTACAAAGATCGAAAAAAAAAACAACAACATGGCATTGTGTGTTAGACGGAGAAGGTTGCGGATCAGTGGGACCGAACGCTCTCGCACTAGCGGGTGCAGCGGGTCAGGAAAGACCAGGGGTTCGTGCGTGTCCTCCTGGGGTAACATCATGGAGCAGTGATGCTGACATGATGAACGATGCAGTGGCCAAGTAGGAGGTTTACATTACTGTACGTGACTTCTTGGTTCAAGCTTGGGGTTCGTTTTTTGTGCTGCAGTGCCAGGTTTGAGAAAATTCAAGATACCGACTGGAAACAATTCTGGACTGATTTTTAAAACCGCAGATGAATTGTTATTCTTCGAAGGTACTCTATATACTAAGTACCTAGGTACCTAGTCATGTTTCAGGAGCAGTTATGGTAGGAGAGGATGTCTCTCTAGGTACCTACCTGAGAAGGTACTTCTGTCCACGACGATAGCGGTGCCAAGTCCGCTAAATCCGCATCAGTCGGGATGCCGAGTATGATTGTCATCCTGGCCAATTGAATTATCCTAGCTTATCTGCCTCGTCTCTCCATATATACTGGGGGGGATTTGGTTATCTCACCCACTGTCACTGTCCCTGACATACCTCCAGCGCGATACCTACCTGATACCTCTTGTTTGGCGCATGCCGTCACGCATCCCCTATTCTCCCGTCCATCATTTGTTGATCCACTGACGCAGATCTTGGAGTTCATTATCCAAACTCAAGAGAAGAATTTACCTCAAACTCCAGTGACTGCAGTGTTCCTCACTCCTGGCAATGATCAATCAGTTGATGTGACATGGAATTTCAAATCGGTGACTAAATATAGAGTCACTATCGTCGTAACAATGGAATGCCACTGGCACAGTCGGATGGGACCCAGAGATGAGACTTTGATAAGCCCCCAGGGCCAGTGCTGATTGGCCATTGGTGTCCCTGATAACGGTTGATACCGCGCTGTGATATATCAAACTCGATGGAGTGGCCGTGTCAATCTATTTATCTCCACTGGGAGGATTCGACGACCCTCCGCGTTGGCTTGGCCTTCACCTCCCGGGCGATTTTCTTCCAACTCCAGCGTACGGAGGACAAGCAAACGGACCAAAGAGAGGGCGTTCACGCGAACTTTATTCCGTGCCCAGTCGGGTCCAGTGGTTGGCATTATCGCCTGCAATCCCAATCCATGAATGACAGATAAGGGCTCAGCCTCTTGGACACACTATTCGTTATTGGACATATGAAGTACCTGCATATCAACATAGGTACGACACCCTAATGGTCCGCGGAATTATTGCATAGAGGAGGCTAGGTGATTGGCGCCTGACAGCCGGTTATCTACAGCCACTCTCCTTGGGCCTTGATCTGACCGTGGTTCATTTCCATTAATTCATAGATTCGAATCAGACAGATATCTAAGTCACACGATCATGGGTTCCCCTTGAGATTGTCGTGGGGTCTGGACACTTTACTCATATGCCTTAGGGAATGACCTATTCAGGACTGGTCAATCGTCTCCCGGTATCTATGATTTGATTTGCGCTTATCCTGTCTAACGAGTGCCATAGTGCGGACCAGACCCGTGGGTTCAGGGATGACTGTTGGTCTGTTATCAGGAATTCTATTTATCAGAAGTGCCTTGCCCGGTGATCACCACCTCCCTGATGTTTCTTCCCTCCTCTTTCTCTCTTCCTTCGCACTTCCTAGATCTCCTTGTAAAATTTCCCGGGCTAGACCCTGTAAATCGTCGGTAGCCAGGCGAGACCATTTCATTGTGGTTTGTCGGAGCCGTGTTTCAACTCCATTGTGGTCGCCCTTTCCCTCCATCCCAAACAGCACTACATTTCAGCATGACAGACAGTCCGGTGCCCTACAAGGGGGCAGCCGGTGGCACAGGCGGCGACTCGTTGCACGAGGACCTCAACATCTACTACAATGTAAGTCTTCTCCGTGGAGACCGATACGTTCTGGGATAGAATCACTGACTTCGTCCAGTCAGGCGACATAGCATGGGTCATCATGTCGACAGCCCTAGTGCTGCTCATGATCCCAGGCGTCGGGTACGGCTTCACCAACACCAGCACTTCCCATGTACAACACTGACAAGGCCACCCAGGTTCTTCTATTCCGGCCTCGCACGACGAAAGTCCGCCTTATCCCTCCTATGGCTCTCCATCATGTCCGCAGGAATGGTTTCCTTCCAATGGTTCTTCTGGGGCTACTCGCTCGCCTTCTCCCACACCGCCGGGAAATACATCGGCAACCTAGACAACTTCGGCTTCAAGGGCGTGCTCGCCGCCCCGTCAGTCGGCAGCGACAAGGTCCCCGACCTCCTCTTCGCCGTCTTCCAGGGCATGTTCGCCGCAATTACGTGAGTCACATAACACCCCCCCCCTTCTTGAACCTTCCATCTCTTCCCAGACACCCCAAAACTAACAAGCCCAAAGCGTGGCTCTCGGCGTCGGAGCCGTCGCCGAACGCGGCCGCATGCTCCCCTGCATGGTCTTCATCTTCATCTGGTCAACAATCATCTACGACCCACTCGCCTGCTGGACCTGGAACTCCTCCGGCTGGGTCTACCAGCTCGGCGGGCTCGACTTCGCCGGCGGAACCCCCGTGCACATCGCCTCCGGCGCAACCGCACTCGCATACTCGCTCATGCTCGGCAAACGCCGCGGCCACGGCACCCACGAGCTCAACTACCGCCCTCACAACGTCACCCACGTCGTTATCGGCACTGTCTTCCTCTGGGTGGGCTGGTTCGGGTTCAATGCCGGCTCGGCCCTCAGCGCGAACCTGCGTGCTGTCATGGCTGCCGTCGTTACGAACCTTTCGGCTGCTGTGGGCGGCGTCACTTGGTGTCTTTTGGATTATCGACTCGAGCGGAAGTGGTCGACGGTGGGGTTCTGCTCGGGTGTTATCTCGGGTCTCGTCGCTATTACCCCTGGGTCGGGGTTCGTTACGCCTTGGGCGGCGTTTATCTTTGGTGTTGTCGGCGCGGCAGCTTGCAATTACGCCACTAAGCTGAAATATCTTCTTCACGTTGACGATGCGTTGGATATCTTCGCCGTACACGGCGTGGGGGGCGTCGTGGGCAACCTGTTAACGGGTCTTTTCGCAGCGTACGTCAATTCCTTGCATTCTTTTCTTATAACCCCCCCCTGGATCCCAGGAGAGAAAAAGAAGAAGAAACAAACAACTAACCCCCGAATAGTGACTACATAGCCCACCTAGACGGATCCACCGAAATCGACGGCGGCTGGATCAACCAAAACTACATTCAACTCGGCTACCAGCTCGCCGACTCCGTCTCGGGCCTCGCCTACGCCTTCTTCGGCAGCTGCATCATCCTCTTCCTCATCAACCTCGTCCCGGGGTTGAGTCTTCGTGCGCCCGAGGACGACGAGATCATGGGCATGGATGATGTCGAGATTGGGGAGTTTGCTGTATGTTCTTCCCTCTTCCCTCCCTCTACCCTTTCCTCCTTCACGAACCAACGGTTCAATTCCAAAGGAGGTGAAACCATACAAGAACCGAGACTAACATAATCACGATTAGTACGACTACGTCGAACTCACCCGCGACGTCATCAGCCCCTCACCGAGCGAAAACGGCGACGGCTCGTCCACGAAGCGGTCTATGTCTATTCCGCCGACGGGGATAATAGCCACCGATGGTGGTGTCGATGAGGCGAAGGCTTGATTGACCTCATTCATGCATTGCCTTGGCCTGGCCTGGCTACTACTAGGTAGTTTGTGACTTATCATCCATTTCATTCTTTCTTATATTACTGGAATTTTATACCCTTGTCTGGAGAGGGTAAATGAGGAAAGGGAAGAGGCATAAACCTTCTGATTTTACTTTGTTGATACTTACTATACTCCATGATGGTCTTTCTCATACCCTTTTGTTTTTTTTTTCTCTCTCTTTGTTTAATAATCGATTGGATAATATTGTATATACTTCAACCATATCATGTGTTACTTACTAGGTATATACCGGTTTTATTTCCTCGTTTCTTGTTCACGTGTTGTCTTTGATATTAGTTGGTGGTGATATCAGATGGGATCCGGGTAGGGCTCAATGGGCAAGTCTGATAGGGTTACGGCATGTGTATCTATACAATCTCTCAAGTGTTTATGCTGGATAGCACTCATTACAAGATAGCCTGGTTGATTGAAACCCACTACACCACCACCACGAGACAAAGATACAAGAGACTAGTCTCTGATTGCTTTTAAATATGTGCTACTGGTCAAGTTTCAGGCTCCGTTCGGCCTAAGAAAGTAAAAACAGGAAAGAAATTAAGAGCG